TGGAGGGGCAAATCCACCACCACCTGGGGGTGGCGGCGGAGGTAATCCAACTCTTCCACCGGGGGGCGGAGGTGGAGGCGGCAATCCAGGAACACCTTTGGCACCGCCTGGCGGCGGCGGCGGTGGAAGAGACACCCCGCCAGGTGGCGGGGGAGGAGGCAGACCAACCACTCCACCCGGCGGAGGTGGGGGTGGAAGAATCTTGCCTCCTGGCGGCGGAGGTGGGGGAAGAGCCATACCCCCCGGCGGCGGGGGCGGAGGAACAATCTTGCCGCCTGGGGGAGGGGGAGGCGGCGGCATAGCGGTTTTAGCAGCTTCATTATCCTCTTGCTTGGGTACCTGCTCCCCTTCAACGGCATCGGAATCTTCGGCATCAAACTTGGGAACCTTGGAAGCAATCTCGCCTAGCAGACCGGTAGCCTGGGCGGGGTTCAAACGAGGACGATGCATTTCCACCAAACGAGGCATCTCGTACATTGGCTCGCCGTTGCTATCCACTGGGATGTCCTCCTCGTCTTCCAGAGTCGAGTCCATCTTGGGGATGTGGCTCCGCTTGCGGTAAACAGATCCCAAAGAACCAGGGTCGAGGTTTCGGCGTGTAGTTTCAGCAAAGTCCTCACTGTCATCCCCTTCGCCTTCCATCTTCTCGCGCAACTCACGGAGTCGGTCAGATGGTCCATGCTGGCCCCAGACCTTGCCCTCCAACTTGAACTGGGTCTTAGTCCGCTCGAGCTGGCGTTCCAGACGTTCCATGAGCTTTTCACGGTCCATGATGCCAGGCATCTGGGATGGACCTGCTGCCTCCGCTGTCTCTGGGTTGTTGGCCTTTCGGGCATTGGAAGCAGCGATATCCTGGGCGTCTCGGAGCATAAGGTATAGTTCACGGGTCTCCAGCTCATTGCGCTGCAATTCCTGAGCACGCAACCTTTGTACTTCTGCAACCTCAGCCTTGAAGGATTCATTTTGTCTTTGTTGCAGTTCGATAATACCAGCCTGTTCATCAATTTGCTTTTGCAATTTCAAAACTAGGCCATCTGCGCCAAGCTCGACCTGTGCTCGCATCTCATCGCGCTCAGCAATGGCAGCCTCGGCAATCTGCCGTGCCTCGAGAGACTCGTCATACACCTGTCTTGCCTCAGCATCGGTGTGCAGCCGATCTAGCAGACTCTGCACGGTGAAGGTCAGACCTTGCCGAAGATCGAGGTCAGGCAGCCTTCGGTCCATGGCTACGTAACTCAGCATGGCGTCTACCAGCTGGAACATACGCAAACCTTCCTCGCCGGAGTTCTCCCGGATGAGGAGCATATGTTGCATAGCCGAGAGGAAGTAATCGTGGGATCGGCTACCATTAATCTTGGACGTGATTGCATCGACGATTTGCATGGGATCACTCATGTCCTTCACTTCGCCCTCGATGCTGTCCTTCATGCTGCTGCCCTCCCGCTGGAGGAGGTCCTCGTAGTCGATGGCTTCATTCTCACGGAACCGCTCAATTTGCTTGTCGATCACCTCATACTGGAATCCCTCCATCTTCGTCAACAGACGCTTGATTCCACATGATGTGAACTGGGCGCGAATGTGGCAACGCAGCTGCAGGTCAGTTTCTGCTCCGTCCACCAGCATATTAATGAGGATCATGGTTGAGACAGCATACTCCATGAGGAGGTTCTCCATGCCGATGCCTCCGCTGCGGTACTCTTCGCTCGCACCGACCAGACTTCCCATCTTTCCACGGCCGTCGATAGTGACCTCCACAATACGCATCCAAGCGTCGAAGCGACCGGTTTCATTGTGATCATGCTTGACCTTGTCCATTGCTTGCAGGACTTTTTGGTGGCCTTGTCCATCGCCCCAGTGGCACAAGAAAGTGAGGACTTCGCTGACAAGTTTCCGAGTATTCAGGCGTGGCGATGATAACGAGGTGACGAGTGCAACTAGCACATTTTGATGCTCTAGAGCGTCGTCTGCGCCATACTTGTTGTTCATCAGACCTTTCAGACATTTGGCAATATCGTATTCTCGGTCTAGATCTTTATCGCCTGTAGGGGGGGCCGGAACAGGACCAGAGACTTTCCTTCTATTGATCTTCAAGAGGACATTGGTTAAAGCGATTTGACCTTGGGCTTCAACAAAGGCTTTCACCCAGCTGTGTAGTTATTAGTGATATGCACGAAATCGAGAAAAAAAGAAGACAGTTCATACCTGATTGGCTGTGTCCGCAAGCTGACACTTAAACTAGCAAGCTGCTTGGACGTAATAGTGTCATCCATCACCTTCTTCACATACCATTCCGGGCTCCCTTCTTCATCGGCACGTTCAAGCAAACCAGACAAACCGTCATGGCCATGAGTTTGTCGCGCATTTTGTCGTCTTTTTTGCTCTCCTTGCAACTCCGTCAAGCGATCCTGATGTACCAATGTCCATTTCTTTGAAGCGGGGTACGACAACATCTGCCGTTTGGCCTGTTCAGGAAGGTTCTGCCAACCTCGCTTCTGCATCAGCTCTAGAAACAGCTGGTCCACAATGCGATCATCTCTTGGTCGAGTGAGGTAGTTATCTTGTGGCCGGGGGACGGCGGCCGGTACAGAGATCTGGTGGGAGGATCCTGCATTTGACAACCGGCCCGAGCTGGAGCTAGGGAACATGGAGCGGTCACCAGAATGCGAGGTTGTGAGAGTGCGAGAGGAATTGTCTGAGGAGAAGTAGCTCGAACCGCGTGTGTTAGAAGAAACGGAAGAGTAGATGCTGGCTTGGTCGAGGGAAGTGCGAGAGTTGGAGGAGGAATCAATAGAATAGGAGTTAGGGTGCGGCCCATTGTTCGCTGCAGAGCTGCCCGGCCGTCCCCATTGTTGCTGTCTGGCACTTCGATCACCGGAGTTGCTGCTGGTCAGCGTGCCGTGTGATGTGCTGTTTGAGGTACTGTTTGCGGTGTGCGGAGGCGGACGGGGCCCAGAGGGATGCGGGGCATACCCATTTGGTGCAGATGTAGATGTCACGGTTGGATATTGATGATAGTCACCTCCAGATTTTCCCAGGTGGTTGGGCGAAGGCTCGTGGCGCGATGAGCCAGGGCGAGGCATGTTCTCTATTGGAATTGGGGTCCTGGTATCGGTGGGGAGACTTTCAAATGGAATGGAGGTGATAACGCCGGAGGTGTGCGCGATGCTGCTTGGGTCAAAATCATGGGTCATGTCGACAGATTGAATGGAAGACCGCTTCGAATAGCGTGATGAGCGTGAGCCCGCGGCGCTTCCCGGAGGTGCCAGGCTATCATAAGAACCCCCATAATTATCGTATCGTTCCTCGGTCGGCTTCTCTTTGTACAACTTTCGTCCGAAGAATGACTTTCCGCTCGATGTTTGCCTAGATTTGTCGGCTTGTGAACTCGTTGGCATTTTGGCGGGCGTCACTAAGATGAGGCAGGGCGAAGCATAAGGGCCCCTCCAACACTCTCGGGATTGGTATTAAATCAAGATGTCGGTTTCGCGATAACGCGCTGTCGATCGCAAAGGATATGAGAGAAGATGATGACATTCAAATTGGGCGAAAGTGGCTCTCTGTGTCCCTCCCTAGCTAGTTAGTATACCCGTTCCTACAGCGGAGTCGCAAGAGACGAGGGGTAAGGGAATCCCTTCACGGCACTCACCCCACAAAGAAGGCAAAATAGGATAAAATGAAATTAACATGCAAGCTTTTTTGCAAATGTCAAGTCCAGTTTGACGCCAGAATCAAAGCCCGAGCGTTCTTCTAATCAGTCCTATTGATATTAGGGGGCTTGTCCCGGAGAAACTCCCCGACCGCGCACGTGATCTTTAAGATCACGTAAGCTTGTACTTTATACTTGACGTCCAGGGCATGGACTTGGAATGAGGTTTCATAGAGAAAGTGCGATAAAATACCCATAAGGTTGGGCATCTGTGTTTAACCATGTATTAGCATCATTTGATGGATATTCACTACGTAGTCTGGAATGAGTGTTATGTGACAGATCAATACAAACTCGCCGGGTATCGCCACTGCCCATGGACTTGGAAGGTTCCATCATTGAGCTTCTCCACTGTGATGAATGATGACATGGGCTTTTTTCCAGTACAACTGCCTGTGGAATATTTGATGGGTGGAGGATTTTGGGGAGATGGAGGAGACATGGGAGGAGACATGGGGGGAGACATGGGACTTTGTGGCTTCCACTTGAGACCAACCCATCTAGAGAGGAAGGCGCAGCCCAGGCAGCCGACTATAACCCCCTCCCCACTTCTTCTTTCTTTACCTAGAGCCAAGAACAATGTGAAACTCCCCAGTGGAACATTCCCAACTCCAATCCATGTTGACATATCAGTTTTAGTTTGAACCCCAGTGTGTTTTTGGATTATGTGCTTACAGAGAAGGAAATCGAAGGAATATATTCTCTAAAATTGGATCTCTATATATGGTACCCATCAATTTAGGAGCTATACTTTAATTGCAATTTCTTGTGGCAAGTAAATATTGCTTCGGTGGATTGGAAAATGGAGAGATATATGAGATATATCTTACAAAAAAGAGGGTGCAAGCAAGGAATTAGAACTTGAGCGGATTTGAGCCAAAGTCTAAGAAAGGAGCAAAGGCATACGCCAACATACATATCAATCACTATCTGGTAATCAACAGGGTCGCTATGTACTCCGTACTATATCTGCTATTGATTGTTTATAGTATAGCAAGCTCCAAGCTTGTTGTTAAAATACCTTGGGAATCAAGCCATGAGGGCAGGTCAGTTGCATATATTTCATCTATTTTCTACAAAATTGATACTATTTTAAGCAACTACATGAAAATGAAGTGATAATAAAACTTCAAACTCTGATATCCCGAGTGGCCGGTGCTTTGTCGATCTGCCGATCCTACCGCGTGAGCAGTTCAGACCCGTGGGACCCCGGACCTCACTCCGCAATCTCTCTAAACCTCACCACTCTCCTATCGTATTTTAGGCTCTAGGGCCTAATTTACTAGCACCCAGCATGGTATCAGCGGGTGTTTTTGCCAAGGTATGTCCAAAAACCCCCTATCCCGACGCGCAAGGCACCCCGTCATTTCCAAACATTCCATGGCCAAGAACCCAAAAAGGAACCAAACTAACAAACCCACCCCCACAGACAATACTCACCCCAGCCGCAATCGCCCTATCAATTTATATCCTAGCCTCATGCGTGGTCATCCCCTTCTTCCGCCGCTACCACCAGCGCTACTCGCAATACCTCCCGCTACACAGTATATCGGCGCACACACTGTCTTTACGCGACCGCATAGCTGATAAAGTAATGCACTTCTTCCTTCCATCTCGGTGGCGGTGGGGCGCGCGTATCGAACACGATACGATCAGTATTGATGATGAGGAAGGGGAGATCTTGGTTGGGATGGATAGGGATTCTGCGAGGCGAGGCGCCCTGGAGGAACGGAGACATGACACCCTGGGTGAGACGGAGAGTCGTTTGAGTCGGGATTTGGAACAGGGGTTTATGGATGATAGTGATGATGAGGGGAATGAGGGGGGTCGGAATGGCCTAGGTGGGAGGCTTTGAAATGTTGAAGGTCGTATTCGCATACAAGTGTATATATCTGCATTTTGGGGGTTCCTGTTTTTTGTCTAGAGGTATTTTGAAGGACGGATACAAGTTTCTATATTTATCTGGCGTTTCAGGGATGGCTGTCTACTTTGTGAATAGAGTTGTTTTTTTGCTTTCCATTTTTACAATTGCATGTAATAGGACTTGGTTATTCGGGCAATTCATACATCCACTATGGATGTATTCCATACTATTCCTACTAATCATATTTGTTCGTCAAGAATTTCTAAAAGATATCAGCCCTATTCCGTACACGTTCTAGACTCCACCAAAGGGCTGGGCTCAATTATTTGGAGATCGACATAGCTCCACCGATCATCAACTCTGCATATTGTACTGCATATGGAGGTTTGTCGTATGTTGTACTCCGGATAGAAAATCTTAAATGAATGTCAAAGTGGAAAAGAAGTCAAGGTTATAAATATAATTCATTAATATCGTGAAAGATGCTACCTTTTTCAGCATCGCCCATGCCACCTTGAGCAAATGGGACTGTAAAAAATATGAAATGAAGCCGCTCAGCCGGAGAATACCCTATACTGCATCATGCAAGACCACTCCCTACTTGCGCTGACCGTAGGCCTTGGTGGCGTAGTCACCCTTGTGGACGATCAAGTCCTGAGGACGGTAGTCCTCACGGCCGGAGAAGTAGCTTTCGAGGATGTCCTTGGTACCGTTGGCGTAGCGGACCTGGGCATCGATGGAAGTACCGGACATGTGGGGAACCATGGCATTGCCGCCACCCCAGGGGTGCTCGGCGTAGCGGAGAGGGTGGTCCTTGGGGGCGGGCTGGGGGAACCAGACATCACCACCGTAGCCACGGAGGTGACCAGACTTGAGGGCCTCAGCGACATCCTCCTTGACAACAATGGCACCGCGGGCGGTGTTCACGAGCCAAGAGCCGGGCTTCATCTTAGAGATAAGGTCCTTGTTAAAGAGACCGCGGGTCTTCTCGTGCAGGGGGCAGTTAATGGTGACGACGTCACACTGGGCGAGCATCTCCTCGAGATTCTCGACGCGACGGCAACCGATCTCCTTCTCGGCCTCGGCGGAGAGGGGCTGGTAATCGTAGTAGAGGAGCTCCTTGCAGTCGAAGGCCTTGAGGCGGCGGAGGACACGCTCACCGATACGGCCAACAGCGACGGTACCGACGACCTTGCCCTCGAGATCGAACTCATTCTTGGCGACGGCGGCGACATCCCAGTCGCCGTTCTTGACCTGCTCGTGGGCAGGGACAAAGTTGCGGACCAGGATAAGGATGGTCATGATGACGTGCTCAGCGACGGAGACGACGTTGGAGCCGGTGACCTCGGCAACGGTGATACCGCCATTGGTGGTGTTGGCAGCGTTCAGGTCAACGTGATCGGAACCAATGCCGGCAGTGATGGCAAGCTTGAGCTTCTTGGCCTTAGCCAGACGCTCAGCAGTGAGGTAACCGGGGTGGAAGCTGTTTCATCGTTAGTAGGAGTCTGCGAAAGTTCGTGCATGATAAACTAACGGGGTGGTGATAATGACTTCAGCGTCGACGAGCTCCTTATCGAAAGTTGAGTTCTCGCCCTCCTTGTCGGAGGTGGTCACCAGAGTGTGACCCTGGTCCTCGAGCCACTTGCGGATGCCGAGCTCATTCTCGGTGGTACCGAGCAGCTTAGGCTGCTGCTTGGAGTGCTCACCACCCTATATTATAGAAAAACATGGGTCAGCGATTGAGATTCTTAAAGTATGAACTAAGAATGACTTACATCGTAGAGAACCAAAAGAACTTTGCCCTGTAAATTGGCAGTTGCTGTTAGCGTACGTGCACCGGAAATAGAGCCGGCCAAAGGTGAAGCCCGTGTAAATGGGCCGGAAGCAATAGTTGGGTTGAGAGAGCCTGAGAGGAAGGGCCGTCTTAATTGACGGGAAATAGAGCGGATAAGTACCATTGTGATGGATTATAGAATATTTTTCAAGACGTCGCTGTAGAAAGGGTCAGTTCTCTGTTATTTAATGGATAAATGGTTGATCCATGAATGAGGTAAATGCCCAAGAACGGAATTATAGAAAGCCGGATGCGGTAACATTGAAGTTTAGAAGTGGGGAATGTTGCAGGCCAAGATATGTGATATCTGAATGTGGCTATATGTTGTAGTGTAAGGAAATAAGAAAAGAATAATAGACTTACAGGTGAGTAAACCGGAGTAGAATATGTTGTAGGTGATAATTGAATATAGTGTTGAAAGAAATAAACCATAAACAGCAACCGGAGCTGATTATATATAGCCCCCTCTCTATGAAGAGGCATTTACCTCCCCTCAACATAACACGCATAGAAACGGGAAAGCCGGACATTGGACATCCACTTGGAGATCTCTCTCCGCATGAGGGACAGGGTATGTTGCACATTCATGGCCTATCATCTTTGGACTTGGGAAACTTGCTATGTACCCACATATTTACGTATATTATTTTATCTTGCTATTATCTACACGTGCGTAGTACTTTCAATGGTTTACATCAATACTTCATAGTATATGGATCTTTCCTAACCTTGGAAAGCTAGGGCTCCAACGGGATGTGCGGGGATACTGTAAGTCATACAAGTAGTATATAGTTACATACAGCTACATACAGCTATACATACGTAGTTATAACAAAGTCGTATATCTGCTTGTATTATACGCAACATCTTAAAGCTATGTAAGGTATCATATTCCATACCTAGGTATTGTTCATTTCCATCAGCCCACCAAAGAAATTGCTATTACCCCGCAGCGGGGTAAGTAACACAAAGCTGACATAATGAGGGGTAAAACAGGGCAGGCCATTCCACCTGAGCAGGGAATTAATATAGTAATTGATATCTCCAACCTGCTCATCTAAATATACTAACAAGGTACTCCATACCAGTTCCTCAGCCCCTGATCTTCCAAGAGCCAGAGCAATTTCCGCCTTTCAGCCGAAATTCGGCCTTTCTTCTCCAACTCCGGCCCCGCTACTTCGTACTACAGAGCCCATGATGTACATTACCTCCTCGCGAGGAGGTTTTGGAGAAACGTCCACATCGGGTCCACTAATGAGCTTTCCGGATCAGATCATGGATAGTATGACCGCATCAAGAACGAATTTGAGGGTGAATTTTTTTTTTTTTTAATCTACCGGATCCCGGGTTTTTCGACCTAATATGTTTGTCTTTTCGTTGAGAGTTTTCCCATGCTTCCAAGACTACAGGTCAATTAACAAACTGCAATGCATGTTTTGACCGTGTTTGCTTGCCGATCGGACATTGCATTGAATGGCTGTGACATGATATACCACATTGGGTATCGAAATATGAATAATGACTACAACAAAGCGAACCCTCAATTTACCTGACAAGACTAATGTTATAGTTTCGACCCTCCGATCGCAAAAAAGCAGATTATACACCATCACTTTCCCGGGTGCCGACTGCACAATGTATTAGCTACCGTTTCAACTCATCGTCCCAACTCACCATCGATTCCAAATTGCTCGGATCCCGACCTATACAACCAATAAATCGTCGCCATGAAATTTCGCTGGGAGCTGCATGCGTGATGTGCTGTCCTCTCGGGGCTTCGGCTCATATCGTATTGTCGCATGACCAGTGCGGGGGCGCCAGGGGTCGTTCGGTTAGTCTCTCCTACTTCCAGCCTCACGGTCTCCGGGGAAGCACATCAACATGTTTTCGTGTGCTATCGCCAGCCAATATAGAATTGCGATGTGATTTCTTTTCAAATCCGGAGAGTATGCAGTCCCTGGAGCCTTGAGCATTGTACATGCATAACTACTGGACAATTCGCAGAAACAAAATTCCACCAACTAATGGACTTCGTCCCTCTCAACAACATTGAAAACCCTCATTTAGAGCCTCTCCATCCATAAGGGTGACTGCAAGGCCATTATTGTACCTTCAATTCTTTGGTACTCTCCATAGCGCCTGAATACGTGGATTATGCGCCCAATGCCTCGAGTCCGCATAACCTCCCGCCTCAATTATACTTCCCTTGGCACCGGATCACGCTTGGCAAACCCCAATTATTGGAATCATTCAAGGCAGCGAAGACGCCGGGCTATCATGCTTACACAAGTAGTCTTATATTCACGGCGCATACTCAGACATCAACAGCTGCCCGGCGGTATCAGATGCTACATAAAATGATGAGAAGACCTTCAATCAGCTCGATCCACTTTACAAATTAATGGAACAGATCTAAGATCCATTCCAAAGATGGTTATAAATGCCAAGATTATGCAAGATCAAGATTGGTGTATATTAGACCTGTGTGTCGATCTTATGAAAATTAATACCAAATTTGCACATCCTGTACAACATATAGCACGTATAATCAAAGCGCAATCTTTCTGAAAAGGCAAAGTTGCAGACATGATCTACCGAGGTTTGTTTTATCTTACATTCATAGATTCGATCAACCTATCAGTCAAAGCCTAGTGTTGGCGTAACCCTATTACGCAGTGGTATAGACACCAAGTGTCAAACCCCCATTTCTAGAGAATATCGATGTCTTGATGTCATATTCTGGCATGGTTCTTGACCGCTCCATACACTTAAAGAGACCATCAAACAGACCACTGAAAAGACCACTGAAAAGACATCACCAGGCCGCTTATACGGCTGGCTATTCTTGTAATAGTAATTCAAGTATCTTAATCATTCTGCTGGTCCTATTTCAGAAAATGAGGCATCAGGGCATTGATATTGCCTAGAAATGGGGCATTGAGCCCTGGCGTCTATACCGCTGCATAACCCTATTGTATATCGAAAGCTAAACCCAGAAGCATGGCTATATCACTTGGTGCCGATCTACATTGTACAACAGCCACTACCGTCGTTGCTATTGGCACATCACTTGAGATGATATCGATTTGGAACTTTAATCTTGCAGTAAATAGGTGTACTGGTCCACTTTTGTTTACGACTTATGATTTTTACTCTTTAGACCGCTTATTTTAAGCCTCAAATTGGAATTGTGATGTCGGTATTTTGAAGTCTCTATGGAGACAACTAGAATTGGACCGCTAGAATGCGCTGAACATGAAGAAATCACAGCAAGTTCTTGCTCTAATATTCTTAAACTTTAGTTTAGAGCGATTCACATACTAATAGCAAAATAAAGACTAAGCACATGATAAGACATTCAGTCATATATGCATAGTAGGAAGCCCGCTAGCTCTTCATAGGTATCACTTCGTGTAGGCATCCCTAAGAGCAAGCATAATCCCAAGAATTCGCTCACGGTTTGCTAGACCACTAGAACCGAACCAACTTCGATCTGCAACAAGACTCATCAATTCAAGTCGCACGTTCCAATCCGCTGACGGGTCCTGGCTATATTTCAACTCAAAAAACAAACGCTCGTCTAACCGCACTCGCCAGAACCACTTAGGTAACTCCCATCCAAACCCTAAGAGCATATTTCTCAAATTTTGAACATCACTCACTGTATAATCTGTAATGGGGCAGATGAATTCGGAGATCAAAACCCTAAGCTCTAATGGAAAAATGCTGAGACCAGAGGTTGGGTGATAGTAATCAGTCTTGGTGGATGCCATGGCTTGTTGAATTGCGGGCACGATAAGTGGACTCTGAGAGAGATCTAGTGGGTAGCGCGTGGATATCCCCCACAATTCGTTTTTCCGCCAGTATTTTCGACAAATTCGGACAAATTTAGCGAGGTCGGTATTGTTGAACCTTAGACCTTCCACTCGATCGAACAGGGTCCAACAGTGGGCATGGACCACAAATCCGATTGTCTTGTCTTTCAATCTACTAGGTTGTTTGTTGATATCTGCAGGATAGAATTGTGTAAACATCTGGGTATGGTGGCCGAGATTGTTATTCCCAGTTATTCTTGCTTTTGTTGGGTCATTGACAGCATAATAAGGCCCTTGGAAATGTCGTATCGAACTGATGCCGGTCAAGTGGTACCTAGTATCGGAATCCTTGATAACTGAGATAGTTAGAAGAAGACCGGAATTGATTGAAGGGTATTCGCTTGGTAGGTGCTTACGAGCTCGATACAGGCATGACCATAGCAGAGGGAACCTGTCGATGTTGGCATTTTCTACCTTGTGTGATGATATCAGAAAATTTCCCGAATCGGGCTTCCAGAGTCTTTTCCAATGTTGTTTGTCCAGTCTCGAAGCTCCTTCGATTGAACGCGGTATTCCCAAATTGTCTGTGGTATGGATGTCCACCCCGCATAAAAGACAAATGGGTTCAGGTAGAATACCTTCAGTAGAAGCAAATCGTTTGACCATAGCGAAAATGATATTATTAGAACGTCGAAATTTCCTTGATAATATGGAGTTGACGTTTTCATAATCGATATCATAGTAAATGCTTGGCCATAAACTGACATCATGGTGAGTGCTTGATTATCAATCACTAAAACTAAGTCCCAAATTACCTATGTAGGTAGTATTGTCAATTCTGACATATTATATATACAGGTAGAAGGCTGGCTATGATGGCAGTGTAAATACACGACTTTGTGATTGCAGACCACGTCATATGGTGACCATTAATAACACTCAAGAGCTGATCAATACCTCGGTGTAGATCTACTCGACGCTCTACCTGGTATCATTCCTCTATACCTCAAAAGGGCCTATCAGTACGGTTGAGAGAACAGATGACGTTGGAAGTAAGAGAAGCATGAGGCAAGTATAACCTAAAACACTTCTAACATAGCTGTGATCAGTTAGCAGTGCCTAGTAGTACCTAACCTAACTACTAGATTTCAAAAATGTATGATAGAAACCATGAATAGAGCTGTTCGTTAGAACTTGGAATTTAAACGCTACCTAAGTAATTTACACTAAGCGCGATCTCCGATATCTCGGACTCGGCACTCGGACATTAGCATCTCTTTTATTTTCTAACCGTTTTATCCTTTGAATTTGTCTACCTTCTACCAGTTTATCCAAAATCATAAATTCAATGCGACCAATACTCGCGCGATCACTCACACGCGCCCGGAGCGCGCGAACCTATCTAAACTGCCAGACAATCCGTTTATTATCCAGTACCCCTCAACGCAGTAGCAGACTCCGCGCGCGCCTAGCAATCCCACCTCCCTTTCCCGTTACCAAGACATGCCCTGAACCAAGCTGCAATTGTCCACCCACACCCGCCCTGCCGGAGGATTTACCGATCGATCATGAACAGGCCTTGAATGGGACGATGGCTGCTTACGCGCAGCAGATTCTCGTCTGTACAGGACAACCAGACTGGACGAGTCGGATCGAGGATGATGGCCAAAATAAAGGCTGGGGCAACCTTGTGAGAGGATTGAAGAGCCTGCTAGGTCGCGGCGGGCCTTATCTTGATGTAAGTGAATCATATAACCCAACAAATGATGCGCGAACCCTTACTGATTTGAGATCTCACCCCTCTAGCCTTTCAACAATATCTTGGTCACAAACTCATCTATCGCGCCAGCTGCAAACTCCTCCCCTACTTCCGCCTCGGCATTCCTCTTCCCCGGCTTCAAATACATCCCCTCGATACCCGTGCACACGAGCTCATCGCCCGACCAGGCAACCGACCTGACAACCTTCGTACGCGCATATCTTCTTCCCGAACGACTCCACAACATGCACTCCTCTCTCCCCGCGACCAAACAATCAGATATGACCCGATCCCCAGACCTAGCATCAAACTTCCCGGGAGTAACCGATATCAATCACTCTCCGACAGTGTTAATATGCGGACATGGAGGTCGCGACATGCGCTGTGGTGTCATGGCCCCCGCCTTGGAAAGCGAATTCAAGCGCGTGCTGCAAGCGCGAGGATTTACCTCCGCGGGCAGTAGTGGAACCACGGTGGATGACCCTAAACACGCTAATATTGGTCTGATCAGTCATGTTGGAGGACACAAATATGCAGGCAACGTGATTGTTTATATCCCGCCGAAGATGGCGTTGGGAACTTCTTCAGAGCCTCACCCGCTGGCGGGTAAGGGGATTTGGTACGGCCGCATTGAGCCGAAGCATGTGGAGGGACTTGTCGAGGAGACTATTCTCGGCGGAAAAGTGATTACGGATCATTTCCGTGGTGGCATTGACAGGAATGGTGATATTTTGAGGATGTAAACTTAGCATAGAGTAGAGCGTACGATATATGGTGATTGTAATTGCAACATAGATATACACATCCAATTAAACATGGAAGATATGACCAAAAGACCAATTGTATACGAATATGACCTCGGCATCTTCACAGCTTCTAGAAATATGTCTAAAGTATAACGCTGATACGCTAGTCCAAATCGGGGCTAAAGCTACCGGGGCTCCGGGGAAGTTTTGAAGATGCGCAAACCTTCAAATCGCGAACATGACCAATCGCTCCAATTACTATCTATAAACATTCCAGGCACATAATGATTAGCCAGCCATGCAATCCCTCGCACGACTCCGATTAACCAGCGCCGTCGCGCCTGGCCGCATTCACACGCGTCCAACCCTACGAGCCCTCTCACCAGTCTACACCCTAACCCGACTATCCAGCACCTCAACCCGCCGACTGGACCTCCCCGCCCTCGACAAAAAATGGCAAGCAAAATGGGAAAGCGACCGCGCTGCGCCGCGCGAAACACCCAACGAAACACAGAAACCCAAATCCTACATCCTGTCCATGTTCCCATACCCGTCCGGCACGCTGCACATGGGCCATTTGCGCGTATACACGATCTCAGATGTGATCTCGCGGTTCTATAAAATGCGCGGACATGATGTACTTCATCCTATGGGGTGGGATGCTTTTGGGTTGCCTGCTGAGAACGCGGCGATTGAGAGGGGCATTGATCCTGCGGTGTGGACGCATGCGAATATTTCGAAGATGAAGGAGCAATTGAGATGTATTTCGGCGGAGTTTGATTGGGACCGGGTATGTTGGTGTGATTTACTTGAGTTCAGCGGGTCTGGCCGTGAATTGGTTATGGGATGGATGGCTAATTGATATGGATAGGAACTGGCAACGTGTGCCCCGGACTTCTATGAACATACTCAGCGCATCTTTTTGATGTTGTATAAAAAGGATTTGGCGTACCAGGCGGAAGCATTGGTTAATTATGACCCTGTTGATAAGACTGTTTTGGCAAATGAGCAGGTGAGTCGGGATCAGAGGGTACATTTTGATTTTATCTAATTTTGATGCAGGTTGATTCCAATGGGTTCTCCTGGAGGTCTGGGGCTAAGGTTGAGAAGTTGAATTTGAAGCAGTGGTTCTTTAAGATCACTGATTTCAAGGAAGCACTTCTGAAAGACCTCGATTCCCTTGCTGGGGGATGGCCAGAGCGTGTTCTGTCGATGCAGCGCAATTGGCTTGGAAAGTCTTATGGTGCTAAGGTCACATTCCCTGTGACCATCGGACGCGAAGGTGGTCAAGTCGATGTGAATGTATTCACTACCCGTCCAGATACTTTGTATGGTGTGGAGTATCTAGCACTTTCTTTGAATCACCCTATTGTGTTGAAGGCTGCCGGGAAAGACGAGGCACTTCGCAAATTCCTGAGCGAAGCATCGTCACTTGCACCGGACTCCAAAGCAGGCTACCGGCTGTCCGACATTGAGGTGTCTCATCCATTGTGCAAGATTGATACAGAAACGCCCCACTTGCTGAGGAAGCTTCCTGTCTTTGTGGCTCCCTACGTCCTTAGCGACTATGGCGAAGGAGCAGTTATGGGTGTTCCGGGTCATGACACCAGGGATATGTCGTTCTTCAAGGAAAATGTAGACACCGACTCGATCCCTGTTGTTATCGAGGCCGAGCCAAGTGGCAACGATGCAACCAACAGTGTCGTCCCAGCATCGAACGCAAAAGCTTTCACGCCAGAGGGTTTCTTGACTTCGCGCTGTGGAAAGTACCAAGGATTACACTCCAAGGAGGCGTCGAAACTGATTGTCAATGACCTGGAACAGGTCGGCCAGGCTGCGTTCGTCGAGAGCTGGCGCCTGCGGGATTGGTTGATCAGTCGCCAGCGATACTGGGGTACGCCCATCCCCATCATTCACTGCGGGGACTGTGGTCCTGTTCCAGTGCCCGACAAGGATCTTCCAGTAAAGCTGCCAAAGATCGAGGGAGAGTGGCTCAAGGGAAAGAAGGGAAATCCTCTGGAATCCTCAGAGGAATGGCTCCACACAAAATGCCCCAGTTGCAACGGTCCCGCCCGGCGCGACACCGATACCATGGACACCTTCGTGGACTCGTCCTGGTACTTCCTGCGGTTCTTGGACTCGGCTAACAAGGAAGCCCCATTCTCTCCTGCAGCAATGCAGCCAGTGGATTTGTACATCGGTGGTATCGAGCACGCTATTCTGCACCTTCTCTATGCTCGATTCATTTACAAATTCCTCTCTCAATCTGAGCTGCTCCCAGCTACGAAAACTGATGCATCCGCAGAGCCTTTCAAAATGCTCCTCAGCCAGGGTATGGTCCACGGAAAGACCTTCACTGAGCCCTCGACAGGCCGCTTCCTTCTCCCATCAGAAGTTGATCTGACCAATCCAGACAAGCCTTTGATAAAGGGAACAACAGTCTCCCCTAACATTTCTTTCGAAAAGATGTCCAAGAGCAAGTACAACGGCGTAGACCCTACGACCACCACATCAAAGTACGGCGCTGACGCTACTCGCGCGCACATCTTGTTCTCCGCGCCAGTCAGCGAAGTCCTAGAGTGGGACGAAGCCAAGGTTGTCGGCGTCGAGCGCTGGTTCGGCCGACTCTGGAAACTTGTCCAAGACACCCAACACACCCTGACGGAGACATCATTCTCCCTCTCAGAAGCAGATCTAAAATCCTCTACCGGCCACGCCGCTCCCCTCCCATCACCACTTCAGGACCTGAGTGATTCCGACGCAGACGCAGTCCTAGCCACCCACAACACCATCGCATCCGTCACCACCTGCATCGAAAGCAACCCCTACGGCCTGAACACGGTCATCTCAGACTTAACCAAGTTGACCAACACCCTGGCATCGAACCCCGCCTCCTCCCCTCTCATATTATACCTATCCGTCTCATCCCTCCTCCGTCTTCTAGCCCCCATCGCCCCAGCTTTAGCCTCTGAATCATGGGAAGTGCTGCACGCAACAAATACCATCTCTACAACACCTGTGCCATCAGTCCTTTCATCACCGTGGCCCAGCACCCTCCTCACATCCGACCAAGCCGAAATCCTCTCCTCTCGCGGCGGCCAAACCGTCGCCGTTCAGATCAACGGAAAGCTCCGCTGTGCTGTGACTATCCCGCGAATGGAGTCTCAGTCACCGCAGGGCAAGAATGCTCCTTCACAGGAAGAACAGGATTGGATTGTCAGTCGCATCTTGGAGACTGCTGAGGGGAAATCATGGCTTCAGGAGAAGAATGACTGGGAGAAAAGACGACGGGTTATTGTTGTCAAGGGGGGGAAGCTTGTCAATGTTGTTTTCTGATTTTCTCTCTATATTAGATGTACAGACTTCTAAGTTGGCCTTCGAAGGCTGACTATTTGAGAGATTTACAATCTCTTCAATCACTTCACAGTATTCCGGTGTTCTCGATGACTGGGTGTTCCAGGCCCCCGGGGATTTATCTGATTAGATCACGAAGAATGCATACAGAACTTAAGCATTTATATCTTTGCGAAACAACTAAAATGAAGATTGTTTATACATTTCCATATAGAAAAACTCCCACGCTCGGAATAGGCAGTTCGGTTATCCTCTTCGCTCTTTGATCGTATTTGGGTATCCTATAAGACATTGACCAAAATCATACATTACCCACGTTCACTCCCTTCAGCTTGAACAGACTTATCACGCCCAGCTCCAACGGGCTGCGTCTCACCCATCGGGAAGCTGAGATGCTTCCAATCCTCAATCTCCTCAATAATACACTTCAACCGATCCCGTATACTCTCCACAGCATACGTCCCCAGAATCAACCTCAGAGGCGGATAAGAGCAATGACCAAGCTGCCAAACCAAATGCGCCGCTTTAACCGCACTAGCAGGCTGCTTATCACCCAACCACATGAGCATACGTCGCGCATGCGCCGCCGGCGACGTAGTCGTATTATACGGCTCACTGGGCGGTTTCACCAAAAAATGACCGTAGAGCGGCAACGGCGAGGAAAGATGATGTTCAGAGGGGTTAGTTGCGAAATCACCCGGAGTAACAACATCCGCAGTATCATCGCGACGCATGTGTCCCGGCTCGACAAGCGTACCCTTAATATTAAAACTATCCACTTCGTACAGCATACTCTCCATCAAGCCCTCGACAGCATATTTGGAAGCACAGTAGGGTCCGAGACCCGGCACGCCGAGCGCGCCAGACGTCGAGCTGAAAATGAGGTATCTGCCCGCGCGACGCTGGCGGAAATGCGGCAAAGATAGTTGGATCATGTTCAAGGTGCCTGTGAAGTTTGTTTCGAATTGGTTGCGGATGTCGAATTCATCTTGGTCTTCGCAGGCGCCGATCACGCCGTAGCCGGAGCAGTTTGCGATTATGTCGATTCGGCCGAAGTGGGTGATTGTTTGGTCGATTACACGCTTCACGGTCTCACGCGCGCGTACGTCGCATAGGAGTCCGATGCAGTTTGCTGATTCGAGCTCTTTCATTGATGCGGGGCTGTTCTCGTATGTGCGTCCCACTGCTGCTACTAGGTCATTGTTGGCCAGGGCGGTTTTTACTAGGGACCGGCCCATGTGGCCAGTTGCGCCGAAAATCTAGGGAGATGTGTTAGTTTATTGGTGATTTTGGTTGCTGGGGGGAGGGGTTGTATACCAGCCATACGAGGGGTTTGGCGGGATTCTGGGGGCCGGGTGGATCGGTCGTTGAAGGAAGATGGAGACTTGGTTCGCGCAATGCAGGAGAAGAGGGCCCTCCTTTGGGGGACGTCTGCTCCATGTTGTGGCTCTCAGATGAGGGGAGAAGAGGAAGATGGATCTCTCTCCGCATTTGGGGTTTCTCTTTACAGACAAAATTAGCGACAAACATGGAATAAATTGCCGTGGCTATTTTCTTTTCTGGTTTTTTAATCAAATTGACTCTTATTTGCAGGTCTTTACTTGATCTAATGCTATTCCATTATCCATATACACACTAACGTAAACGCAATTACCGTCCCACCTCCCGTCGCAGCCGTCCCGCAGCTGTCGTGGGTCCTGGTTCGGGCCAACTGCCCACTGCATCGTCTACCTCTTCCAAGAAGGTTGTACTGTTGTGAATGGAAGTTCCGCCTAGGACAACTCGTACACCCGGAGAGCTGGCATTGACCTGCGCTACCATCTTGGCCTCCTCGTATGTGGTGCCGCCAACCATAAAGATAATGATATCTTGCGGCTTGTCCCGTGTGTGCCCACTGCCCTCGAGGAAGGGATATTGCAGTTCCTTCAGACGGCCTTTAATGAGATTCTGAAGGGTCACTTCCAGTCGGGGGGAGTGTTGCGTGTAGACGTTCTCGACGCCTTTAAGGCCCTTGAAGCGGTCTCTGGCGCCGGAGAAGAAGGAAGTTGATTCGAAGAGGTCGGAGAACCCGCCTGCAACTGGTGGAGCTTGGAGGGAGTGGTGATAGGCGAGGAGCTTTGGGATAATATTTACGCGGTTAGATGAGACTTCACCCGCTGTGACTAGTAGATCAAGGAGAATTGGCAGCGCGTTGTTGGGATGCTTCTCATAACGAAGGGCGTAGAGAGCCACCAGGCGTAGCTTATTATCTGAGGGCACATTTGGCAGCCCGATGATCCGTTGTAGTGACTAGAGAAGAGTGAGTTCGTGGGCAAAGCATAATCGGTTTCCTTTAAACATACCCTAAAATCATTGGAGTGGTTATCATTGCATGCCAAGCTCTGCTCCAACTCGCTCACATCGAGGAGGGTGTCCTCGCCGACGCGTCGACTGAGTTCACCTACCAGGGTAACATGCTTGCTCACATTACCTGCCAACTTGCGGAATTCAGGATAATCCTCCACAAAACGCTTCATGTCCGCAATGGACTCGATATTCGCAGTGCTTTGGGTTTTGGTTTGGTACTGTTCCACATATTCTTTAATGTTCTGGCCCAGATCACCAAAGTTCTGATACATATTCTTCTTGAAGAAGGGGTCCTGGTCCTGTGCCAAGACAATCTCTTTCAATTCCGGCCGGATATCTGGCACATCTTGCAGGTCCACCCGGCCATTGTTGATGCCAAGCATCTCGTGCACCATCGCCTGGTATGTCCATTGAGTCAGCAACGGGGTGATGGGGTCATCGCGGCGGTCAAGAACGAGCAGGATAGGCGGTGTATCCGTCCGGCGGAAATTAAATAGCTGCTCCTCCTGCGTGATGTGGTATCGGACCTCCGTTGCCAATTTCCGGGCCAATAGGCTGTTCTTCTCATAGCGGATAAGCGGGTTCTTCTTCAACGCGAGAAGCAGGGCCAGAACCCCTTCCGTAGCTCTTTGTAGTGAATCTGGGTTCCATAAGTCTGGCGATTGGCTCCATATCCGTTGCAGTGGGAACCCCATGCCCAAAGAGCAAAGGTCGGGATTTATCACAAGGAAGTCGGCAAATTGTTCCTGGACTGACTGGACAACCTCGTGGCTGTCCGCTTCTGCAAGCCGCTCAAGGGCGGATTTGCGGATAATGTTGCTAAGGTAGATGTAATATTCGCCATATTTAGGTTCTCGAAGCTCGTCGATCAAAAACTGAATAGAGGTGGGTGATGGTCGCACAAAGCACAGACATCGCAGATGTCGCATCTTCTCGCGCGCGGCATTGTCCAAGCGGTCGATAAGGTAAACCTCATGATTGAGGAGGGCGGACTGGGTAATGGCGGTCGAAACAATAGGGACCTATAATAATAAGAGTTAGCGATCAAGGTCAGTATGTTACTAGCAGGGTAAAATCACCCACTGTCTCACTATCAAGAAGCAAGATCTTCATCTTGGATGACGAAGCTCCTGCCGACTCACCCACGGTGACCATCTTGGAGATGTACCCCGAGGCAGCCGCGACGACGTCCATGGTGTGGATCCAGGGATACTTTCAGGTGGATTGGTGTTATATTAGCTCCTCGTCGAAGCTGTTGAAGCTGTTGAAGATCGAGGGGTTGAATGTGGAGAGGGCGGGAAGTTGTTGGGGTGGAAATTCCACTTTCCACATGACAAGCTGTTTTTCTTGTAACTTTTTCTTTTTTTCCTTTTCTTTCTTCCCTTTGATCCTTCAAGTTTTTTTCTTCTTCTTTTCTGTTTTGTCTGTTTTATCTACTTTCTACAAGGTCAACAATGTTGCCCTATGTAGATCAGAGTATGTACTCCCCATACAAACCTCAAGTCCAAGCACCTCGGTCTAACTAACATTACTCCCCGCAGTATTTGAGGTGCCAGCCCGACTCACTGGCGCATCGACTGATGAGCGTACGATCTTTCCGCTTCCATAAGCTCCCATTGATAGCAGTTTCTGACCCCTAGCTCCAGTCAAGTTGATCGGCTCGTTCCTCATCTCCTACCCACTGGCCGCCCTCCTCAAACGTATTCCCGACGGTCAACCCTGGAAAAAGAATGCCTTCATTATCGCCGTGTCCTTGTTCTATATTGTTGGACTCTTTGACCTCTGGGATGGTCTACGCACCCTACTATACAGTGCCGCGGGTACTTATGCAATCGCCTACTATGTGGATGGATCACTGATGCCATGGATTGGGTTCCTTTTCCTCATGGGCCACATGTCGATTAACCACATCGACCGTCAGAGAGCGAACGAGAGCGGGGCTGTTGACATTACTGGAGCGCAGATGGTCCTTGTCATGAAACTTACCTCATTCTGCTGGAATGTTCATGATGGCCGTCTCCCCAAGGACCAACTCTCGGACCCGCAGAAATACTCTGCTATCACGAAGTTCCCGAGTATTGTTGACTACTTGGGCTATGTCATGTTCTTCCCTTCTCTCTTTGCCGGTCCTTCATTTGAATATGTGGACTACCGCCGTTGGATCGACACTACGCTCTTCGAGGTGCCACCGGGCACAGACCCATCCAAGGTGCCACCCACCCGAAAGAAGCGCAAGATTCCTCGTAGCGGAAGACCTGCTGCAAAGAAGGCCGTCGTTGGACTGATCTGGATCTTTGCCTTTATCCAACTGAGCTCATACTTTACCGTCGACTTTGTGCTTTCAGACGCGTTCTTGCAGTATTCGTTCCTGCGTCGGATCTTCAACGTGCACATGCTTGGTTTCACCGCTCGCACCAAGTATTACGGTGTCTGGGCTCTGACCGAGGGTGCCTGTATTCTATCTGGCATGGGATACAACAGCTTCGACCCGAAAACAGGCAAGGTTTTCTGGAACCGACTAGAGAACGTCGACCCATGGGCTATGGAGACGGCGCAGAACTCGCACGCTTACCTGGGTAACTGGAACAAGAACACCAACCACTGGCTGCGCAACTACGTCTACCTCCGCGTCACGCCTAAGGGCAAGAAACCTGGTTTCCGCGCCAGCATGGCTACCTTCGCTACCAGTGCGCTCTGGCACGGTTTCTACCCGGGATACTACATGACCTTTGTACTGGGCTCATTCATTCAGACTGTGGCAAAGAGTGAGCACGACCCAAGACTCTTCCTCCTCATCCCTTGACTAACTGAACAATAGACTTCCGCCGCTACGTGCGCCCCTTCTTCCTTACACCAGATGGCACCAAGCCAACCCCAAACAAGCGCTACTACGACATCCTCAGCTGGCTAGCAACACAGCTAACCCTCTCCTTCGCCGTCATCCCCTTCATCATCCTTAACTTCGACAAGTCCTTTACCGTCTGGTCCCGCGTCTACTTCTACGGCATCATCAACTGCGCCGTCTCGTTAGTCGCATTCGCCTCCTTCTCCCCACTCAGAACCTACCTCGTCTCCCAGTTGAAGCGCCGCAACCGTCCCCACGTCGCTCGCACCGCCAGCACCGAGACCGTTCGTCCGCCTGACCTCGGCTTGCCGAATGATCCGGAGCGTGACTTTGACGAGGCTGTTGCTGAGATCAAGGCTGAGATTGAGTCCCGGGGTAGACGGGGAAGTACAGTTAAGATGCCTACGGGTGAGGAGTTGAAGGCTGCTGTTGAGCAGAAGATTGGACGGAAGTTGTAAGCAGTTTTGGTTGAGATCTATGTTGGTGGGATTCATTTGGTAGCAGAGTGTTAAAGAGCCACTTTGGATTGGCTTTTCTGTGTTCCCTGCCGCTTGTGTTAAAATAATTAGATGTATTTCGGGTTTATTTTTTTTAATAGTGATTTGGTCGAGATTGGTCTCGTCTAGATCTGTGGATGTGTTTATAGATTCCAATTTGGAACGGGAAGATTTGCTTAAGGAATAGAAAGCTTTGATTCAATTGCAATTACTTCAAAGAGCAGTGAAGTTGAGTATACGGTAAATATCACAATATAGAACGCCGAAGAAAGGAGTAAAGCAAAGAACGAGTACGCGTATGTGGTAAAAACCAAAATCAACTTCAAATTCAAAGTAAAAAGCAAACAAATATATCCAATACACCGATGCATAGCAGAAATGCAAACAAAGGCAGTCGCCATGCATAGGAATCCCAGTAAAAATATGAAGCCATAGACAAGTCTGAAGGCAAAAAAGTTGCAACGCACAGAAAGATGCAAAACAGAAGAGGATATTTATGTGCGTTGAAGTCGTCGAGTCGTTGAAAAGAAATATGCAGTTCAAAGGAGAATGCAAAGAAAATAAAAAGGGGGGCTGAATAGTCAATAATCAAGAGAAGAGAAAAAAAAATGCCTGCAGTATCAGCTGAAGCGGAAAAAATGGCAAAAGAACCAGTCGATTGGTTGAGGGAAGTCAACCAAAAAGAAAAGAAAAAAGCAGAGTCTCAAAGCAAATGCTGAAGGTCCAAGTCGTAAGAGCGTGAAAAAAAAGTCAAGATCGCCAAAAACGCAGTCCGAATGCTGTAAATAACCCTAAAAACCCGTGGTAGTCCCAATAACAGCCAACACAATAATAATAACAAGTATAACAACCCCAAGGGCAATCATCCATCGATTAAGAGTCCTCCACCATCGCGCATTATCTCTCCTCCTTTGTTGCAAATTGACACACTGGGCCTCAAGCGCCGCACCCACATCCGAGACGGACTCGTACTCGACCATCTGCGGCATCTTCGGTTTCGGTGGCAGCGGCAGGAAGGCCGCGATACACCAGGCAACGGGGAAAATGAACCCCGCGCAGAATGAATATACCTGGATATTTCGACGGCCGAACATGGGCTCGTTGCGAGAGTCAAGGGATGGTGGCCGCCATCGGCTTGTCGAGCGCTGTGGAACACGTCCGTCTGGGATGAGGTGCGGGGACCAGCTGTGTCGGAGGCGGTGGAGGTGGCCACCACTGAACTCGCCGTCTTCGGGTTGTGGGGAGGGGACCCAGTGAGCACGCGGATCACGCGGGTCGCTCTCAATACGGCGTTGGGGAACGGGTTTGCGTTGTGGGGAGGGGGGTCTTTGTTCTGGGGAGCGGGGGCGGGGGACGTTGAGGGGGCCTGGAACGAGGTTGAAGATGCTTGAGTTTGAGGTTCCAGTTCCTGGGCGGGTGGATGGCGGCCGTGTAGATGGCGGGCGTGTGGATGGCGCGCGGTTGCTATCTATCATGGATAGTGTTGAGTTTAAGCCCATTGGCTCGCGGAGGTAGTAAACTTTTGCCCAGGTTGGAAGGATGCTGAGAATTGTGCTTGACCCCGTGCCTGGGCGTTGAAGGCTGCGGGTGCTGTTGCTTCGTTTTGAGCCCGAAGAGAGACTTTGAGAGAAGACTGGGCGCGTGGGGAGCTTGGTCAGGCTGTCGAGGCGCTCGTCTTCGCTGTCGTTGGGGGATTCGACAAGCCAGACGGAGGATCTGGTTGTTTCTGTTTTTAGGGCTGCTGGTGGCGGTGGGGTTGGCTCTGCCATGTCGCGGTCTGAGTCTGTTTCTGCTTCTCCAGCGAGGTTGGTTAATTCATCGGCGGACCAGATGGATGAGACTGTTGATAGGTGCGGGTTCCAGCGTCCAGATGCCAAGTGGGGATTGCAACGTCCGGATGGAGGGCCAGGGGTGAAGTCGCGTTCTGATGTAACTGATGTGCCGGCGCGGGAGCTTGAGGACGATGGCACGCGAATACGCGGGTATTGAATAGGCACTCCATTGTCAATGGCTGCCTGCAGGTCAGAAGCGGAGCGGAGACTGCGCGAAGAAGATGTTGCTGATTGGGAAAGGCTGCCTGATGGTGCCCTGGATGACGAGCGGAACGAGGCTATTGACTGCGCAGGTGGGCTGGAGTGGAATGAGGCGATGGACTGCGCGGGCGGGCTGGAGTGAAATGATGGGGATCCATAGCTCGAGTGCTCGGATGAAGCTGGTTGAAAGGCGTTTTGGAACCAGGGTGCAGAGCCGGTGTGCCTGACGACGGTTCCTCGTGAATTATACGAGGAGAGTGAGTTTGTTCGCGGATCTGACTCCGATGCTGTAGCCGAACTATTGAAGTTCATGCTCGAGTTATCCAGCATAACAAAGTTGGGACTTGACGGGGCTCCGAGTTGTTCGACGACAGGGCTAGAGTACCCAGTGACGGATTCCGCAGAAGACTTTGGCGACATGGATGGCTCCGAGAGAACAGCTTTAATGGTTGGTGTGGTTGTCGGCAAGACGATCATCTCGTCATCTGAGTATTCGGGTTCGGAACTCTCGAACCCATAGTTTGGTGCTTTCCCCGTATCTGGCAATGATGACTTGCTGGATGATGGATCGTCATCCCATAACTGTGGAGGCGAGTTCCCGGTATCCACGGTGGAGGATACATCCCAACTCTCACCAATTGAAAAATCTCTCGGGCTGTTGGGTGCTGGTGGGCTGAATGGTGGTGGGGAATACGCAGATCCCAGTTGGTGATCTGAATAGCTGAAACCAGTGTCTGATATGTATTGTTGTTGTCCTTTTCCGGGAAGAGGTAATAGGATCTGCTCGGGTTTTGTCGGGAATGGGGTCGCAGTGTACATATCAAGCTCTTCGTTCGGCACCATTCGCAATGACTGAGCGGGTGATCTTTCGTTTGAATGAGAGGGGGTACGCTCGTGCAATGCCCTTCGCGCGCGTGGCGAGGTCGACCGAGCGGTAAAAGACATTATTTGGACCTTATATGCTTGGAAAGACGAAATAAATCAAAGGCAAAATCGGTTGTCAGGTGTCAAACCAAAAGATCGGATCAAAAGAGTGGATTGTTCAATGTTGTTGTTTTTCGGAACGATGTAAAGAATGTGGTACCCGTTGATATGGGTAGTTCTATAGGCTGATGTTCATCAAAAAGAGCGTGGGTAGACGTGCAGAAGGTCGTCAATTAGTTCGTTTCAAACATTGGCCATTAAAGAGAGGCAGAAAAACAATCATTAGAACGTTTCAAAACAAAAAAGGGACAGAAAAAGCACAGGAGTAAACAGCACGAGAAGCAGAACTTGAGACACTTTTGGATGGAAGGGGGGGAATTTCGGTTGCCCAGCGGTGAGCGTCTAAGCAGGTGAGATTCTAGCCAGACACTGCAGGGGGTTGTAACCTGCATGCAGTTGGAAAAAAACGTTGCTAACTTGTGTGGCTCTAGATGATTGGTCAAGATGAGAGCAAAAGTACAAGTTGTGGGTGGTTCAGTCTTTTTTCTCGAGGTGTTCGTGAGTTGTTTATTTCTTATATCGGTACTTGGTAGGATTATCACGCTTAATATAAGAAAATCCATATTAATGCGGAGCATCTGTCAAAGGAGAACCACAATTGACTCCTTCAAACACATTTCCTCATTTAATCGCGAGTTTTGGGTGGATCCTGTGTGCGTTGTCCCTGATCCTGATGAACTGCCACTAGTTTATAGCGTCTGACAGGGGTCGAACACCACTCGAACACCAGAGAAGAGCAGAACGGAGCAAGAATGATGCTCCGTATACTCATCAATGAATAATGTCTCCTCGTGATCGGAGAATAACCCACGATCCCTCGCGTTGACTTACATTTATAAAAACTCAATAGCTTCAAAAGGGGGTTGAGAGCTCAGATCCTGTTTTTCCCAATTTAGCACGATCCACTTCAAATCAGGTGACGTTTGATCTTTTAAGGGGTTCAGGGTGAAACCGATGAGATTGTTTATTTTTATATATAGAAAACGTCAAATCTCTCAAATATATATATATGTAGACATACGGAATATCAAAAAGAACAATCGTAAGAATTCACATTCAGTCTGTATCTAATGATGACAATACCATACTGTATTATATCACTTTCAACCAATCATCTCCCATTTCTCTGTACAGTAGGAACAAAGAAAATCGGCCTTTACCTTTTTCTCTCATCAAACCATAAAAAGGCCAAAAAAGACCAAAAGACCAAAAGACCATAAATAGCCTCTCTCACCCAACTCTACAAATGGCGCCAATAGGGATAATGGCTCGACTCAAAAGTCTCTATTCCAAGCAGGGTAAGTTAGGGACAAAAACCTAAAAACAAATTGTCTCTAACGCGCCTCAGATGAACCTGCCCTGTCAGAAAAGACGGTCGCTTTTCTGTCTGTATGTAGACCTCCTAGAAACACAGAAAAACAAACATACTTCACTCTACACCCTTGTATCTAACTCCCCCAGGTCATTCTCACACTACTCTACGTGGTACCATTCTATCTCTCCCCAACAACCCGTCCATCCCCAACTCTCAGTCGCGATGCCCCATCCGTGATTCGCGCCCGCATCCGCGCCGTCACGGGCTCATGTATTGTCGCCTCATTATTCGTCCTCTGGCTCATTGTCGAGGAAGATAATTCTTCCATCGGCGCTGGCATCAGACTCCTCGGCTGGTGGCCCGTCGGCCTGCTAGAGACGCTTCGGAGTCTTCTACTAACCATGATTCTATTCCTGGGCCCACTCTTTGAGCGTGGTATTGTCGAGGGCGAGTGGAAGTTCTGGTTCCGTCCCAGCAAGCTCGCCGAGAGTCTCGGTGGCTGGATTGGCTGGAGGAATTTCGTCGCGGTACGCATCTGTACCTGCATTTATTTTTGTCAAACCCCCAAATCTAATATCCTCCTAGGGTCCTTTCACTGAAGAAGTCATGTTCCGATCCGTGATGGTCCCGCTGTATTTGCTAGCACATACCTCGCCGGGCCGGATCGTCTTCATCGCACCGCTGTGTTTCGGCATCGCGCACGTGCACCATTTCTATGAGTTCCGTCTGACGCACCCAGATACCCCAGCTATAGCTGCGCTACTGCGGTCGCTCTTCCAGTTCGGATACACGACTATCTTCGGCTGGTATGCGACTTTCGTCTATTTGCGGACGGGCTCGTTGCTCGCCGTTGTTCTCATCCATAGTTTCTGTAACTGGTGCGGATTACCGCGGTTCTGGGGACGTGTTGAGGCTGGTGAGACTATTGGTCCCCCTATGACAAGGGGAAAGGAGGATTCTGACGATGGTGGTGTTGGGGTTCAGGGTGATTTGGGTGTTGGGTGGACGATTGCTTATTATGTGCTTCTTGTTGCTGGGGCGGTTGGTTTTGCTCAGGGTTTGTGGCCTTTGACTGAGTCTTATCATGCTCTAGTTTCATTTTCGGGGGGCTCGAACTAGATCGGGTAGAACTTGAGATCCGGTCTTGGCTTAGTACATTTCAGTTTTCTTCCAGTGTCATTCTTTTATAGACCTGTTATGCCCGGTGTTATGTTACATATGTCGTGAGCCAGCCGTGGAGTCCGTATATAGAATGGGGGATTCTCTGCCCGATTAGGTCTGTGTGGCATAACCTGGCACTTCGAGTCGATATATATTGTCATCTAGGACACAGGAGACATTGAAATGGATCAAATGCTGATTATTTGTGGATTAGATGCTCAAATTAAAATAAATTAAAAATCTTGTGATAAAAATGGTAGTTATACAATGGCTGAATATACTCCCTGAACTAGGGAGTTATATATTTTGAGCAACTAAATAGCGTCCGATACTGGTTCCCTGATATTTGTGGCTGGGAGTATTGTGGCCTTGACTACTCCGTATATCCAATAGAGAAGGAGAATTGGCAGCATCGTAGCTGCTAGTTTGAAGGAAGGAATAAGGAGCTCATCTCACATTTTGTAGTTTAATTAAAAGAAGAGATCAGAATTGTGTCGATTCCGTTAAGAAATAAAGGGAAGCTTCATACATCAATCGCTATGTGGCTACATAGAGCAAATAGTAAATCTATTAGGTTACCTATAGACTTCCAACCAAGGTTGGTTTCTTCCCCTCTTACCTACCTAGGTAGTTACCCATGAAGCCAAAAAAATAAGAAAGGCGGGAAGAAAGTCTAAACCGAACGGATCGCGAAGAGGGGGTGGCAATGAATGACCTCGGGAGAAACCCTACGTGCGCAATCCGTGGATAGGCAGGGATTATCGAGCCTTGGTTTCTTCAACATAACTACCACTGAAGCAGGTTGGCCTTTCTACCCCTAATACTAGGAATAACCTTGGAACGTACGGGAAATTAGTCAGGATAGGAATGGGATGTGACTTTAATAGTTTCATGTTAAGCTGATGACAAGAAGATCGATATCTGCTTAATTAGCGGGCACTCCGCAAGTAGGCATGTAGATAGTCTGGACGGCACTACCGTTACAATGACGTTGATAGGCTCTATTTCTCACACCCCTGCTTCCTCTCTAAATTGTTGACTATTGAGAAATGCACACCGACTAAACAACTTTTCCCCATGAAGCGCTTTCTCTGCATCAGTCATAACCTCCATGTCCGCTTCGATGCCTTCGCTACATTTAGTGGAACCGGAGCCATGAGGACCACCAAACAGCTGCAGCGAGATATGGTTAGGCACATCGCCCGTTGAAGATTTGACACAGTCATTCGAAAAGGCAGGCGGCCATGACTGAAGTCGTTCGTCTTCCCCTTTAGGAGCGCCATGCACGAACTGAATAATTGTCCGACTGAAATCCCGCGCTAGCGCAAGCTGATCGTCCGAATTATCTGCACCGGCCTCTAGGTGGTCGTTGTTGAATAGGTAGGGGATGTCGCTGAGATGAGCTACACCCCACATTGACACACCCATGAAATCAAAGACTGGCGTGTATCTGGTTTGGTTGAACTCATACAGCCGCACCTGTGAGGCTTCCACACCCCCGTTTTTGACATACTGCCACGTAAAGTCAAGGACTGGACAAGTGAACCAGATGTCGCGATTCAACTGTGCAGCACGATAGTACTGTGGTGAAAGTTGACCACCATGTTCTTCCTTGACCATGTGTGCAAAGTCCTCTAGAGGATATAGGTGTAGGAGCTTCTCTTTGGTGGATTTTGAAAGTTTGTGCAGCCATAGCCCGAAGCTCCCTAGAACTTCGTCGTCTGTCGCAGTCGTTGGGAGTGCGTACCAAGCGCCATCGTTTGTGACCCAGGAAGCTATTAAGGGAATTCCTTTGGTAAACTTTCCTGCGCGAGTCAACTCGGAGGGTCTATCTTGAATGAAGTCATCATCGATTGTTGGGTAAAAGAACCCTTCGCCGAAAGGCGGACGGGCTGCGCGAGATGCAGTAACGGATAGGTTGGTTAGTTGCTCGAAAGGAACAGCTCGAAGACACTCCAGTGTCTGCAGATCTTGGTTGCCGCCGCATCCTACTTGCTGTGCAATAGCAGCCGTATTATCCGCAACCAGTTCTGGCTGGCTGTTGAAGTTCAACCCTGGACCGCCAGACATCATTCTAGGCGCGGATTAGCATGGAACAGGTTTAGATATCGGTTCACTCACACTCCTTGCTGGAATGGAACATCTCGATCACCACCAAAGGCGGTTAGCTGTAGACCGATGTCACTGGCCCCAACGCTCTGTCCGATGACAGTCACTGAAGCATAGTATGTCAGCATCGGTGCTTGAATGCAGGAAAGGGTAGTTGAATATACCTCTGTTAGGGTCACCGCCGAATGCCTCAATATTATCGCGGACCCCTGATTGCTCAATGTTTTAGCTTCTCATGATGTGATAAAACAGTACCGAGATACATACACTCCAAAGCGGCACGCTGGTCACGGAGCCCTGCATTTGTCTCTTTCTTCTCAACCAATGATTCGCTAGTCGCAAAACCGAATACTGAACAAGAAGCAGGAATCAGTACATAGCCACGGCGCAGAGTTCCAGGAACTCCTGATACAAGACTTACAGCCTAGGCGATAATTTATGCCAACATATACCAGCGGCAGTCCATCATCAGCAGCCAGATTTATCAAGCCGTCAGGTTCGTAAAGAATATCGGAAGCTGAGCCCAAAGCATGGCCACCTATCTGCTCATTAGCTCCAGCGCTTACATTCCCCAAGTAGTAGACTAACCTCCATGGATCCAGACCGCAACTGGAAGCTTAGCATTCTTCTGTGTACCTGCCGGTCTCGCGATTCTCAAGCTCAGACAATTTTCGCTAATATTGGTCACTCTACTTGTGAACGGAAGTATATCCCCCGTTGCTTGTGGACACCAGGCCCCAGCCTTGGTGGCATCAATGACAGATCCCTTCACTGGCTTCGTTGGAACTGGCGGTGCGAAACGTCGCTGTCCTGTAGGTTCCTCGGCGTAGAAAATGTTCTGGAAATGCTCAATCCCGGAAGGGGATAGACTGCCAAGGTAAGTAATATCTCGTGCCGAGTCAACTACCTTTAGGCTGGGACTTAGAAAGAAAGTATTCAAAAGTTCCTGGTAATAAATTGCAATGGCTGCTAGAAGCACGGCTACCACGGACGCAAACACGCGGTTAGCCATACTGGCTAGAATAATGTCAAAAGTCTAAGGTCCTAGACGTTGAAGTAGGTATTAACTCTTACGATAGATGAGTGGGAAGGTAATGAACCTTAGAAAGCCTAGAGTTGATAAGGCGCAGCAAGGGGTTGATTAGCGGTGATCTCTGTACCATTGTCATTTGTACAGATGATCTGCTATAGGTGTGACGATCATGCCTGGGTGCCTTCTTAGGTGTGGTGTATGGTATGCTTTGACCACTTTTCTTTGTTTGCTAGGTATGCGCACGGGTAGCCACATTATCCACTTTAAGGCCCCCGACATGAGTTATACATTCACTTTCTAGGCGGGTTACCGAATTAGTATGATATTTTGCTAATTATGGAGTAGACTGATCATATAACCCTATTACTTGCTTCTTCTGCTTTAACCCGTTTGAGAGAATAAACAAAGACGTTACATTTCATTAAACTGGAACCCCAAACAAGAGTCGAACGACTTCTGTAATAATAGGGGATAAAATGCCTGAACATATGCCCTATTTCATCCATGCATCAGTCTGATTCCTAATATTACATCATCTTAGTTCTGGACAAGCCAATAAAACGTTATACCCTATCATTTCCCACCCACGGGCCTGGTTTTGCTTCGTAAGAGTGATCACGATGTGCATACCCGCATGAAGTATTAAACTTGGTGAGGGGTGTCTTGCCATCATTCGTTGATGCCGATGTAGAATGCCCAAGGAGACCAAAATCACCTTCCTTTGACTGACCGAAGAAACGGTACAGAGTATCCCGACATTGACCAAGAACAGGTCCAAAGACCGGCATGCAGCAGACAATCATAGCCACATTGACCTCGATCTCCGACCATAGGATAAATAGCGTGAAATCAGCTATGAAATCAGGATTATCCTCCTTGTCATAAGACGTCACGAGATAGATGTATGTCCTTGCAACTCCTGCGCCGATCGTGCTATGAGAATGCAAAGTTAGCATCCAGTATTCCAATAGATCTCCAGGGAGGGGAAAAAACATACAATATTCCGACCATGAACACACTCGTAACTCCAATCTTCTTTTTCGTGGACATTTGCAATTTCCAGATGATCGGCACAGGCATGAACATGATCACAAAATCCGTCAGTAAATCCGTCCCACAAAATACTGTTAGCATATTCAGTGTATCAGTGCACTCTGTCAAAAAGAACCCAATCGGTGCCCAGTTCCAGTCCCAGTGTGTCCCGCATTGGAATAAGGTCGCGAAGAAGAAAGATATACTCCAAGCAGCAACAATCACAATCATAGCCCAGCAAAACAACTGGAAAGAGCGGATAGGACTTAGCATCCGCTTCCATAGGAATAAGATAGAGAGTTTGATCAGTCCAAAGGCGATTTTTTCTGTTGTTTGGAAAGCATATTTGTATTTCTGGGCCAGAGTTTCGAGCGCGCTGGGCTGGGGCCAGTTGTCTATAACTATGGAGTGACCAGTGATTGCTCCTTGGATTATGCCTGCGAGAAAGATTCCATTTAGAGCAATGACAAAGAGCTGCCTTCATATTAGTATATCGTCGCTGTAAACACTGGGGTAACTGTATGAGGGGAGATGGACATACAAGAGAAGACAGCGCAAACCAGTCATCAGCCCCCAGGGATACTTTCGTGAGTCGTCTGGAGTAGAAGCGGAGAACCACTGAAATTATCCCTGTCAAGAAGAAAATAGACGTCATGACTATTAACCCTGAACGGTCGTTCGCGTGTGGAAGGGTGCGGTGATATGCCATCGTTGGCCACTTCGCCAAATGCGTTTAGGTTCAGGTTTGTGTTTGTTTCTGAGGACCTTTTGTGCAGTATATAGTAGATTCTGATAAATAATAAAAGGTCAAGAAGAGCGAAAATAATGGGCTCGTATACCCATCAGTTAAGGCGAAATCAAAAAAAGGTTAATTGAAAAAGGGCTTGGCTGTAAAAAGGAACCTTGGAAGTTGATTTCAAAACCAAAAGGAATGGCTATCGGTTGTACAAAGAGGGAGGCATCCAGGAATGACCGAGATCTCGGCATGTTTACTTGATTAAGTGGCTTACAGGCAAGGTTGGCCTGGAAGGGTGAAAAGCTCAGGTGGTTTTATTTGGAAGGTGTCGGGGCAAGGCTCTCGAGTAACCGCTGCAGGGGGGGGGCGTGCTGCAGCATGCCGGGGATGTTGATTTTCTGTACTCGCGAACTTTTACCGTCGATCAAACCCTCTACTCTACTTAGTTTTGTAACCTTTTGGACTGTGTGATTAATTCTGGAGTCTGCAATGCCATCTGATAAGGAAGAATGCACTGGTCTTCTCAACGACAAGACCAGCCATCCAGATATACCTGCAAATAGCTCTGGCGCGAAATCCTACAGACGTCGATTCCTCATTCTGATTCCTATCCTGATTCTATCCCTCACTGCGAACATGATCACCATCTCTATCATCTTTTCGAACCCGAAACCCTACCAACCACCATCAAAATACGCCAACCTTAAACTCACCCACACAGAACCTTACGTTCTTCTAACCGACTACGCTTCTCATAACACCACCCTAGCCGACTCCCTATGGCACTCCATAAATATTGACAGCGGCGTCGTCGCCCTCTCCGACACCTTTGCTGCATCCCACAACCTTCGCACAGCGCAGCGCTTTCCCTGGGATACCAGCAAAGGAATCTATATCCTACATGGCTTCCATAACCTACACTGTTTGAAAATCATCTACAATAGCCTTTTCGAGTATCGAACTGGCCAGGAACAGTCGAGGACATGGCATCACATCGCGCATTGTCTTGATGCGTTGAGACGGCAGATGCTATGTGATGCAGATGATACGCCTAGAGCTACAGACAGAAGGGCCGAGGTTGTTAGTGGAGTCGGGCAGCATCGCGTTTGTAGGGACTGGGGAGAGTTGGAACGTTGGGCGAAAGCTCATACGGCTTGTTATAAGCGTCCTGAGAAGCCCGGGGATGAGGTTGGATTGAAGAGATTTATGCATTGTCCGGAGGGGAGTGGGTATGTGGTTGATGAGGGGTATGTGCCTACGGATGAGGTTTTGGTGGGGTTGCCCGAAGAGTCGATTGCAATAGCGGTGACTGGGGATGTACAGAGAGAGTAGTATAGTTGTGATTGCGATAAAGATTGGTGTGTTACGTAGAGGAGACCTCTTCTATAGGGTACTAGGATTGTATAGAGTACTAGGACTGGAATTGGCTTCACTAAGAATTTCAAGAGAATGAACTCTCGAGGGTCTTAGGTACATATTTTGAAGATACAACTCCTGAATTCGACAGGGATTTTTCAAAATCCATCTGCGACAACCACACCGTCAGATTTCTCTCCGTTGTCTTCTCTGGCGACCATAACGGGTTTGACAACCGCTGAGTCTTGATAGCATCTGTCAGCCCAGTCCAATTGTAGACATATGTCTCTTCTTGTGATATACTTACTTTCAATGGGTGTAGGTGCAGCCAATGCCAAGGCGGCTAGGAAGGTAAGGAGGAGAAGGTATGTACGCATGTTGGGTGGTTGGGGCTCTTGTTGTAAAGTGGATTAAACGGTCAAAGATGTTTCTGAAAGTTGGTTGCTTCACGTAGACAGAGGCCTAACTTGGCTTTAATAGAGACCTTCTCAAGAATACGAGGAAATGCATTCCATAAATATAGTAGTTTGCTTACTACATATCACCACATATTTTCAGTCCAACCTGGATGCATGCTGATCAACCAGTTAAGGGCGCCTACATGCATTATGCCCCTCTTCTACTCACACCGGAGCAAACTCCTAGTATAGCAATAGTATGTAGATCCCTAAAAGATATGCAAGGTGCTACACCTTACACTCACCTCTTCTACCCTTGCAAATGTGATCCGAAGTGACAGAATCCAAGAAGGGCGCTTAGATAAACGTGATATATAACGGCGAGAGGCAGAGTCCCACATTATAATACATTCCAGCGCTAACAGTCCATTTCCAACTGGACTAGGCCCCCATCAAATAAGTGACGTGACCGTGTGATTGACACTGCATTTAACCGCTGACTTGTCTCTCGGCGTCAAGCAAGGGGGTACGACTTAACTTAGACATCCGAGTTAGCCTTAACACTCTATTTCTGTAATCTTTTCTTCTCTGGCGTTCTAGCCTTCAAATTCGCATTTTAAAACTTGCGTTTAGTTTATACAATGTTGATAGCAAAAGAACATGAGTATAAACCTCTCTCAAATGTCAATGAGGACTTAAACCAAGAAGAGGAGCCTCGACCTCATCTCAGCAGACCATCAAACAGACGATGCACAGTCCCACACGTCATATGCTTCATCCTCGTTTTCATAGCCGCATTCATAGCCGGGGCATTATTCACCCTCTACATTTCCAACCCACCCACCACGCACAGCTATGAACCTGGGACTGTAGAAAACATATCAATAGCACCTCATCTCCCGCTCCCCCAAATTGCGGGTGAATTCAAACATAAATCCCCTTTTTCAGAGGAACCACCGCGGGAAGGAAACGCATCAGAACCAATATGGGATGCGTTGATACCTAGTACGTCCTGTTTTATTTCCATCATCTCATATCAGTACCTACTATAAGATACGGCAATAACAAAATCTATAGACGGCCTGGGGTACTTCATCCCCGAAACCACCAACACATCAAAGTCAAAGTCCTCTTCGGTGGTAATACCATCTGTCTTCCACCAACTCCACTGTCTCTACCTCCTCCGGCGAGCCTATTACACACCCGAATCAGAGCTCCAACGTTTTGACTTTGGACGGAATCGCTCCGTCCATGTAGCGCATTGCTTTGATTACCTTGCTCAGGCGATTACATGTTCGGCGGACAGTACACTTGAGCCGGCAGTTGATAAGGAGCATGGATTTTTGGGAAGCGGGTTTGCGAGACAGTGTTCGGATTTCGAGTACTTGAAAAGCGTTGTGGAGAGTAGGAGAGCGTTTAATGCGAGTGGATTTATGGCTTGGGGAGCAGGGAAGGAGGGGAAGGTTGACTTGGGGTGATGGGTTCAGGTTAGTAAAAAGGATCTGGGGTACTGGGGCCTTTACTATAACGTCTAGGAACTATCGGAGGGTTAATAGAGGTTGATGTTGAGAAGATGAGGAGTTTATATAGTTGTAAGAAAGATGGAGAGGGATCTACTCTTCGTCAAGTCCTAAAGCAAATAGGGGGGCGATTTCATGTGATTGACCTAACAATATATATTTATGGCTCATATACCATGTAGAGTACAGAGTAGTGAGGATATACTTCCAGGGGTTGTAGCCATCATACCTCTTGGGATCTTAGAGTGTGCTATATATACAAGGTTAGCTTCCCCAAAAAAAGAAGTCTGAAGAAGATTCCGATGCAAGCACTCACCACCAGCCAATCCATGCCCTCTGCAATACCTACGCGGTCAGTAGCGGAGCATGGAGCAATATTCCATCTTCGCTGTCCTAGTAGTTCTCCCAAATTCAACGCCTCTGATATCTCCGCCGGGCTCTTTGCCCCCTCTAAATCCTGTTTATTGGCAAATACCAGAAGAGGAATATCGCGGAGCTCACGAAAGTGTTCGTGTTCAAGCAAGAGCTTGAGTTCGTTGGCGGCGTGATCTAGTTGAGCATGCCATGCGGCGTCGACAACAAATATGATCGCATTGGTCTTGGCGGCATAGGTGCCCCACGATGCTCGCAACTTGTCTCTTCCTCCTACATCCTAGATAGAAAATAGCTCAGCGACAATTCTTTACGCAAGGGTATAGTCCATCCGGGCTGGTCGAAAATCATACCCAACAAACGAAGTTCATGCCTCCATGAGTCAATGATTCGACATTAAATCCTACTGTGGACACCGTTTTGATAGGACCAGAATTATAGTCCTAGAGACACTTGTATTTAGCTTTCACCCGCGAAAACTGACCGTCTTCAAATTACTTTGAGTTGTGAATATAGAAGTGTAGTCTTTCCAGTATGAAACTGCGCAAAAGATGAAGGTCAATACTAGTGCCTGCAAATATCTTAGATTTGGATGTGAAGAAGTTCTAGCATACCGGTCCAGCAATAAGTATTCGATATTCCTTCTTCTGCCAAAGCGAAGATAGTGGTAGTGATATGGAGGATCCCATGTTTCTGGAACATGAGGAGAGAGTAAAAAAAGCAAGGGGAGTTTATTCAGTCTCTTGATAGCTATGCAACAGGCAGAAATATGGGGGAAGGCACTATGGGCACGACTATTTTGATTTGCACACTCCCACTAAACTACATTGGGAATCTCCCTGGCAGATCCCATATGTAAATTACAACGTATTGTTTGGAAAACAGTTATATTACCCGTTTACCAGAGGCTCATTAGGGGGTGGATATAGAGTGCTGATACTACGGTGGAAAAGGGCGAACACGTTATGTCGGGGTTAAGATATTGATATGGATATTCTTCTTTCGATCTGTGAGGGCACCATGCACACTCCCGTGACCTTCCTTTTTTTTTTCAGATTCCTCATCTAACTCCCTCTATTCTGCTGCTGGACACCAATCATAGTGACCATTCTCGTTGTTTCCCCACCACGAGGGGAATGGGTGTGAGACTCCACCAGCTCCGAAAACAGCAAATGAGAGAATGAAGAGAACCATCAGACTAGCGCCATCAAAGGCTCCCGCAATCAGATAGGAATAGTCCCTGAAAATTCGAGGCTTGTAGTTTCGGAGATAAAACTGAACGTAGAATCCGGCGATGATCCAGGTGAAGATGACACAGGTCTGGCTTTGGTTGTAGGGAATGTAGCCGGCGTATTGGATGAACTGCGGTAGATTGATCTCCGAAGTGTCGAATTTTCCAATTTTGGGCACGAACTAAAAGTGAAATTGGCGTTAGCTTCAAGTAGAGGGACAGGCCGTGAGGATACTTACTCGGTGGAAGATAGCGTGAATCATTACTACACCAGCGCCAGCAATCAAGCCAAGAGGTACAGCCCCGTATGGAGTGCCAATCTTATAGATGTAAGGAGCCAGAGCCCATGATGCGGCATTGGTGTTGTAAGACTGTATAGTTGCACCACTCCAGGAGGAGTTTCCATCGCCATCGGAGAGAAGCTCTCGATTGCCCGACACAATGGAGATCATAATGGCGTAGTTGATGAAACCGCCAAGGACTGTGCCATAAATTTGTGTCAGGAACATGATACGTGGAGGGATTTTCACTAGAAGATACGTCAGTTTCTGATCAAAATAATGAGAGAGCGAGAGAGATATTCACGGTATTCGCCCATCTTCAGATCGTTGGAAAGATTAACCGCATTGGTGATGACATTATGCGACCAAGCAGCAAAGTACATGTTACCGATCGGGCGTCCAGGAAGGATGAGCCCAGCCAGCATTTTTGACAAATTATTGGTAGCAATGCCATTACCAAATCGAGAGTAGAGGATGGTACTCTATAGCGCACGGCTGAAGTTAGCGCATTGCTTCACAACAATTCTCATTAGGGAACTTGTACTCACAAAGGGTGCAATAATGCATCCGAGCGCGAGTGAGACAACATATGCCCAAGCTGACAAGGTGATGTTCTCTTTCGTGGTGACAATTATACCAAGAACGAAACTACCCACAAGCACGGTGATATACCACCACCACGGAGCCTCTTTATAATGCTTCACCATATGCTCGTGGTGCGGATCGTCATATCGACCTTCCCTCGCGCTTTTATAGGCCTTCAGAATATCCTTCCCCCAAAATAGAACAGTATGGACGATCAGGGCACCGATTGCTGCGTTGGTCATAAACATCGCGAATGCGAACGTTCCAGTGAGCTTCGGCAGCCCATATTCACCCATAGCGGCTTCGTCGAGAACACCACCGGGAAAGACAGCGTTCAAAGGGTATGTGGTGCCATTGCTCTGAAGCATTCTTGTCGACATGAATGGAAGTGATTTCGCATCCCAGGCATTGCCATAGTATATGCCTATCATAGCAACAAAACAGGCAGCAAACCCTAAAGCCTGATGGATTTGTAGTTTGAGGGGGAGGGAGGTTTGGAAGGATGTGAGCTGCTTCTGTTAGAGACCTGCTAGCTCAATATATTGGTATAGAAGGTTATTATCTCACATATTGCCAATCGAACGAGAGCGTGAATAGGCCAAGACCTTGATTGTTGGTGGCGCCGCCAAAGACATTGTTGAGTACGGAGGCAGTTTCACCAGTGGCCTTTTGTGCAGCCAGGCACTATAAAGTATGAAATTAGCGACTTTTGTTCAAAGACCGATAAACCGGAGAACTCATCCGAAGAGATCAACAAGACATTCTAACAAAAGAAAAGCACATACCGGAATAGAAACAGAGTTTAACCACGGGAAGATGTAGGCAGGAATGGTCTCGTACACCGCCATGCCACAAAATGCATACCAGAAGTATTTTAGTGGCTTCGAATTTTTGACATCCTGCCAATGAAGCCCCTGGAGAGTCTTAACAGTAGGCAAAGTACTCCAGTAGACGGCCTCGGTGTGCCAGACAGCGATAGGACGCATAACTCCACAGACTCCATAGCCAAATAAACCGATAGAGATAGTACTCAATATCACAGTCGCCGCACTCAAGGGGAGATTGTAGAATAGATCTTGTGCTGCAAACACCATCGAGGAACTGGAAGCATTGGAGGCCGAGGTAGCAGTAATCGAACATATGGCGTGCTCTTTGAGACTCCATTCCCCGTGATTGATAAATTTCATCGCCGTGATCCACCAAGGTAGTTTTCCCTCGCCATTTTTCGCCCTCCAGCGAGCTTCAAATTTATCGCCCCGGGGCAGGAATTTAGCCCAGCCATTGCCGAGGAAGTAAGAGATGAGCACGATAAAGGTTCCCTGAATTGTAACGGAGGTCGGTTTGAACTATAGATTAAATTGTTCAGTAGCTGTGCGGGAAAGAGGTGGATTGGAAGTACCTGATAGATCTGGTACATCACAGCCTGGAAACAGGAAAGACCGGACGCAAGGAATATACTGCGAACGGTTAAGACGCTGTCAAAGTCATCCCGGAGAGGCAGCAGATGATGAGCTGCATCAGCACCGGTAACGATAATCGCGTCTGGATTGTCGCCGAGGCCATCGTCACTGTGTGCGTGCTCATCTTTTGCAACATGCAGATTAGCACCGGACTTTTCACCGATGACTTCCTGGCTAGTCAGGGAAATGTCACTAGTCTTTACAGGTGACTCGGACATGGTGATATATCATGTGTATGACTATTTATTCCAAGGAAGTTGCCCAGGTGGTGTATGGATATAAAGTCGCACTTGCTTGTTTTGGGAGGTCCTAGGGACCTCTTATACTCCGGGATAAGAGAAAATGTATTCTTATCAAACCGGGGTAGGTAACCTTGTCCATGGGTATTCTCATGATACCATGCAGCCCTAAAATGAGCCACCATGCTTGAAGCAATACAACATTGTTTTGTCTTATTTGATTGAACCCTGATATCCATTTAAGAACCCCCCCGCTTAGTCCCGATGGCAACATTTCCCCGAAGATGATAACATACATTGGAAAGCTCGGACCCTTACTAACGTCCGTATAATATTATAATTGGTTTCAGGTTATGCTAGTTCCCCCAGGCCTGGGATTGTATTATCCGGAATATCACCCTCGAATGGGGCCAAAAGCATACATTATCATATTGGGCGAGATGCGTTATGTGTATGCACAGAGTTCTATGGGTGCTTTTTGAGATAAGGTATGTAAGGTCTCGGCCGTTTATGCCAATTTATTAGCGCTAGCTTATGCGTGCTTTCTTTAGCCAATTCACGTTTCTTGCTTTAGCCAATGTACGCCACTTTAATAACAGATTAAATCGGAAATATAGTCAGCTGGTAGGCACTTGGCAGTCGGAATTCCGACGGACCCCCCACGATAGGGTCCTTTTCATGTAGGGTACGGAGTAGTTTTCTGCTTTCTCCGGGCAACCCGTAGGATATTTGGCCCGAGATGGGATGTTCGCTCAACTTTCTTTGATTAAAACTTAAATTCGATTCGGAAAGTAAACAAAATGGGAAAATGGGTAATGATTTTTCTCTCGACTTTCTACAAATGTCGTTATAGTCGAATTGAAGTAAGGCCCAAGTTCACATTTAAATAACGAAACGGCCCCAGAAATATTTACTATTCGGTTAGAAATTATGGCGCCCATGTGAAAAAGACTCCATAGTAGATATAAAAGGGACAGAAGGTTGGAAACTATCTAGCATGAAATTGATCCTGATATGGCCGTCGTAAGCAGTCTATTACCGCCAGTTCGCCAGTTCAAATCTGTATATGGTTTGTAATATGGGTAGTTTTTACCGCGGAACACGCCAATATCACAATAGCCTAATCTTAAAGCTCGGATCTTTAAAGCTTGGCTTGTCTTAGAATGCTTGTGATAATCGCAAGGCCCGGGGGTTCGGGCAACACTGTGCTTTATCAATGCTTGAGACATGTATGGTACGGGGTATTAATATATAACCTAGGAGAACAGAGATAAGGATCACTGTTCAATTATAATAGACTAGTAAAATAAAACCCTTCCGTTAGTTTCTCCGCATTAGCTCATCTGACGCTAATATGGATCATCTTCCAGCCTCCTCAAAAATCCAACAATCTGAAATCCAGCCAATTTACCGTCTTTCTAAGTTCTCCACAAAATGGCTAGCTTGTATACAGAAATAACCCCGGCAGCGGTCAGGAATGCGAAGGTATTGGCACAGTCTTATCACTTTGACTAGATGCTGACGATAAAACCAGGGCTTACACCTTATCACTTGTTTGACCCCCAACGGAAATAAAGTCCACATCCTCCTTGAGGAGCTGAAGGATGTTTACGGACTAGAATGGACAACTTCTTTGATAGATATTGATACTGATGAGCAGAAGAAACCGTGGTTTCTAAAGCTCAACCCAAATGGTACAATGCCCCAAAGTGCGGGGTGGTATGATGTCTTACATTTATATAGGGAAAATCCCCGTGCTCATTGATAACACCGGAGAAGAGCCTTTCCCCGTCATAGAGTCATCAGCTGAGCTACTCTATCTTTGCGAGACGGTGGATAAGGACCATCACTTCAGCTTTTCCAATGCCAAGGAGCAGTCCCAGATGATGCAGTGGCTTATCTTCTGGCATGCTTCGGGTCAACCTAACCAAAGCCAACTAAACCATTTTGGAAGATTTGCTTCTGAACAGATACCTTGTAAGTAGGCCTCTTATATCTACTTGACACAGAAAGTGTAGAGCAAATCTTGGAATAATTCGCTAATTAGTTAACGTCTCAAGATGCCATTGAGAAATTCAAAGCTGAGACGCTCCGAGTTTACAACGTACTCGAGCTGCACCTTTCTGGACGTCTAAACTGTCAGCCTCGTGAATATCTTGCTGGAAATGGTCCTGGAAAGTTTAGTATTGCTGATATCAATGCATATCCGTGGGTCAAGGGATGGAAGCGCAGCAAAATTTCAGAACAGGAGATGGAGAGTTACCCACACTTGAAAGAATGGATAGACCGAATTGCGTCCCGACCAGCTGTACAGAGGGGAACAGGTGATATGTACGATGAGGATATTCATCCCGAATTACTCATTAGTACGAACAGCGAATAAATGAATTCGATGCCCATCTTTACTTGTTTCAGAATAGAGATGCTTCCTGGCAATTGGTGAACGCACCAATATCTACCCACTAACACTGCCCACTACTCCATGAACAAATACTAATCCCGAGATTCTAGGAATCGTGATTTACTTACCTGGGTATCCGCGCCGTGACACTCGAGGTAGACAGTTTCGTGGTTGATAATGCCGGCGTTGGTATACGTCAAACGAATAGCGGCAGCTTGGGCCTCGTGGTCGAGGCTGTTGAACCCAGAGGAAAGAGAACATACATCTGTTTGAAGTGGCTCCACGATAGCGCAGATAAGCTCAAATTACGAATGGAGTCTGACAGCTTCCTAACAATCACATAGCTGACAGCCTCACCCTTGATATATTCATCGGCATCGGCGTTAAGCGTACGACAGAGCGGCGAGGTGGAATGCGTGTGGGTGACACTGCCGGCATCCGTGCGGTTACCTGGGCTCAGGTCGAGGTTACCCCGTACTAGTGGTCAGAATGGCAATATCAACCTCATCGCACTGCACAGAGAGGCAGCAATGGCGTGGCTGGCTGGCTGGCTGGTCCTCTGCGTCGCGATTCTGCATACTACCATAGTCTAGATCCAGTGATTGCCAGTTTTGATCCTCCTTAATCCCACCGGAAAATACGAGAGATGAGTTTTTGAGGAAGCTTGCTACAAGGCGATAGGTCTGAGAGAGAGAAGAGAGGAATGCCCCTTCGAGCGGCCTTAACCATCAGGTAAGCGTCTAATAGCCATTACACGGCTCATCTCAACGAGTTTCCTTTTGCACTCGAAGTCCTCTTTTCTCGTAGTGTCATCTGAAGGGTATTTACGGAGTACTCCGCATGTACAACATACTCCGCTGAAAAGAGGGTCAAATGGGGCCCGATCTGCATTTTTCCCTGACGAGTCGTCACACCACGCAGGACATGATATATCATCTATGATGTCTCACTTGAGGGGTAGATCGGAGTTTTTGTTGTGTTCACGAATTTACTGAATAAAATATAAGGCCCTCCCTTTGAGCGCTCAGAGAAGTCAGTTACAGAAATCCAGAACAATTCACATGTGAAAGCTCTGAGAAATCCAACATCATGAGACAGCACCCTCTTGAAAATATCACCGCCTCCGAGATCCGCCGAGCTGCAGATGTTGTGCGACGCGGCATAAAGAGTAGAGACAATGTGACGTCAATTAGGTTCAAGTACATCACGCTGCATGAGCCCCCCCAAAGCTCTGCTGATGCCATACCTCGACGCGGAAAGCGACAATGTCCCAGTTGAGTTGAGGCCGTTTGTGCCACGACTTGTCGCAGTGCCATATGCAGATGAGAGCGGCCTGGAGGCATTCGAGAGCATTGTGAGCCTGGACACCAACACCGAAGTGGATGTGATAAAGCTATTGGCTGGGCAACATGCTCCCAATGACGGGTAATATAGCCGGAAAGTTTCACGTACATTGCTAATTCATGCGCTCTAGTGGCCAGCCGCCACAGTTCATACAGACCATCCTCAAAGACTCTTCGGTTATAGCAGCTATCTCTAAGCTAAATCTCCCCGCCGATGCCACGGTATACTGCGATCCATGGAGCTACGGGACGGACAAATTCTCCCATATGAACACACCTGCGCAGATCCAGGCTTATCTGTATGCCTGCACGTCCCAGCATCCAGAAATCAACCAGTATGCTTTTCCTCTGCCCATATCTCCCGTTCTGGATGTTGCCGAGAATAGGGTTATCCGGATCAACACGCTGACTACGGGAGGTATCGAGGATGACCTGGGGCATAATATAGGATCTGACGCACCGTTGCCAACTACCCGCCCAAGTAGTTCTACCAGGACCTGCTTGAGATTCCTGTTAGAAAGGACCTCAAGACTTTGCATGTGGTTCAGCCGGAGGGCCCAAGCTTCGCCGTGTTGGATGGGAATCTCGTCTAATAGCAAAAATTGGCGGTTTCGGGTCGGGTTTCATTACCGAGAAGGCCTAACCATCCATGATGACCGTTATGACGGGAGGAAGGTCTTTTACCGTCTCAGTATGAGTGAGCTTACGGTGCCGTATGGTGGTGAGAACATACCAGATGCATGTGCAGTTGCATGTCCGATTGTGCGTCAATTTCTAACAGCCTATAGCCCTGTACTACCGGAAGCAGGCATTTGACATCGGCGACGCAGGTGCAGGTGCTTGTTCCAATGCCCTTGGCTTGGGGTGTGACTGTTTAGGTCTGATCCAATACTTCAATGCATGGATGGCCGACAAGAACGGAGAGGCAGGGGAGAGCCGAAACGTGATCTGCATGCACGAGCAAGACTCGGGGATCGGGTGGAAACACAGCAACCGTCGGACTGGAGTGGCGTCTGTCACTCGAGGACGGACTTTGGTACTGTAGAACATCCTCACGCTCATGAACTACGATTACATCTTCGCGTGGATCTTCCACCAGAACGGGACGGTCGAGTTTGAAACTCGCGCCACCGGGGTTGTCTCAACGGCCCCAATTGACAAAGAAGCACGTAGCCCCTTGGGCAATGTAGTAACACCGGGTGTTCTAGCCCAGAACCACGAGCACTTCTTTTGTCACCGAATTGACCCTATGATCGATGGCACCCGAAATACCCTGGTCCAGGCGGAGTCGGTCGCTCTTCCAGAAACGGAAGAAAACCCCTTCGGCAATGCATGGACAGTGCAGAAGGGTGCCTTTGAGAAGTCAACGTTTGCCGATGCAGCACCGGAGAAGAACCGTGTGTTCAAAATCCGCATATCTGGGAATCTAGTGGGCTATACTCTCGTTCCTCTCCCGTCGCAGATGCTTCTAGCCGGGAAGAACTCGGTGATCCGCCAAGGTGCACGCTTTGCCGAGCACCATATCTGGGTGATGCGGTATCGGGATGGAGATCTATGGGCCGGTGGGCAGTGGACAGAGCAGAGTATGAAGGAAACAAATGGGGTATCCGACTACGCGGCACGGAACGAAGATGTGAAGAACGAAGATATCGTCGTCTGGCATACAATTGGTATGAGCCATTTTCTGACTCCCGAGCAATTCCCGGTCATGGGAGTCGAAACCCTCTCGGTCGCTCTGAGGCCGACTGACTTCTTCGAGTTTAACCCTGCGTTGGACGTTCCCCGGAGTACACAGGCTATCAATAACAGCATCCAAGTTGAAAGAAAGATGTGCGAAACCTGTTAGCTCTCACTTATTCTGATGAGAATTGGCCATGGGAAGCAGCTGTTGGTTAGCCGCTGGCAGTTGCCTCCTTTTAAAAGGGACGTGTTGAAAACGCGAAGTAACTTCACCGTAGCGAACAATTCTAGTCAAACTGCACAAATTTGCAGCAGAATATGCAACTATGTTGGTCACTTCCCACAATTTTGGCAGATTGCAGAGTAGATCCGTCTAGTTCCAGCCCATCCAAGGTCACAATGTAAGGCTGATGCATCCCATATGCTTGCAAGAGACACATAGTGATACATTCCAATCACCTGCAGGAATTGACTGGTCAGATATGCAGCCCTGGAGAGGCATACCGATAATGATCGTCCTGGTTATTTTTCCAAAGGAAAAACCATGGGGATCGGCAGGCTGAGCTGAAGAATAAAATATTCCCCACTGATGACGATCTGTAGGACTCGTCACATTTCGATTTGGCCTTTACCAGTCAATTTTCTCTTATAAAATAATCCATCCGAAGATCTTTATTAGGCCAAATTGTACCTCAAGAACACAATGACTTCGGATACATACTCGTTGAGCGAAGTGATACGGGTGGCCAAAATTCATCCTTTCTATAACGCCGATCAGAAGTACCCTCCTGATGCAGAAGCAATCCACAAGGCTCTACAATCCTCACCGACAAAGCCAGAGCAAACTGATCTTGATTTGCAACCTTTGCTGAAAAAGAATGACATGTAAGGCTGTAATCTCATATGTTTTTTCCTTTTCAATTCCAACTGACCACTTCCAATAGTTATCGTGTTATCAAACGACTCACGAATGACACGAATCCGAAAAATGAATATCGACGCAGCGTTTATATTAGTACCACAGGGGGAGGCTCTGGTGGACTACCACTGATGTTTGCAACGGACACGAAGGAAAATCGTAAACACAGGGCAGTATTTGGAGAATTTCTACAGACCTGTCGAGTCATCGAGCCCCAGGACTGGGTTCTCACAACCCACACTTCAGGATTCCTTTACAGGTATGTAGATACAATCATTGCAAAAATGTGTGGGTTTAACATTCTACATAGGTCCCTCGATCTTATCAGTGAGATCTGTGAAAATGCAGGAGCATCTGTTCTATGTGCCGGAAGTCGAATGGAAGCTGCCGAAGTCGTCCACGCTTTGATCAACTACCGTGTGAACGTTCTGACTGGGGACAGTACTCAAATAATTAATATTGTTCACCACATTTCGACCCTTCCCGCTGAACAAAGAAGTGAAATCGGAATCACCAAAGTGATGTATACCTCTGATTTGATGACAGCTACTCAGCGAGCGTATATCTCAAAGACACTGGGTGCAGTTAAGATAGTATCGATTCTGGGAAGTGCTGAGGCAGGGCCATACGCAATTAGCAACCCTGACCTTACCGGACACTGCGCTTGTTCAGCAAGAGACTTCGTCTTTGATACTCGGACCATGCTGATTGAGATTTTCCACCCTTCTGCTGTCGATGAGGACTCTTCTGGTCCATTTGGCGGGAAGCCGCTTCCCGAAGGGGAACAGGGAATCATTGTCCAGACCTCTCTGCAGCGCCTGCGCAATCCTCTTGTACGGTATATAACAGGGGATGTTGGGTCTATCCATGCAATGCCCAAGGCTGCCGCTGAGGAATCTGAACTGAAACACCTTCGAGTTCTCCGCCTTGGAGGTCGGGACCGTCGGTTCAGCTTCAAATGGTACGGCGAGTATTTCAATTTCGATGAGATTGAGAATCTTATGCAGACTGAGGGTTCAGGAGTCCTACAATGGCAAGTGATTCTGGATTCTTTTGACTCGTCTCCACAGTCCACTTTGGAGGTCCGCATGCTTCGTGCGGCTGCAGGCGAAGGAGTTCTGGAGACGGAAACTTTTGTGGAGATGGTCAACACTTTCTTTTACGTTTTCCCTGAAAATCAGCAACTTTTCAAGATTAATTTCCTTGATAGTCTTGAAGGATTTGAGAAGAGCAGCACGGGAAACAAGATCATCAAGTTTGTGAATAGATTCGATTAAACTTGCCAGTTGACGCATTTTGCGAAATTCTTATAACTATGCTATTTCTAATACAAGGTGTCGTAAGATACAGACCCCTGACAAATTCCTTAGATTAATAGGGTCGACGCAATAGATTTGCTGTCACTTGGTTTCCAGAACAACTTGGCCCAGCCCCTCGGTGGACGTCGTAAGAGGAGTAAGATGATAAGATTTGCAAGAAAACGTAAATATATTATATACAACACTCATTACCACATGGCGGGCTGCTTTTGAGTCTCATCCGGCACGCTGAAATACCCTCTATTCGCTAGGTGCCGTTGAAGTTCTCGGAACTTGCTGGTTTTAGCCCTCTTTTCAAACAGGATATCAATCTCCAAGTAACTTAACCCGAATGTCTCGGGAAGTCGCAGGTAGCACCAAACAAAACAAATGGCGCTAAATCCCAAAAAGAAGAAGCATGACTTGCCCTTCCAATCCCAGCCTGTAGGATTCAACATTCGTGGGGTGATAACATTGGTCACAATAGAGGCCACATTATACACGATACGGGCAAGGATGACAGTCTTAATTCGGAGCCGGGTGCACGGGATCTCTGCAACGAGGACATAACATATAGGCCCAATACTGAGATTGTAGACGAAGGTGAGGAAGGTGATCAGGCCCCCAAGAGCCCATGATTGGCCACTGCTTGTAGGTAGGAACCCAATACCACCTGCAACCGCGAGAATAGTCATCGAGACTATGAGGCCAATGAGGTAAATCCTACGGCGCCCGACTTGTCTCATCCAGAACCACGACAGAATGGCGCCAAATATAGCTATGCCGTACATGCCGATGGCAAGGCTGAACGAATTTTGAACGCTGAGACCAGCTTGTTCGTAGAAATATGCTGCGTAAGTCCCCGAACTCGAGAACGAAGCTTGCTGTGTAATCCAGATCATGCAGGCAATCTCCGTCCGTCGGAGATTAATCCCTTTAAAACAGTCCAAGTATGTGATTTGACCATTGCCCAGGTATTTCTCTGTCTCATTGGTATGCGTCATCATCGCTACTACCTCGTTAACGTTGAATCCCGCTTTAGTCAAGCGTAGCAATGCTCGCCTGGCTTCCTCGGGTCGCTCATTGCGAATCAGCCACCCTAATGGTAGTGTAAGATTCGATAACCAATGTAAGAATCAAGTTAGGGATATCATACCTGGGGACTCCGGTGCGAAATAAACCCCAATTATAATTGGAACAGCCAAGGCCCACTGCAAGGCAAGTGGCAAGCGGTATGCCCACTCCGTTACATTGCCTGCTTGGCTGCGAGCAACTCCAACAGCACAGAGCTGTCCAATCAACCAACAAATATTCATGCTGCTCAGAATGTATGCCCGAAGTGCAACTGGCATAATCTCTGCCGCATACGTCGTGGCTAAGGTCTGAAAGATTCCCCAAGGAATCCCGCATAGAATCTGACCGGCTAAGAACATCTGAACATTCACAGCGAAGAAAGGCAAAAAGATAAAGCAACACAAAGCGACTAATGCTGTCAGTATCGTCCGGCGATAGCCGAACCGATCTGCGAGGAAGCCGTTTAGAAACAGCCCAATGATTTGGCCTACCACAGCTGCAGAGGTCAGGCTCGATTGCCATTTGGGGGAAATTTCAAAATTTCCGGGATGAGATGGGTCCGGGGCTCCATATTTCTCCTTGAACCCCGGGAATGTAAAGAAACTGACGAGAAGTGCTGTGTCGTAGCCCTCCATGATGATCGTTGCAGAGAGGACAATTGACCATGAGATTGCCTTTGGATAAAGCTGAAAGCCTGCGAGTAGCGACATCTTTTGTTCCGTGCTTGTGGCAGCTCTGGCACCCGATGACAGCGGCTGTAGGCTAGGGATACGCGCCGACAGATCGGCAAAGATGTCATCATGTTGAGAACCTGAGTCTTGCTCCATGGGTATATCATCAAAAGAGAATTCCACAAGGTCATGGTGAGCCTTGAATGCCATATGGAAGCAGGAAAGATTTCCAAATATGAGATTGAATTCACCGGCCGTAATTATTTTTTATCATCACGGGAGAAACGGTGAAAGTTTGAATAAAAAGGGGGAAGTAGATGACTTTTTTTTCGACCGTTCGCCACTTAGTCGCATATGGGTTAGTACGTGTTGATTCCGGGGAAACAGTTGGCATTGGCCCCAAGCGGAAGCGAAGGATGTGATGATAAAAGTGGGGATCTCGTTTTCCCCAGTTTTCTAGCGTTAAAAATGGGGGGATTTATCGAGGCTAGACCTAGAGAGACCGAGTTTACAAGCAAGAAGAAGCGAGACAAAGAGAACAATGGGGATGTTGCGGACAAGGATTTCCCCCTCGTGTTGACTTCCCCAGACTTCCAGGATCCGCGCTGGGTCCAATCCGTGGCCAGGGCAGTTAGCGTCGGCAATTCCTTTTATGGGGTTGAACATGTTAAACTAGCATACGAACTGCCGTATACTTGATGATCCTTTCTCAATTTGACTTCTCTATTGGAATCACTTAACTAAGGGTATTAAGTGATAGGAAATTTCCTGCCCAGGTCGTCTATGTATAACGAAAACCACCTCTACTATCTACAATTGATCTGGACACAGACATTGGAGATTTAAACAGGGCCCTCGATGGCTTGTAGGACATACTAAAGATCGTTCCTAGCGGGGTTTGGAGTAGCAGAATTCGCTGCTTGTCATATTTATATCTAAAGACTAATGCAGCGTTGATACTTCCGCTCAATCAACGTGAGAAGTAATGAGAAGTCACCAGAAACGCATATAAAAAGAGTAAGGAAATTGTACAGAGGTGTATTCAGGGCCTGCTAGCCTAGCAGAATACACCCTCAAGCGCACTCCAAATCCCATCTGGCTCAATAACAAGTTCCCAACCCCAACCCCAACAATATCGCGTCTTCGAAGGTTGCGCACAGCCGACCGTCACATGTCGCCGTTGAAGCTGTCTTAGTTGCTCTGAAAGTCTAACCTTCAGTACAAGTAACTATCCAGCTACAAGAAGGGCCTGTGCAATATATACACGCCATAGTTAGATGGATAGTAGTTACTTAGAGTCAAATGCTGAAGATGCAAGATGTTTAAAGGGGAAATACGCTCTACTATCCCTGAATAACTATAATCTCAACCCATCAGTCTCGGAAGTTTGATTGTTTCATCCCGAGAACGTTACGGAGTCTCCCAATGCGCCTGCCAAGTTGCCTATTTGGGCCAATAGTAGGCGGGATCCAAGCATAGGAGATCCGAAGAACGCCAATTTAGGTAAGTAATGGAAATGAGCTCCTTTTCCCTCCACATTATTACAAGTGCATATTTATTGTTACCTTATGGGCTGTCGCGTGATCTCTTTATTTCTTAGATATCTCCACGGTGATCTTTCCCCGGTTTTTGGCCTTCTGTATTTTCAAGTTGTCAGATGGTCACATGACCATCTTTGTGCTCCCAAGACCTATTAGTCTAAAACATGTAGATAGCTTTTTCCTCTCTCTACGCATCTCAATAATTTCATCCAGATATTTACTGCTTTCTAGTAATTTATCTACTCACACAAGTCCAATTGTGATACCGCCTCATGTTTACCCCATTGAGTTATTGCCGATCTTCAAAGTAAAATCACACTTGAAACGACCCCCGCTTTTATTGGAGGAAAGATTTACATATAATGGGACGCGCACTCGGGTTCGGATCAGGAAATGATCCGAGCATAGACATGATCGGATGTTGAAGGAGAATATGATCCTCTTACAACACTTGTTTGGAATACCTCAAATGTGGTGATCGTTTCCTGTTTTCACACGGTTGTGGAGAAATACTCCGACCATCCTGGTTCTGTTACCCAAGCTATGTAGAATACTTGGATATAAGAAGGAGCTCCTCGCCTCTAGCTTCTTCCTCCATCACAATCTTCTACATCATCAGAAACAGCCAATCCATCAATTCACAAAGCCTTCTTCTCCATATTACAAGATGCAGCTCATCTCTCTCGTTGGTCTCATGGCACTTGTGCCTGCAGTGCTCTCATCTCCCACAGACTACAACAGTATTGTGGCTCGCGCTGATAACCGAGGCACGGAAATCATTGCTGGCCTGGGATCCCGCAAGCAGGAGGTAGTTAGTGCCGGTGGCAACACCCGTGACCTCGCAATTGCGATGCTGGAGACGTTAGTTCATCTATTATCTGATTTTGATATAGTCCATATGTCTGACCGAAAATAGGAAGACAATGCAGACCGATTACACCTATGGTACGTACACCCGCTAACCATCCTGTCAAGATAGTAGGGTGTTAACAAAATACTCCCAGGTGACGGAAAGACTGGCGATGCCACGAACTTTGGTATCTTCAAGCAGAATTGGTTCATCTTGCGACACTCTGCGTCCGAATTCATGGGCCAGTCCGTCGGTGATGTCGACAATGGAGCAATTCTCAAGTAAGTTCTCCAGCGGCTTATATACTTCCCTCATTATCCATGGACGTTTGCTGAAGCTCTGGTGCTAGCTCCGACCTGGGCAAAGATATCAAGGCCCGCCACGAGGGTGAGGAACACTATGGATTTGAAACCTGGTTCAGTGGTCACCGCAACGGAGAAAGTGGTGTCAACAACCCCGGCACGGAGGACATCAAGGGTGAGTTTGCCTATTCTATGAATCGATTGACCAATCTAACATTGTAATATAGGATATATCGATGCCATTGCCTGGATTCAGCAGCAGATTGAGAGCGACGAGAAGTACCAGTCTGATGATACTCGATTCTGGGTTGATGTCCAGGCCATCTAGATCCTGACTGGAGAAAGCAAGAGCACACACACCCCCAGGTTAGGGAGACGTCTGGTTTAGCTCCATCCTCTTGAGATTTCACTTCTTGCACTCGTTTGGTCATGACCATTTTTGCAAATCAAATTTATCACAGAAATCCTATCCTTTAGAAGTATTGTCCCTACCGTATTATAAGGTATTTCGACATGGTGTTGAGCCTCAGGAGAGAACCAGCTATATCCTCGGATGAGCGCTAAGATCGGCATATTTAAAGTATATATGTAGTCGGTTTCCGGAATTCTAAATATATAATATAAATCTACCTGTCTGAAGTTAATACTAGTATTGATTTTCATTTTACAGTGGAAGCAGCCAATAATAAATAAACTAACTATGTTGTAGCTGCTTTATTAACTGAAATATATTATATATCTTATATCTTCCCTAATTAATTCGAGGGTTGAGAGAGTTGATGGTGTCTGAGAATATTATGTATCTTTTGTATAGGAAGCTTATACAAAAGATACCTAGTTCCTACATTTTGAAATCTCGTGACAAATTTCAATCTAGTGGGGTTGTGGCGGACGCGTGGCGCCATTAAGACAACTTGTCCGCGCATATTGAATTACTTCGGAAAGCCATTCACGATGGGGTGCCAGATGTATCCAACCTTCGCAGTTGGTGACCATGAGGCTTTCATGGATTTCGCTCTCATTCAGGCACAAAAATCACTGCCCGCTGCCAACAAATTCTGTGTTGGGGCCATCTTGTTGACGCCGCTAATGGCAAGGTCCTATCAACAGGGTACTCGCTTGAATACCTGCTAGATTACAAGGGAGATCCAGGAACCACGCACGCAGAGCAGTGTTGTTTTATAAAGATTGCCGATGAGCACAACCTCCCCGAGGAACGCATCCATGAAGTCCTTCCCGCCAACACGGCTCTATACACAACGATGGAGCCATGTAACGAGAGACTTAGCGGGAACATGACCTGTGCGACCAGGATATTGAGACTGAAAAATGTCATAAAGAATGTCTACGTGGGAATCAAAGAGCCAGGGACATTTATCGCACACAATGACGGACAGGAGAGGCTGGAAGCAAACGGTGTCAATGTCGTGTTCCCTGTTGAACATTGGCGTGACAGGATCACCGAGATCTCGATGGCTGGACACTGAATTTTGGAAGATCGAGATTACCTAGGGAGCCATGCAGGTTTCAACCCTGGAGGTTCCAAGGTTGATGAGAAGAATAATAAGGTTGCGGAAACACCCGTCCGGCCCGTCTGGCCACACGGCTCTGCCTCGTTTTGCTGGACTCTCTTATTGTGCCTTACTTATAAAAATATAGCTGGATTTCCGCCATTTATGCCATTTATATATTGAGTCTTATGTAACGGCATAAATGATACTTTCCAGAGTAAGGTGGGGTGTCTTCAGTGTCAAAGCTGGGCATCAGCGAAGGATTTCGGAATGGCTCGACTCCATTTTTGGATGGGTTGTTTTCTGAACTTAATAGGGGGATTTAAAGGCTTCGTATTAGATATAGAGAAATATTGAAGGTGGTATAATACTGTTAACGTTCGAAGTATAGGCAGGTAATCGCTAATTGAGTTATCTTGGTGCATCCACTCAAGGGAGCCGTTCGCATTAAGCTGCCCTTTACTCGGTAGTTACAACTTGCTCCACATGCTCCGCAGTGGTTTTTAGGAGCAGGATCTGAAACTGTATATTAAAGGATTTAGGCGTTGATCGGTGCGGATCCTGCGCCCCAGAATTCCAAATCTATTATTATAACTATTAGACTTCTCTATAACTATATCAGTTCTTAGAGTAAGAGAGCTCGGTAGTATATTATCTTTGGCTGTAATAACATTATATAGATTAATCTACATCATAAATGTGTTCATATATATCTATTGTACAACATACTAGGCAACACCGCCTCGGCCATGCCCTTGCTCCCATGTGATGCTAACGTCCACCCTCTTTGCAATTCCATCCGGCGCTGTGTCCACCCCGTCATCGCTGTCATTTGCATTCACAGAAGTCCTAGTAGTCCCCATCTCAATGTCCTCTCGTACACCAGAGAAGATATTCTGTCTGCTCCCAGAGGCATCGCGATTCGTTTGCACGCGATTCGTCGTTCGTTGGTTGGTTGTTGATTTTTTCCTGTACGATGAGGTAAAAGGAAAAGTGCTAGACTTGTCACTTGCGAATAACTGGCGCACGGAAGAAACAACCAGTGAGCGAAGGCAGGGAACGGAGGCGGAGATAATAACAAGATAGCATTCGATCATAGCCCAGCAGGTAAGATATATTGCGTTAGCGGTACCATCCCAGGTCAGGATCTGCTTGAGATATACAGCCTTCATTATGGCACCGACAGTTGCACTATATATAGGATAAAGACGCCTTTATTAGCAAGTTGTGCTAGATAAGGGTCATTGTAAGTATAGAAAAGAAGGGACTTACAGAACACCTAAGCTCGTGAGAATCATAAGGCTGAACTTGATGATCGGCTTTAACTTAAGATCCCAGAAAATATAGCACGGAAGGACTGCTAGTAGCAAGTCTGCGGAGGAGTTGCAGACTATCGATAATTTCATATTGTTAGTCAAGAATCCAGTATTTTTGCGCTCTGTGTAGGTGTGACGGAGCCTTGGGGATTGGAAAAACATACAGCAGAGGAAGTAACCGAAATAGAGCTGAATATAGTCTTCCATGCAGTGCGTGGCGTATTCTTCATCCCAAACCCCACGGATATCGCGACATTGGGCTAAGATGAGAACAATCATGACAATATTTGCCACTACTTGCACTGCGAACAGTACCCATAGGCTTATCTTAAAGACTCTCCTCGTTGAGAGAACTGGCAATAGGTAGAGAATGAATGCTACCCGGCCTAGGCAGGTACTTGCAACGCTGCAGGCCTCCGTTATGGTATAGTACTTGAGAGCAGTGGGTTCGTCGGCCCCAGGACGACCTGATGCAAAGCCGTAGTCAAGAATTGAGATTGTGAAGTGTATCGATGCGGCGAGGGCGAAACCCTATAATAAACATATTACGGATTAGAATAGAGAACTTATATCATCCCTACCAATCATTATCATGAACTTACCAGAGATGCAAGCATTGTAACATCATCCGATCCGAGATGGCGAAGCCTGGCTTTCGCAATTATTCGGAGTATCACCACGATGATTGCGATGCCCCCAAGAGCCCATGTGCCCTCTAAGACTGACTTCCGATCGCCATTGATAACCATCATGCGGGGGTGATACATGAGTTATGATTACATCCCCCTGAAAGCGATCAGATTGATAGCCGTGACGTTAACACGGTATAAGGAACAAGGCAAGAAAAAATCCAACGAAGATCTGGGTTACGAACTCATTATATTCCGGGTGTCGATCCAAAAACCAACCCACTGGAACTAGGCTCTTAACAATCTAGAACCAACACATTGGTTTTCCCTAACAGTTGAAGGGGCATTTGATTTCATTCCACGGTTCATGTATGGAATCGCGGCTTGAGGCGGAGCCTATACTTTAACCTTCGGGTCCGCTTTTTTTACGTATCTGAGACATGCCTCGTTTTGGAGCTCCAAAGGGGGCAATCTCAGCAGATATCAACATGAATGGCCGAGTCATGTATTGCCCGGGAAGGTTAAAGTCTATATGATAGGGGCCTACATTATATCGAGTATACCAGTATTTCTCAATTAAACAAAAATCCTTGGGTATGTTCGATTAGAAGTAGTTAGTGCGTCTTCTAGTTTTTCTTTTTTCTCTTGTGGGACGGTTCTAATATCCAAAGCTTGGCTCCTTTTCCATTCCCATCAAGATGTTTTGTGTCAGGATGTCGGGATTACAGATCTCCGTGTATCCCGCCTCGTATTCGCTATCCCGTTTCTGGTCAGTTTCATGGAGCCGAACTTTATTGCGGCGGCGATTAGCCATCCAACCGTTTTCCCATAACCTTTTTTAGGATGAAAAATACATAGTAGGTTTGGTCTGACATATTAGGTATCAAACAATTTCTCCGCTTATGAATGCCTTGTCCAAATAAACCTTGTGAAGATCAGTTCCAAGGTTCCCAGTTAAGGAAATTAATTAGTGTTTGGTAGCATATCATCTTTGGAACGCAGATTGTACCCACCAACCACGCGGCACAATCGACTTCTCCGTGCTCTGTATCTCTACGGTAATATAACATGAATAGCATTATAAATAGTCTAATTTAGATTACCTCGATCAATTAATATCTACACCCACAACTGCTATATTCAGGAACTCGAAAAACTGAATGGAGCAGTGGAGTTTGCAAGTTCTTGGCGCTCAGTTATGGTGGCGCGCAGTGTTAAGGTAAATTATGCTTTAATACGCGACACTATCAGTACAAATAGTTCAAGTTGGTTCCTTGTGTCATTTCCTTTTCTTTTCACTTGGCAGCTGCATTATTTTGAGATATTTCAAGCTTTTGAGTATGTAATAGGTCAATGGGAAAAAAAAACTTGGAAGGCTGAGTGGTTCAAGGTATCTCAACTTGCGATTAGGGGTTTGCTAGCGTGCGGGATAAGCTTAGATTAGCGCCTAGTTTTCCAAGGTTTGCCGGCTAGCGGGGTTAGTAGCGAGGAATGGCCGAAGAATCACCTTTGATTGGGTCCGAGGGTTGTGATAGTTGTGTTGATCATTAGGGTTGTTTATCTCCGTCGCATGATCACATGCAAGATCACATGCTGAGATTAGATTGTTTGCTTAGTTTGCCTTTTCTTTCCAAACCTTTGGAGGTTCCAAGGAGGTTCCAAGGTTGAGGAAATTTGCATTGTTTGCATATATCCTTGGTATGCCGATCCAGATCTTCTCGTCTTTCCCCCTGTATTTTGAATTATGTACTCTTTCTCTTATGATCTGTTCGTAAAACTGTCTACCCAACTGAGAAGGAGGCAAAATATCTAGTTATATTGTAGTTGAGAATGGTCTCGTATTCTGCACAGACCACTAAAACACGAAAGTGACGTGGCAAATGTCAGAGCTGACTTGGGATATAAACTTACATCTACGCAACATGACCGGAGACAGCAAGAGTTACATGCTCTGGTACCCAGAAGCGAGTACTTGGAATCAGGTACAATAACTAGGGCATATCCACGGAAAATAGTTTTTGACATGTCACCAGAACAGCAATAAACCCACTTGGATAAGAGTAATCATCTCCATTCCCGAGAAATCTTGCAGCTTGGTCTAATGCGTTTGCCTTTTGAAGGTCCATCGCAACCACTTGCTCCCAGAAAGCCTCGAGGCCTACGATGTGCCGTTTGAATTTAACGAGGCCAGTCAAGTACATCTCAAGGATTTGTACAAGGCACTGACAGTAATCTAGAGGGATCCAAATTATATTGACATCAAAAATTGGATTAGCGATGAAGTTATTACCAACCTTTTCGCACACACAAAACATCTTCGGGAAGCTGAAGGGCTTCAGACTTATAGAGAGTCGGGCCCCGGGCAAGCCTTGAAATCTTTTGATGCTTTTGGCCCCTTCAATCCGAACCAAAATTTGAATTATCAACCGCCAAAGTGCGTATCATTCGGAGAACCGCTGAGCTTTGATATCGGTCTGAAAGCGTCCACTGTCAAACAATTTGTAGGTGGGTTCAGAGCTGACCCATCCCACCGAGGACATGCCGGCCAAAGGCTTGATGTCGTTGGTTCGCGGATGCCGGGGTATGGGAAAGTAATTCTTTATCGAACGGGAGAGACAATCAATGAAGGACATGATCCTCAGTTTTCATGGACGTGAGTTCTCAACCCGATCCTGATCATTAGGACACATACTTATTACAGCATTGAGCATTAGCCACATGCAAACTGACTCGAAGAGCTTCGATGATTTTATGGTGAGTGTGTTATCTATGTATTGTGATTTCCACTAACAATGTAGCGCTTTGCATCAAATGTGCCGAACCTGGCAGATGAAGATCGGGCTCTCGTCGTGTCGCTCTTGAAGCGCATGCAGCGGAATTTCCCCGAATTGAGCGAGCCGCACGACGTGATGCGATGTGTTGGCACCACTCCCACTCAAACCCACGCGGAAAAGTCCGTCATCTTCGTTCGTCTTCCTTACTATTCAGCCCAGAGAATGGATGCAGCCCGATCTTTCAAGTCCGCCTATTCGACTCGCAGCCTCCTGCAGTATTTCTACAACTTGGAGTCTACCCGGCAACGTGACCTACAGCAAGTAATTCGAAAATCAGGTGTCTTCCCAAAGGACCATATTGTTCATGTCTCAGAATTGTGGGCAGTGATCGTCAATTTCCGTCTGTGAGCACCGTTTCTACGCGCCAGCACAAAGTACTGACGGCTGGGGACAACAGAATTCATCATTACTAGTGCACCAATTCCTCTTATGGATGGAGCGAGCCCATCTTTGGAGATCGTGAGCCCGCCAACGATCCAGTCATTGTCACCTTCTAATATCTGTGTCATCAACCCCGACCAGCGTGTTTTCTTCTTTCCTGTGGAGCACTGCAAGACATTCTTTGTATGACATCTATTTCCCCGTATATTATGTCATCTTTGTCTCAGTGCGTTAATGTTTATCGACTAGGCAATGAGAGACAGGATCCTCAGATATTGCCTACCGCAGATCAAAGGCCGCAGGTATGAACTTCGTCCGTATGAGCCTACCCGTGGCTATGAGCCTCGTGGCTATGAGCCTCGTAGCTATGAGCCTCCTCGCGCGTACGAGCCTCTCCGTGCGTATGAGGCTCACGGATATCAGACTTCCCATTCGTATGTGCCTCGTGGCTATGAGGCTCCTCATACGTATGAATCTCGTGCGTATGAGTCCCCTCGCGCATATGGGCCCCCCGGTGGCTATGAGCCCCCTCGTGCGTATGAGACTCATGGCTATGAACCCCGTAGCTATGAGGCTCCTCGTACGTATGAACCTCGTGCGTATGAACCTCGTGCGTATGAGCCCCCTCGTGCATACGGGCCCCCCAGTGGCTATGAGGCTCCTCGTGCGTATGAACGTCATCCTCGTGGGTATACAAGCCATGAGTACGGAGGCCGTGGGTATGAAGGTGACAGCTATAAAGGCTATGAGCATGAAGATCGCCATGATTTCAAAATGTTCACCGAGGACAAGGTTCCGATCAGAGAAGAGGATTGGGCCAAATTAGTAGCCTCATGCACATCGACCCTTCTTCGCATTCACATCGAGACCTCTATACCGGGGAGCTCAGAGGAACACCGACGTAAAGAGGAAAAAAGCAAAAAGCGGACAAAGCCAGTATTCTTCGAGGAATCTTCTGAAGCGGGGGGGTATGACCAGAACCCATCTGAGGCAGATAAACCAGCTCAATTTGAGAAAAGTCATCATCCACTGGAAACCGATGAACAGATTCAACCAGGGATAGATGAAGATGAACGAGGTCCATACGAGGCGAGTGAACTCCCCGACGATTCGCAATCGGACTGGGGTTATCAAGATAGGAATCCGACCCTGGATGAACGGCGCTATACTGGAGCAAGGAATCGTTTACGGCGGCACACCAGTGTGCGATCTCTCTCACCTCCCCCCGGCGTGGTAATCAATCAAAGACCTCCAGGTGACAGCAAGTCGCCCACTCATTCGAATATTTACTTTGGACCAACCACAAAGGCAGCACATGCGGAAGGGGAGACCTATCATAGTCACAGTTCCACGCCACCCGAATGCTTACCCGGAAACTCATCTGCCTCCCAGAACTCTTCCCCTGCTCGTCGATCCGCCATCAACTTGGAATTTCCGCCAGTCTTTACCTGGCAGACAAGAAAAAAACCGTCAAAGGAAGAGAGCACGATCTCAAAATCAAACACATCTCCCGATAACCCCAGCCCAGATCACCTGAATTCGAATATTCAGCCTCTAAACAAGCCCATCGAGATTTCGAATGTTGATGAAGAAACCATAAAACACGTCTCGGCGCACATTCATAGCGAGCTTCTCGCGCCTATCGATGGGTATGGGTGGCGAATTTACAAATATGCGACGACAAAGTCCTATTTTGACGTGGATCAGGCTATCACAGAAAGATATGCCATGTCTCTTCCGAAGTTGATCGCAGAACATCCTAAGGATGTCTCAGACTTAGCCTCACCAGAAGCGGCGGCCTTGAAAGATGTTGTCATTCGGCTTTGTCGACTATTCAACTTCTTCGCGCCACTTTCATATCCATGCGCTGTTAGCGGCAAGTTCTGGGGAGCAGTTCACGATCTTCTCACCGTGAGAAACATCCAATCCCTCTAATCCTACAATATCTAATGCCCAAACTTACAGACAATACCCAAATATTGGGACTCATCCCTTATGCATGAACTGGCCAACCGAACGGGCCATCAGCGGATCCCACGGACCTTCCTTATAGACATTGACATCACTGATTACGCTGACATTAAAGACGATGATAATCTAGAGAAAATTATTTTCAGCATCCGGAGGTGCTCGAAATGCATTGCATCCCGTCAATACTCTACTCGGACAGAAGCCATCGACCATCTGTTTACGCACGTTCACGCAGCCTGTCCAGGACAACAATCAGTGAACAGCTCACAATCACGATGGGTGATGAGCTTTGAAGAGAACATGACGTACATATGTCGGAAAGACCACCGAACAATAATTGGGAAGTTACAGCCCTTTTTGACAAGCCTGGAAAAAATGGCAGCTCAGATCCAGCACGGGGTGTCAGCCAATGGAGAGTTTGACTGGGACACATACCGTATCCCGTCGAGTTTGGTCGATGCCTTTCAAGATCTCCTGATGATGGTCGTGTCCAGTGCGCATCTAGTGAAGAGTTCTCATGAGAAGCGAGAAATGTATACAGGCCCTGAACCTGCATCGACCTTCTTAATATCATCAGAGATGGTGCGTGGGGTCACGCATGTCGGAGCAGAGGCAGAGACTTCTATGGAAAACGCCATGAGAGACATTGTATTGATGACCTATACCGACGAGGTATCCGATGTCGTGACTTACGAAGCCGTGAGTCCAGGATTAGTTCTCGCACTTATTATAGGGGACATCCGCTGCAGAGACTCGCAAAACAATCCGGTCAACTTGCTTGAGATCTATCGTGACCACGTCCGCAACCTAGTCAGTATTCCTTTCTCAGTTCTTGCCACTGATTGTAATGTTGCTAATCAATACATATGTTCTTAGCAATTCAAAGCGAGTCAAAATCCCCATCGACGCCTACTACAGGAAATCTATCTTGTCCGTGAGGAGCTAGAAATAATCCAGAAGGCATCCGAGAGGCAGCGCCTTGTCCTCACAAACTACCTGAACGTCATAAACCCGCATTCTTTCCGCGTCACCACCGAGTCCCGGATCTCCTCGTTCGAGCTCGAGAACGTGCAGCTAAGTAAACTCATCAACCAGCTCAACGCCGAACTTGGAGCAATCTCACTCCTCAACATAAAGCTTGACTCATTGGCCAACCAGACACGCAGCGGCGTAGACGTACGGCAGGAAGACCAAGGAAAGGCGATCCTTGTATTCACCATTGTGACTGTGGTGTTTATGCCGTTATCATTTGTGACCAGCTATTTTGGCATGAACACCAATGACATCCGCGACATGGACAGCTCGCAGACACTGTTCTGGGCTATTTCCGCTCCACTGACTGTGGGAATTATCACGGTCGTCTTGGTGGTTGCGTTTCAAGCGGATCGGATTAGAGAGGCTTTCGACGCTTTTTGGGCGTATGATTCCGCGCTAGGGGCTAAACCTAGTTCGGCTGTTGTGCATGGGAAAGGGAAGAAGTCTCATACTGAAAAGCTTTCTGGATTGTCGCCCCCGAAAAATTGGGTTGCAACTGGCTGGTCTGCTGGAAGGAAGACTGAACTGAACGAGTCAATGAACGTTTAGTTCATCTATCCTAGATTGTTTGATACTAATACGAGTACTTTGCCTACGATTGAACATGCACTGCATGTTGGTTTCAGACACGAATTATGTACACAAAGCCTATAAAAGGCACTTGGTAGAAATTCTTCTTCCGTCCATCTTGATTGTTCTTCATGTCAATTATTTCCACCAGGAAAAGAAGGACTGCTAGATCTTTCCAATCTCAGTTCTAATTTTAGACTCAACAATTCATCTGCTGTTCACAATTCGTCATGCATCTAGATATCTGCCTATCTACTCCGTAGACCTTACTCCAACATCTCGTCAATTCTAGTTGCCCTATCCCTAAAACTTAGGCGATGAAATGCTTTTGCAGGGGCTCAAACTGCATACACCATCGTCAGCTTGGTCTGACGGACTTGGGCTTCTCGACTCCACCTTTTGGCCCCTAATGGGTGGGGCCTGTATAGTACTTCGTCCTATGTCGACGCCACCACCTACGCAGGATTCAGAGATCTACATCCAAGTGAGAAGTGGGATTTTTTATCTTCCATTTCGAGATACGAAAAAGTTATCTCTCTCCGGTAGTGGCCTAATCTGTAATCCCCCCAACGACAGGTTGCACTAACTTCGTTCCTGCAGCGGACAGTCAAGGACAAACTATCCTTACAGTAAAGGAATTGATATTTGCGGGGTGCTATTAGAACCTTGTTCATGTACACTTGCCTATGCATCAATAATTCTTTCGTTTCCCCAGAGCTACATAACATCGTATAGAACACCGTATAGGTAGAAGACCCTCAGGGCTGACATTGTATGTTGTATAGAGCAGCTTGGCTAATTCTTGTGTGATCTGCAATTGCAGATCACAGATTTCCATTGATTCAACTGGATATAGAGTACGTTCGGCTTGGCTACCTGTCGATCATTCAGCTTTCGCTGAATGAAGAAATGTCACTTGGGGGCCAGCAACAGACACTCGTCGCAAGATATTAAACCTTCCTCAATTGGAATAGTGAATGAGACCCTGAGAGTAATAGAACAGGTATTGATAATCTCATGATGTCATCTGGTTCTGTCAGGGGCGGAAATATAACTTGAAGAACAGATATAAGAAGCCTCTGAAATCGAGACAGAATCATCTTACATAGGAGCAACAGACCATTCTACTCTATCTATAACTGTCAAAACCTTCAAGCCTGAATTCACACTTTCTACAACCTCATTATGCCCTCTATCCGCAACACGCTTCTTTGCCTAATGGCTACCACTGCAACCGTTTACGCCGAGCGGTTAACAGTCGTCTGGTCAAACAGTGGCTTTTCAACGATCTCCGGTCCCACTGGCAATGAACATGGCCATGACAGTGGTTTCGCGATCCTGAACGAGGCGGGCGATGCTATCTACGAAACAGCCTATCCCGATGACCATTCACCTTGTTACAACACCGGTGACGGCCGCGAGTTTACCATCGAGGGCGACTGCTGGGCCAGTGCACGCAAGTTCAAGTGCAAGTCTAACTTTGCCGGCATCCCAGAGACCTGTGAGGTTAAGGACGGCAATGGAAACAGTATCGGCTCTGGTGAGGGAGCGACTGATATCAAATCAATTGGTATCGCCGTTATTACATCCGGCAGTTGTGCTGTTGAATTCGATTCGGACAGCGACGGTTGCCCTGTTGATGATGGCAACGGTCCTCTTCATGTTACCTCTGGTTAAACGGCACAAATCGGTTAGTGTTGGGGAAATAAACACAGGAATGGGAGATGCTAGTCATTGGTTGCTTCAAGGGGGTTGAATAAAGAACTATATAGGCTATAAGGAGTTGAGAAATGCAGACTTTGTTCTTAGTGCTTGAAGCATCTAGACTTCGCAACTATTCCTGCTTTGTATATAAACAGTATTCTATACTTTGCATCTCACGTCCATGAAGACTGTTAAGTGCTGCATGATTAATGAAGACTCAGTTACTCCTCTTACCTCCCATCCTTATCATGTCAACGTAACTCAAGTAAAATAAATACTGGCCCCAGGTGTAGAGTAATTCGCAAGGCCATACTCTGAGCCCCATTTATGCCGGGTCTACTATACTATATTCGTAGTTTATAACCACCCATAGTTCCTACCTACTTATGTTGTCGCTGAAGGGATACTGAAAATATAGACAGAAATGCGTCTCATGTTTGTTAGCCATACATTAATATACAAAAATCCAGAACGGTCCCGTCTTGAACGCTTTTTTGCAGGATAAGTAGTGGAGAGATTCTTTTATTCAGCCACCTGGCCAGAAAAGAGACACGCCGGTCTTGGCACCAGCCACAATAACAAATCCGCCGTGTATAAAATACAATGCTCTGAAAACACAGGCTGCGAGATGCGGTATTAAAAGCGAATAAGGAAAACAGGAACCTCTATGCTATGTCGTTTGAATATGACCAAAACCGAACACCGGGGAAGAGAGATTCGATGTGGGGGATGTCGTTATGGAGAAAGAGACGGAAGGGAGGATGGGTTGAGGGCGATCGAAGGTAGATAGGTCGATCGTGTTGGTGAATGGATGAGGAGAGAGAATTTAAGCCAGGGCCTTGTGCTCGGATGGAGGTGGGGGAGGAAGCTGTTTTGGGCAGTGGTTAGCAGACATGTCCCGACTCAAACTCAATAAATCACTGGGATGAAAAGGAGCTTATCGTACCTCGAGCTTTGTGTTATCAGCCATCATGCGCTGGAAACCAATGCCGACACCCTCAATCACAGCAAGGAAGACGGCACACATAATAGCGGAGTTTCGGGCAGCCTTGTAACCACCACGGATAGCGAGGGAACCACCGGTGAAGAAACCGGCGATGATAGCGTTGTAAGGGTCTTCCTTCTTGCGAATTCCCTTAATTGAACAATCGTATATACTGAAGAGTCCTCCCCAGCAGCCGAAGTTACCACCGAGGACGGGTGCGCGCGCCTTGATAGCTGTGAGAGCACCTATCCGGCGCTCACCGTAGGGACTGTTGCGGAAACCCTTGACACCGTGCCAGACGGCACCACCGATAGCACCCATGGCGAAAGCACCACCGAAGTCGCTCAGAGCAACCCAGGGGCAGGGGTCGCGTGTGTGATCCATAATGTGTGAATGAGACGGGTTGGTTGTCGGGGATGTAAAAGCGGATCGGCTGATAAAAGACTTGTGGAAGGTGAAGGTCGAAGGCCGATGACAGTGAAAGAGAGTTGTTAAAGACGTAAAGGGCGGGTCGAATTTTCTCAGGTCCGGGGTGCACGTGACATCTGACCCGGTCGCCACCGAACTCCGTGTTTATTTCATTTCTCTTTATTATTCTTATTATTCGTTCGGGTTATAAATCCCCGGGTTCCTGACCCGGGGGGAAGAGAATATCCCGGCCATTTATCCCTGCATGATGTCTCGAGGCCATCAGAGATTTTCCGTCAATTTGACCTTTCTTTACGGAGTACTCCGGGTATGAGAGCTAGCCAATTGGGGGTCATAGAATCTATAGACCTTAATTCGTCAATTCTCCAACCTCCTTAGATAGCCATATATTAAAAGTTAAAATAAGTTTATTAGATTTATATAATGCAAGATACTTCTTTATATCGAATTGATCTGACGTTACAGAAGGAATGGTTTTAGCTGTGATACATGCTCATTGGTCGATATATACTATGGCGATTTTAATATGCGATATAACGTGATTCATGTCAATACCTTTAGCCTTACCCGTTCCAATACCATTCGCTGCACTGCGAAGTGAGAATTTCTTTATTATTTCGTAAACGGTCCTGCCTGATCTCTTCATCTGCTGTACCTTAGGTCGACTGCGGCATCTGCCAACATCTGCTTGCTCCTCAACAAATTACATATGTATCCAAGCTTCGCTATTCCTATATCACTGCATCCATAGGTCTCACGACAATGTGTTAGCTAATCAGAAATGATCTTCATAGCATGTGCTTCGGAGTTTCATGTTGCTTCAGCCGCACCAAAGCCTATGTAGTTTGTCAATACTGTTGGCTAATTCGAGAGGTAGGAGAGGGGCTCCTTGACTCACCTCTTGAATGCAGGTAGCAACGAGAGTTCCATTTGTGGACCATATCCGCTGTACAACCAGACCTCGCTCATTTCCTGCCCATGGAGTCTCCATTTCTGTGAGCATCCAGTCGTCTACTCGGACCGCCTGTGGGTGATGTAGGTATATGGAATGGTTGAGGCTGGCCATCACTTCGATTTCTTCGGCCTTTTGGTTTAGCTCTTCCTGATCTGTAGGTGGTGGAGAAGGGTAAGGCTATAGATTGTGGGCTCGCCACAGGGTTCGAATAAATTAGGTGTCTGTTAGGTATGCGAGTGCCAATATATGTACGTTGGAACCGCCAGAGTTAGATATGGTTCCCCTTAATCACATGAAACGTCTATATCTTTTGTCTGATGGACGAAGCAAGTCATCCCTACCAATGTCATTGTCCACAATTCGAGATTCAAACAGCCCGTTCCCAGTACCTTCTCCTGTGATTACCGCAGGATCTTGCGGCACTGAAACATCAGATTTCGATGTAGAGTGCTCTAGGACCTTTTCGTCCATACTGCTGTGGCTATTAATAAAGTTCACAGCTGCTGTGGATGTCAGATGGTTTCTTTGTTTGGCTTTCACTATACAAGTTACCAACCTATCACCATCATTGACATGATCAACATGGTAATAAATGGGTGTCTCTGCTGTCGCTGCAATGAGAAAATGGCAATGCATACTGTGCATGTTGACAGTAGAGGGAAGAGTGAGCATGGCTGCTGAGAGGGATTGGGCGATGAGAGTCCCTCCGTATACTCCACGGGATCCAGACGGATGCCATAGAGGATGGGTGTTGATGAAGACGGCCTATCAGGCAGTCAGTCGTGACCTAATTCCTTTTTTTCCTCTTTTTTTGGGATTTCGTACACTAGGACATATTAGTCGCTACACTAACTTGGCCATCGTTTCTGGGCACAGGAGTCAGTGCAAACACATTCTCAATCGGCGCCTTGCATTCGTCTAGTGGTGGGGTTGGAAAGAGAGTAGTATATGCCTTGGCCATCTCCAAAGCGTCTACGAGGAACCACGATCGATGAATTAAAAGTATATGGTACAGTTGTGGTTGGCAGGATTCGTATGAATGTCCTGGTAAACCAACGGATTTACTATTTTCCGCCTGGCCAGAAAGCTTGAACACCCGCGGGCCGAGATGTGTATCACATAAGCGACTCTTATTGGTCATGTAAATGGACCGTGGAAAGCCACTCTGATCGAGCAACGCAGATATGTATATCATCAACATTATCACATATTAAAATATTTCTCGACCTAATTAAAAAAGACCTAGCATGATATGAAAGACGCTAAGATAAGCTAGGGCTATACTCTAATCTCGGGGTGAATTTGAGTGTGCTGGACATTATGTCCTCGGCGTCGGTTCGGCATCTGGGCACAAAGGTGGCGGACGGATTGCACGTGAAGTATGCGACTAGTATCGATTATGCTGGCAATACTCACCTTCTCATGGAAAGGCCATAAGTGTCTTTCATGGCAGATAGTACTGGTGCTAATCATGAACTGTGATCCCAAATGGTGCACCTACCATCCTGGTCTACACATTTTCTTACCAAGTATACGAGCATTCAATATGATAATATGCCCATAAAAGCGGGAACTCGTCGCGGAAAGGCTACAGGTTCAATATATATAAAGAGGTAGAGGCCACAGTTTGGGTATTCGGATCATCGGAGACAATATCTTAAGGAACGGATGGCCGGAAAGCATACTTCCCACTCACGGATACCGGGTTATCGTACTTCCCGAGATCTGGGCCGTTAACCCTAACTAGTTACGATTTGCGACAACTAGTCAGTAAGTTCCAAGGTTATAGGAGATTGCTTACCAATCCATATGACTATAAAAGCATCGAACAAGACATTGGACAATAGCTGAGCTGTACCCAATTGACCTTGCTATTTTACACTTCTCGCAACCCTGAATTCTTTTCGAAATGAGCACTCCTGGTAGCATTCTCGTCATCGGAGCTGGCGAGCTAGGAACTTACGTTCTGCAAGCTCTAGCCCACCACCCTCAGAGACGAAACAATGCAATTATCTCCGTCCTGCTTCGTGAAAGCTCCATCAAGGCTACAGAGCCAAGCAAAGCTGCTCGCATCGACTCTCTTAGCAAACTCGGAATCACATTCACTCCTGGCGACGTCACCGGTGACTCCGAAGACAAGCTCAGCTCAATATTCAAGGAATTCGAAGTCGTCATCTGCTGTACCGGATACATGGCAGAAAGTGGACTCCAGGTCAAAATTTCCAGAGCTGTCATTGCTTCAAAGGTGCCATACTATATTCCTTGGCAATTCGGTATGGATTACGAAGCCATCGGACGGGGCTATAAGCAGTACATGTTTGATGAACAGCTGGATGTGAGGGACTTCCTTCGGTCCCAGAGTACGACTCGTTGGCTTGCGTTGTCGACCGGGCTGTTCACTAGCGTTATCTTTCCTCCTATTGGGGGTCTGGTGGATGTGGAAAACAAACTCGTGTATGGTATCGAGGACTGGGATAACAAATTTTCGACAACCACGACGGAGGATATCGGGAAGTTCACGGCGGAGATTGTACTAGGGCCAGAAATGGATGCCCTCTTTGTCAATGGGCCGGTCTATGTGGCCGGGGACACGGTGTCCTACCGTGAGGTAGCTGACGCAATAGAGGAAGCTACTGGGCAGAAGTTCACGCGAAAGCTCCTCAATCAGAAGGAAACGCAGCACAATCTGCAACAAGAGCTAACCGCCGGGAACATTTGTCGTAATGTCTTTGCACAAGGAAGGGGGTTCCTCTTTGATTCTGTGGATCTTTGGGTACCTCAAGCTGGCTTAAAGACAACTAGTTTCCGGAAATTTGCTCTGGAGTTCTTTCAGGGCTCGGCCTAAAATGCATTTGCATGGCTCTGCCATTGCAACTGTTCTCTAGGTCGATGCATATGCTATATGCTCAAAGTGCACTGCGCACCCTACAAGTGGTCCGGATGGTTTCGAAGAGATGGTCAATCTCACCTAATGGGAGGAAGAACATCTGTTATTCCAGATTATCAAGCCAACTCTCGACGCGCTCCCTTTTAGGACGTGTCATCACAATACTATCAGAATCTTTGTCATCCAATTCTTCGTCAGAGCTCTCTATGTCGATCCATGAATGCTGATATAGAGGCTTTTCGTTCATTGGATAACCTGTTGATCTTAACCAACCAAATATTCCACGAGTAGCCATTTCAGACAAGAACTGCGAAGAACAATCATAGTTAAAGTCCCACAGCTTTGTTGAAGCGTCGACCTGACAATTTTCCGGAGGTGCCTTTACAGAAACTCGATGCTTGTTCAGTCCAGAATCTGAAATTGGGTCCCCATTTGTGACAAGCCAGTCCCAACTCTCGTATTCGAGACAATGTGATCCACATTGGGCATGTGTTCGGACTTTGATTTCTGTGTTGCATAGTAGCGTCTCGCCGAATGGCTTCCATGGGCCGATTGGAACACTTGTATAGTCATCACAAGCAGTTAGGAATAAAAGTCGACATTCATCCTCTCGGCGTATTGATTCTCCATCATTCACTCCCGTTTTGTAGGTTAGGAAGGTCTGAGTTGTGCCAGTCCACCCAGCAGCATGAAGATCAAGCGCAGTGAATCCCGCTCGTATATCACGTATGAATGATTTCGCAAGGCCTGTTAATATTGCACCAAGCCATAGTGGTCCGAGCCGGGGATCAGGTATTGTAAGAAATGTGGCGAGCTTGGCGAAGTCATTCTCCTTGAGGATAGTGTCAACTATAGCAAAAGCTGGGTTCAACCAAGGGCTGACAAGATTGCATTCAATATCCGAATTGAAAAAGGTGCAATATAGAAGTGATCGTATACCCCACGTATTGGAACTCAATGTCATATAGTAAGGTAGCAAATCTTTATACTCCTCGAAGAGCGCGGGAATCGATGCTCCGCACTGGGCTGGAAGAAATTGCAAATTGTAGGTTGATAAAGGAAGAGAGAGTAATCTGCCGCTTAGATAAGGAATATAAAGCGCCGCAGCAAGAGAAGCCGAACTTTGATTGTATAGGCCATGACGCAGGCAGAATCGAGAAACATACTTGAGGGCAATTGCTGAAGAGGGCAGCTTTGCTTTAGCAATTGACGATTTCCTCGTGACCGCGAACCCAGAACTGTCACAACTTGACACAGACCATGGTGAAAAATAAACGTTGTGATTATAAAGACAACTTATGTTCCAACCGCCATCGGAACATAATATGGCGTTCCACCAAAAAGCTTCAGCCTCATCTATGTCATTACCTACGTCGATTTCGACCGTAGCCTGCCGATTTGAACCAGTGGATGAACCATGTGGGTTACCCAGAGAATTTTGCATGAATTCTACCCGGCAGGGATTCTCAGAGGAGTGGTTAAGCAATTCAGCCCATTGCGCAGAGAGAATATAAGCCCAAGCCAGGAAAAGAACCGTAATGTACTTTTCATCGTCGCTAAGGAAGCTGCCATCCAAGCAGTACCGATCCGGGGAGAAACAAATTTTCGTAAATTCAACCCTCATTGGGCTTTGAACAGCTAATACCAGCTGTTTACGCAGTACTTTGGGTTCGAGAGTACAGTTTCCTTTTGAAGTCCTCCAAACTGACTGCCCATTGATGAGAAGGCGATTCTTTCCTCCTTGTAACGCCTGCTCCTCGCAGACAAAAGACATATTCGAGGATAGAGTTCCTTGTCCGAGAAAACGTGGTGTTTGTCCAAGAAGACTTTTTAGATCAAGGCTGTTGGGTGGAAATAATGGAGATCCTTTAGCGAGATCGAGATAGGATGACCACTGCCTTATGCTCTTGCGAAGAACGCGATCGAATTCATCGTCGCTCGGGCGGATCGCATCGCCCATAGTCAAGGTAATTATGCCTTTTTCGAAGATAGGAGATGTGGATGGTTTATATAGATAGCACTGCTAATAGGCGGTGAGTACATATATTTAATCACGTGAAGCCTTTGTCTAAAACCAAAGCCAAACCAGCCCGTTACATTTATTACATAGAAGTCTTACATAGTAAATCTGTCCGAAATACATAGTAGCTATAACTGTTAGAACCTAACTTTCAGGAAGACTACTACTTAAAGGGAATGTACTAGTTCTTCGACTATAGCGGTTACTTAAAGCTCCTCTATACTATCTATAGGCCACACGCCGGTGAGTAAGTAGTTGGGTGGGTGGCCACCAGCGAATCCTCACTTGTATGTTTTTTCGGGTCAAAGTTTTTGTCATTCGGCTTGCTGAATTATTGTTTGACTGAGAAATAAGCACAATGAACTTTCATCAACCAGGTATATCAAATTGGGCTTGAAGGCTCCAAGTACCGAGGAGTTATCCACAGTAAAATGATAACCTCTTTGGAGATAGCGATAGCAACCTTCATATCTCGAAGTATTGCTTCTTTGAAATCTTGCCCTCGAAATTCACGCATTCATCGCCATAATCTGAGTAGAATGCTGAACATATGCCCCTGTAACACTGATGTCTTTTTCGGGGTTATATCTCTCCAGCCCTTCCAGCGGAGCGTACTTCTCACACAGAAAGAGCATATCATTATATGCTCTGAGATATGCTGCATTAGTAATCTGCGAAAAACTAGAACCAACAGGGGCAAATAGGGGGCCATACATTGATCTTGAAATACTCCCCGGATGACCCGCAGAGTCATTGAGGTAGGGGTGAAGACTGTAAAGTCGATTGCGATCGTCCCATTCCTCGACCGGCTCCGATGGCTCGATATGGCGTTGATAAAGCCTTATGTAAACAGGAGAGTTAAAGTAGTAGGCCCAAGAGCACCTCCAAGTTCCAAACTCCATTTCGTTGTGAGCATAGGTAGACCCCGGATCAAAAACAATGGTTTCTCCGGTTTCCATATCGACTCCGATGTTCTGCTCCCACAGATCGCCATGAATCAACGCAGGCGTTATTGATCGACCTTCGGACTGCAGTGCACCCAAAAGTCTTGGTATAACGGCGTTGAGTATTTGCTTGCAGGCGTCATCAAATTGTGGCCAAGGTCCGTTTGTTTGATTGTCAAAATCGATGACCTTCTTCAGCTGATTTGCAAAGCAGTCTGCCCATCGCTTTTCCCATGTCACGGGTCGTTCAAAAATACCACACACGGTAGGAACTGGAAACCCAAACATTCCCGTGGGTGATTTTCCTTTGGTATGGAGTTCTGCTACTTTTGCCACAAATGGCTCTGGCTCTGGAGGTGCCCGGAGGTCCATATCGTGGTATTCGCCTAGGAAAAAATAGACTTGAGATTCGCCGTCATGATATTCACCCCATTTAATAGGCATCGGAACAAACCCGGGAACAACCGCGCGAATTGCAGAGGCAGATTGATATTCGCCCTCTACCAAAGCCTGTGCACCGGTTCCCGTAGCACACTACTTGGCCACATCTAATGTGAGTATGCGAGGTAGATTTCAGAATGGCATATTCCAACCTTTAGAAAATATCTTTGGGGATTTCCACTAGGAAGGACGACTGATATCTTTGCAGTTTTCGTCCACGCAGAGACACCGCACGACTCTGCCGAACGGACGCGTACCCCGCTGGGCATCGCTGCGAGGCTGAGTGCTTGTATCACTAGACTAGCTTTTAAAATATATCGTATTTTGCTCACCTTGAACAATAGCTTTATGGAGAAGAAAATTACCGTCCACCCCGGTCATCCACTCGTCAGTTGTAATGTCCATGGCTTAATAACCTCACTACGTCAAGATAATAAATGATACTTTGTGTAGGAAGTAAATAGGAACTTTCTTTCAGGGGTACGGCCTTTCTCTTAAATCAACAATTTATAGTCACATGCGTTACCTCTAATGCCAAATGCAGGCTACTTCGGACTGGACGTATCGAAAACTTGAATTATTTTTTATTCGTATACATATGCAGGCGTATACTATATTAGATACGCGTGGCCCCCTCTGCGATCAAAGTATTATTGGTCAATCCGTACAGGTTATGATAGCGGTATTTAGTGCATCGCTCGGACCTCGTGTTGATTCCCAAAGAATCTTGGTATGTATTGTCAATATATTAGATCTTACTATTTATTGCTTACTGAATTTTTGTTTGACGACCAATTTTCGTAATGCCAGCAAAGCGCCTAATTGTTCTATCGACATGGTAATATTCTTATTGCTAACCTTCTATTTATTACGCTATCCTTAGAAATTAAAAAAAAGAAAAAAAGAAAAAAAAGAAAAAAAAAGAAAAATGGAATGAACAAACCCCCCTAAATGAAAACCGGGTCAACAAGGGTCTATCTATCTATGTTGTATAGTGTACAACATATAGAGTACTAGGTACTAGGTAGCAATTTTATACGTCCTAGTTTGATGTGTTGTCAAAACCCAAGTGATGCATATGTTTGTACGTATATGGTATAGAGGAAACCGCCCCCTGCAAACTACTCCGTAAAGGGACAAGATACGTGATAGGGGACTCGTAAATGTGATATTCGCGCGTCTTTAGCAATTTGATCAACAACGCTACCTGAATCCTGCGGTCTAGTCAGCGGAGCCGCTGTTTTTTTGACATCCCCGCTCGATAGCAATCCTAGTTTATCTCAATTGTTGCCCTGCACATACTCGACAACTAAGATCCTGTTATCCTGATCGGAGTTAAATCTTACATATACTTAGCAGCAACAATCTAGGCATTACCGAGAGCATCTTTAATCTACGGGCCTACGAGTAGTCCATAGGCTCCGATATACTAGAAAATCTAACACAGAACATGGTGGGTATCAGATTGGAGTGCTTGCCCTCGGTATTATTTTTAACACTTCCAAGTTGTCCAAGAAATTCAGTCTGCGAAAGAGAGGCTCCCATAAAAAGACCCCTTCACACACACCAACTTTCAATTCATCAATATCGGACGCCCCCATTGAGGAAGAAGATGAAAGTCCACTGACTGCGATCGTGACATCGTCCTCTCATCAAACGATTCCACCGATTCAGGGACATCCTGAAAGTGATCCTGGTCCCCTTGGCCTGAATGTTGTTTATACGCCACAATATGGCCATAAGGCAGATATCGTCTTTGTCCACGGTCTTGGAGGTAGCAGCCGCTGGACGTGGTCAAAATCCCGAAAACCCGAGTTGTTCTGGCCTTTGACGTTTCTCCCACTGGAGCCGGATCTCTGTTTATCGAGGATTCTGAGCTTTGGCTACAACGCGAAATTTCGAAAATCAGGGAATGCAAGCACTGTCGTCCTGGATTTTGCCAAGGAACTGTTGTTCGATCTCAAACATGCCAATGATAGGCAAAAGGAAAACCTCAATATCGGTGCTGTGAGTGGAGTAAGGAAGTCATAGAATTATACGAACTAACAACAATCCAAGGTGCCGCTTCTTTTTGTTGTTCACAGCATGGGAGGACTCATTGTGAAGGAGGTAAGATAAAAGGCAATTAACGCGAATATATAATACTAGGCTCACTCAGCATAGGCTTATATGCAGGGTCAGAATGACCCAAAGTACGAAAAAATAGTCAAAGCCATTTCTGCAATTCTCTTCCTTGCAACTCCGCACCGAGGGACTAACTTGGCTGCTGTACTGAATCGCCTATTGCAGTCCACCCATATTAGTAACTCAAAGCTCTACATTTCCGAACTCTCCAGGGATTCTTTTACTTTGCAGAAGCTTAACGAGCAATTCCGACACATCGCTCCAAGACTTGACATCGTCTCTTTCTATGAAACACAGCCAACTTCCCTTGGACTCAAAGGCGCTCGTGTGGTAAGTGTAATTGTGTCCATAATCTTCCATGTTGGCTATATTAAGTATGATTCTAATTGACAAAGATGATTTTGGAGAAGGACTCCTCTGTACTGGGCTATCCAGGGGAAACTTCGAAGGCCCTAGACGCAGATCATCATAATGTCTGCAAGTATGACAGCCCAGGAGATCCAAATTACATCACAGTAAGGAACGTACTCAAGTCAATAGTGAGCAAGATTATCGCAAAATCTCCTGGGACTCGATTAAGCATCACAAATGAGAGAGGCGTGCGAGATTTGAAAATTTCGCTGGCGATTTCTGATTTGCCTGACCTGGACTATCTCTTCTTCCAGGATCAATGGACAGAAGGAACTAATTCATGGTTTTTGGAGCAAAAGCCATATTCAAAATGGCTTGACAAGACGAACTCGTCCCCTTGTATACTTTGGGTGACCGGAGGCCCTGCGACTGGAAAATCCGTCCTTTCCACATTCGTCATCAAAAGTCTTTTAACTGAAGGTTCTTGCTGTCAGTATTTCTTCATTCGGTTTGCGGACATGAAAAAGCGTTCTCTGGGCCTTCTGCTTCGCTCTATCGCCTATCAAATCTCGCAAAATATTCTCGACTTTCGGACAAAGCTTGCTGAGCTTGCTGATGAAGGCATTGATTTTGAAACAGCCGATCCAAAAACGATCTGGGAGCGTGTCTTCAAGTCTATACTGTTTAGAATGGACTGTAAAATTCCGCTCTATTGGGTCATAGATGGATTAGATGAAGCAGTCGATGCCCGATCCGCTATGAAACTCTTCCAAGACCTCGGCATGTCGTCAGTCCCAATAAAGGTTGCAATATTCAGTCGCAAAACCCCAGATATCACAACGGCAATGAAAAAGATACCATCCTCAGTACGTCAGGAGACAGTCAGCATTGAAGGACACCCGGAAGATATATACGCTCATATCCGCCAAGAACTGAACCTGTCGGGTACCGATGACTTTAAAGAGAGGATCGTGCAGCGTATAGTTGAAGGCGCACGAAACAATTTTCTCGTAAGTGCAATGGCCATTATTTAACTTTTGGTCTTTCTAACTTGTAAGTGGGTACGGTTGGCCGTCGAGAAGCTGAACTTATGCCACACAATTAGTGACGTGGAAACGGCTCTTCATGAATTACCATCTGGAATGGAAGCACTCTATGACAGAATGGGATTGCTGATTGCGCAGAATCCATCCTCATCAGGTCGGGCCTTGGCGATAGCAGTCCTCCAATGCGTCACTTGCTCTTTCAGGACTCTGACAGTTTCCGAGTTGTCTATGGCATTGGGCACAGAATTCTCTGGCATGTTGGACTTTCAGCAGTCTATTGTAGAGCTGTGTGGTGGATTCATCATTGTGGATAACGGTGGCAACGTTGTCATAATTCACCATTCGGCGCGTGAGTATTTGATTAGCGATGAAAACCGACCATTCAAGATCAACTATGCAGCAGCCAACGAGCAGTTGTTTGAGAACTGTATGCGTTGTCTTATGAAGACCGGTCTTCGAGCAAAAGTTAGCCGAGAGGAGATCCCTGGTTTCCTCGACTACAGTGCTAATTGGTGGTCTTCACATCTCCCCTTGGTTTCTGCACAAAGCACAGTATTCACAACTGTCAACAAGTTTCTAACTAGCCACTGGGTCTTGACGTGGATTCATATCCTGGCGATCCTGAGGCGGCTGCGGATTCTTGTTCGCGCCTCGAAAAATCTTTCCAGATATTCTGCTGCAAGGCAGAAGAGCCAAGATTCATTGATAACCGATATCAATTGGTTGGGGGAGCAAAACCTTTTGGAGACGTGGGCAGTTGATTTGGTCAAAATCGTGGGGAAGTTCGGTGCTATTCTCCGGGGCCACCCTGACGCGATTTACAAAAGCATTCCCCCTTTCTGTCCCCGTAATTCTGCAATATATCAACAGTATGGAAAGGTCGAAGCTAAAACACTGGCGGTGTCTGGAATTTCAATACCTGATTGGGATGACTACATCGCTCGTTTGTCATTTGGCGGATATGCGTCATATATCACTGCTGCAGGGCCTCGGGTTGCGGTCATGGCTTCCTCAGGGAATGTTCTTGTTTACGATGCATCTGATTTTGAAGAAGCAATAATCAACCCAATAGCACACGGGGAGCGTGTGTATCGAATTGCTTTGAATCGGACAGGGACCCTCATTGTGACGTACGGTTATCGAACGACTAAGATGTGGGAGATCGCAACAGGGACATGCAAATTATCCGCCCAAAATCCCGAGTCTCGGCCACGACCTCTTACCATGCTTTTTAAAAGCAATGATAGCATTCTACTGGTGGGCAGTGATGACCGACAAATCAGAGCCCTTGACTTGCTTGATTCATCTCCGACTTGGAAACTCGTTGCAGACTTTGAGGAACCCGAGCTGGAAGGACATTTGTTGAATTCGTCAAGCTACATGGCACTGAACAACAATGGAGATCTTCTAGCAGTAGCTTACAGGGGACATCCACTTTCGGCTTGGGAAGTGGACGGACCAGTACACATCAACCACTGCTGGCGAGCTCGTGAAGTCGTTGCAAGAGGTGAAATCCTAGAGGCGATGTGGCACCCGCACAATGCAGAGTTACTCGGTTTATATATCGAAGGCGTGGTCTTCAAATGGAATCCTTATGAAGGTGAACCCGAAGAACTTGGAACTGGTGCCTCCAGGTTGGCCATGAGCGCTGATGGAAGCTTGTTTGCTACTGGTGATGTACAGGGAACTATCAAAGTATACACTACATCCGAGTTTCGGCTTCTCTACCAGCTCGCATCGCAAGATTCCGTCCTTGGGTTGGCATTTAGTCCCAGCCTTCATCGATTTTATGACATCCGCGGGTCATACGGAAATGTCTGGGAGCCGAATTCTTTGGTACGGTATGCAGAACATCTTGAAAAGGGACCCGATAGCGACAGTGAAACCGGAAGTCTTGAGCTTGGTTCTATGGTCCCTTCTAGACTTCCCCGAAGAATTGACCGAATCTCCGTTATCGCTGCATCGCCCCTTGGCGGACTGTACTGCAGTGGAACAGAATACGGCAAGGTCCGGTTGTTCCACACACAACATGGCTTCGTTTGCGATGTTCATACCTCCAAAGGCTTTCTCGGTATTGAACAACTTGTTTGGAGTCATGACGGTCGTTATATTTGTTTCTCTGATTCAGGGAAAAATACGTTCGTATTTTCCATCCGCCCTCAGAATACCGACTTCAGCTCGGTTGTGCTGAATGTCATCCTTGAAATGTCGATGAAAAGCATCACAACAGGCCCTATTGTACAACTATTGTTCGACCCAAGCTCAACATGGCTTCTGGTTTCAACATCATCCTCACTTTGTATTTTATCGGTCAAGTCAGGATCTGTGATGCACTCGCTAGAATGGTCACCTGAAGTTCGCAAATGGTTGGTTCATCCTCGGAATCCAGCACTTATCTTTTGGGTTGGTCCCCAATCTGTCGGCACAATGGACTGGGACTTGGCCAACATGCGGACATATCGCATTGAGTTCCCAGTTCCCACAGACACAAATTGTGCTTACGATGACGCATATGACACAAGAGCCGTTGACTGTGCCATCGTCACCCATGACAGAAGTCGTATCTTTATTCAGACTTCGACGGGGAAATCCCAGAAAGAAAAAGTATTCTTTTGGTTATCGACATCTTCGGTGTCAGAACCTCTACCAGTGGACCACACCTGCAGTGCTGCGGACAGTGTAATAAGCACTCTGGCCTTTTTAACGCATGATTTGTCATCACGTATCCTACTCTCCCTATCGTTTCTGGTACATGACCGCTTAGTGTTTCTTTCAAAAGACTATTCGATATGCTCCGTGAAGATCTCGTTCGGCCATGAGTTATCATCATCTGCCGCCCGTCGCTCTAGTAGTGCCTCGGCTACTTCAAGCATGACCGCCTCAGACGACAATCGAAGCTACCAACGCACTGCGCATGGTGAGCAAGCAATTAAAGATATCATTTTACTACCAAGTGACTGGGTGAGCAAGGACTGTTTGACTATGTGCAGTGTATGGACTCGAGAAAGATCTTTTATGTGTCCAAGAAACGGAGAGGTTGCTGTTGTGAAGTCCGCTGGATTGGTCTGATTTTCAAGTTCTGTTAAACAATGAATGAGCTAAACAGTGTTTAAGAGGTATATTCGCTCGAGAATTAATCCCGCTCTAATATACTAAGTATCTACCCACTGCCCATTTTCCCACCAAAACTGACCAACTTTGAAACCTATTCTCTCAATAAATTTATATTGTAATAATTTTCCTGATATTTTTCGATAAATGATCATTATCAGATTAGTAAAATATCTCTTTCCGAATAGTCCAATATATATGGCTGTTGAGTGATACTTGACATGCAGTCATTTTCTATTTACTCCTCGGCTTGTTCATGAAAGGGTCTGCTTTACGATCTAGAACTCGCTACCACTTATTGCTGTTCTGCTTTGCGATACCTTTCTATCAGAGGCAGTGTGTGCTGGGGATTCATTAGAAGCACTATTAGATGACAAAAGTGTTACAAGGAATGTACATCACAGTCTCGGCAAGAGTGATCAATTCCTGCGTATGGTTCAATAAACCAACACTGCATGGTGTCCATAGTCCTGCAGGGATGATTAATCTGGAAGTAATTCCAAGTGCTTCTACTACGGTAAATCAATAACTGTGAGAGAATGCTTCAGCATGCTAGTGTTTGTAAGGGTCCTCATCTCCGATTAGCCCTGTCTACTTCCCATTTAGGTAATTAAATCCCGGATCGTGTACTTCCCAATGGGGTAATCTGCTGGAAACATTCCAGATCTGTTAATCTGATGTTTGTTTCTTCTCGTGATTGGACATTTCGACTCAGTGGATGTTTTGTTAGAAGATGATATCTTGATTAGGGTCATTTGGTTAGTTTGGTTAAAAAAAAAACCAGATTGACTGGTTTGTAAAGTAGAAGCTCGCTCTAGCAATATATTTTGGCGTATTCCACAATCTTTTGGTGGCATGAGAACTTAGACATCTTCATTTATATCTTCATCACTCTGCTCTTCGGTGCTTTCAACTTTGACCTCGGTTTGATTATATACCACCTCCCAATGGCATCCTCGCAGCCATCTTCCATGTTCGGAAAAGATGTCGAGCCGGACTTAATGACCGCCAACAGCCATACCAAGACAGGGGCAGTAGCAGAAGAACCACCAAAGCCTGCAGGACCACCTTCACCACCCAATGGAGGCACGAAAGCATGGCTCCAAGTCCTCGGGGCCTTTTTCCTGAACTTCAACACTTGGGGTCTCTTGAATACTTTCGGCACATTCCAGTCTGAATATAGTACCGGCTTGCTGAAGGACTCGTCACAGTCCTCGATTGCTTGGATTGGATCGCTGCAGGCGTTTCTGATGCTGGTGATTGGAGTCCTGTGCGGACGCGCTCTTGATGCTGGGTATTTCTACACGGATATCACCCTGGGTGTCTTTCTCGAGGTGTTCGGCATGATGAGTGAGTTATACCACCCATTCGCAACGAGAGAAGTACTAACCCAGCAGTGACTTCGATTTGCAAGGAGTACTGGCAGCTTATCTTAGCTCAGGGCCTGTGTGTCGGTATCGGCGCTGGAATGTCATTCATCCCTAGTGTTGCTATAGTCGGCACGTATTTCTCCACGCGACGATCAACTGCGCTCGGTCTGGCTGCCACTGGCTCAAGCGTCGGAGGCATTATCTACCCTGTCGTGCTGAGGCGTCTGATCGTCCAGATTGGACTGCCATGGGCGGTCCGAGTCATGGCGTTTATCATGCTGGGGACGCTTCTCATTTCGGTCGCTGTTATGAAGCCTCGCCTTCCGCCTCGCAAGTCTGGCCCACTGACCAACGTCGAGTCGCTCCGGGACCCCGTGTTCGCCATTTGGCTCATCGCTGCGTTCTTCATCTTCATTGGTCTCTATATCCCATTCTTCTACGTCGAGCTGTACGGTATCAACCTGGGCATGTCGCGGGACTTGTCTTTCTATATGCTGATTATCATGAACGCGGGCTCAATCCCCGGCCGTGTCATGCCGTCCATCATCGCAGATAGGATCGGTAACCTGTCGGTCATGATTCCGTCCGTCCTACTAACCGGTGTCTTGATGCTGGCGTGGATCAGCGTGGAATCTCAGTCGGGTCTAATCGCTATTTCGGTCTTTGTCGGTTTAGCAAGCGGTGCGATCCAGGCCGTGCTTCCCGCGACGGTCGCCTTCCTCTGCCCAGATCTGTCTAAGCTGGGCACCAACATCGGTATGACTCTCTTTGCGTCGGGTCTGGGATTGTTGATCGGTAGCCCTGTAGCGGGTGCAATTCTGGATCACCAGCGAACGTCCCGAGGAGATGTCTTCTGGGGTACCTTGACCTTTTCCGCGCTCTTCATATTGGCAGGATGTGTGTGCTTGATCATTGCTCGCGTGGTCAAGGTGGGATTCGCTTTGAAAAAGGCTTGAGAGTGTGTATAAGACGGACAGACGATGAATTCGTTAGCATGTCTGGAGGCAAGATCAGATTATGACTGTAATAGAGAATGTAATAGAGAATGTAAATCTGCATGTTTAATTCAATAGCACTCCCATATCTATTCGTCTATGTGCAAGTGAAGGAAGTCATATGCCAGCGGATCTGAATTTAAATGTCTTCCCATAAGAGATTATGTGGAGACTGGATCGTCGAAGTAGACATGAATGGCGCCATGGAATATGGTAAACATACGTCGGACTGCATACCCAGCTCCGGAGATTCTGAGTCTGGGTAGAAGTCACAACCATTTGGAAACAACGTCTGCATTAATGGATCCGGAAGTTGTGCATGGCCCATCCAGTCCGACGCAAAATGGGTGGGGGCACTTGCTGGAGCTGACGTCCTCGTGCTATTGAATCCCAGCAAGGCGAGTGTTGAGTCTTGGTCTTCCCGTTTCAGAGAGGCTTCCATCTCAGTTACGACCTCCTCGGCAGCTTTGATGCCTATCTTTAAGAACTTGGAATCCTGTTGTGAGCCACCAAGGTCGTTGATCAAGCTTGATGTAATAGTTGTTGCGACAGCAAGGATAAGTCTTGTCTTCGCTGCAACAGGTCCGAGGTGGTATCTTCCAGCTAGAATCTGCGATAAAGAGTCTAGATATTTCACCAAAAGCTGCTGAAAGATGACTAGCGTGGGCTGGGGGCCATTGGAGATAGTTATCCCTAAATTGATGCGCCGCAGGCGACCAACCACCAAACATGCAGTCAATGCTGCACGGGCAATATCAGTCCAGAGTAGATGATACGCCATGCTAGAGAGCTCAGAGCCGCTCTGCAGCACTTCGTGCAACTGATGAAGAACGGACACCGAGTTATCCCATGATTCATAGAGATCTCCACTCTGTGAATTATGAGACGGGACTCCTAGGACAAAATTGAGTGTGATAATGATCATGAAGCTATGCACATGCATTGATAAGAAGGCTTTCTGAAGCTTCTCGATTGGACAGCATGATGGAGCTCCCTCTTGTAGACTCGGAGGTAAATCATGCAGGATTTTGTGGAAAGAGGCGCGCATCCGATCCCGTACCTCGCTTGACAACTGAGGAGTTGTTGAGCGAAGTCGCTGGTGTAATGGAGCTCTTACTACAGCGAGCTTCATTGCAGCAATGTTGAATGCTTGGTCCGATGCTTCATGGGCCTTGTGGGACAAGGTACGTGACTCCAGCATGGTTCCCCCAAGGGTTTGAAGGTCGATAGGGCTCGGAAGAGGACAGTCCACATCTTCCAGTCGAATACCAAAGTGGGAGCCACTCCGGATGCAATAGTCGAGGTTTAATCGAAAGAAGCACGCCCATAATCGTTTCCGAACTTCTGCATAGTAAGGATTGACACCGGGGAACAAGGCCGGATCCCTATGCAAGCCCATGCTCAGAGCCATTTGCGTGGTAAGTCCCATGATACCTATGAGGTTATAGATCTTGTCAGTATCAGAGGCAGTGATAGTTTTCATGATTATCAACAACAATAAAGTCTGCATGACCCCGATACAAGGTTTTTGGAACCGTGTGGATGTATGAATACGGCTCTCTGCTTCTTGTAGTAGCAGACGCCCGCGTAGTCGCTCTGACTTGTCTGTCTGCATGGCAATCGCAATTACCAACACAATCTTCACAACATATACTTCATTGGTGTCGACGCATGCGGTAAATCGTTCCTCCAGGTCGGTGAACAGGCAGTTCTGGTCAATCACATGGTAGATTCTACCATATGTTTCACAAAATCGCCTGATCCACTTTTCGCAGGTCGATCGATCGGGAATGAGATCCAATAGCTTCTTACGGTCTCCATTCACCCCGCCTGGTACCGAATTTGCGACGCGAAGGAGACACTTGACTTCCGCGAAAGTTCTCCACATCGGCTGGAAATCAACAGTCTTCTCTAGCATGGCCCCCATTACGGGCAAATCATTGCACGCGGCCATCCAATGGGTGCCACCAATTAGCCTTGTTTTGAAGTTCGACCCTTTGAAGGCAGTATTGGCATGGCTGACAGTGGTTTGGTTGTGGGGCACAGATTGTGGATCAAGGATCTCGGCATCAGAGGGGCGAGGTATCGGCTGCAACGGGAGTAGATCGATCTCTGTGTTTTGAGAGGATTCTATTCGCCTGACGGATTCCGAGACTGGACCTTTGGAACGGGAGTAAGTGCACTGGGTGTCCATTCCACGATCTTGGCAGGGTTTGCATGGTGACTTGCGATCGCAGCGCACTTTGGATTTTCGACAATTGTTACATGAGACAGGCTCTCGAAAGCGGGGTCTCTTTCGACCATTGTTTTTCTTGGGATTCTCGAATGTGTCTACATTCAGATGACTGAATGTCAACATCTTGCCGCAGAGTTGAGGATGAAGATGCTGACAACACAAGGTCGAAACTAACCTTGGAAGGTTGGCCCCCTGTGAAACTAGCGTCAATGAGCAGTTATAGTCTCCACCCTCCAATGTACTTCTCATTAGGTGTTAGGCAACCTATTAAAGGCACTTAATGGAGGACCTGGAACGCCGTACATAAGTATTAGGGATATTCTCAACACGATTATAATATAGTACACGTCACATTACACAATCACTAAAAGCCATGCTCTTTGAACTCTTGTTCTGTCCATCGCCACAATTCTTCCGCTTTTCCCATGTCACTCTCACTGCCCGTTCTTTGCACTTCCTTGAAGAAGGGGATATAATACGCCCCGCTCTTCACTTGAGCAGAATCGGCGGTACTCGCCCATAGCTGATTGAGCGCGCCTGTAGCAACATCCATGGAAGCCAGCGAGGTTAATAGTTGAAAGATAACTGACAGAATCCGGTTGGCTGACATCCCACCCCCGATGTTTGTCCGGACAAGCCCCGGGTGTAGAGCAACCGACTTAATAGTGGGGAAGCGTTGGGCGAAAGATTTTGCAAAGTAAATGTTGGCAAGTTTCGAGTGACCATAACGGGCGATAGTGCTGATCTCGGTGAGAGGTGTCTTGACCTGGTTGAGAAGCAGACCGGCCTTGGGAGCGTTTCGATATATCTCGGAGCTAATGTTCACAACACGAACATCAGCCCCGGGAGTAGCAGCGGTCTTGGTGAGGATCGGTAGAAGTAATCGAGTGAGTAGTGCCGAACCCATGTAATTTGTGCCGAATTGGACCTCATATCCATCTTCGGTCAACCCCGGGGGAGTGGCAAAGACACCGGCATTGTTAATGAGGATATCGAGACGGTCGTTCGTGGACATGAATGATTCAGCGGCGCGTTTGATGGAGGCGAAAGACGCAAGATCCATTTCCAGAAATTCAATGTCGGCGGAAGGGACTTCTCGCTTGATATCAAGAATTGCTTCTTCTGCTTTCGCAGCATTGCGAGCACCCATGTATATCTTGGTGGGTTTGTGCATCGCCAATTGCTTTATTGTTTCTTTCCCAAGACCATTGTTGCCACCAGTCACCAGAATGACACATCCAGCAAGACTTGGAATATCTTTTCTAGGATCATAAGAATGGCCCTTGCCAAAAAGAGAAAACATATTTGAAAAAGATTGAATCCAACTTCAGCCAATGTCGTACAAAGAGTGGGTGCTATTCAATTAAATACTTCAATCTTCAACTTGAAGTCATAATGTAAGCTCCCCTTGTTTCTTATGTAGGGAGGACCCCTGAGGTCCCGATGAATAATAATCCCGAGATTGGTAGATGATCGTGGCAATCACATTTGACCGTCGGCCTCTTCAATCGTTCCGTCAAACCTCAAAGACCTTACCAAGCGAACCTTTGAACTAATGAAGTCAACCGCGGCTCGGGATGATCACTCATCATTTTAACTATAACTTGACCGATAAAGTCTTCAAAGCCAAGGCTTTGCCGCAGTGTACAGGAGACCGCATTTGACTTTCCCTCGTGAAATTAGTTGCTAGGGCTCGCCTAATTATAATTGTGCTACAGCTTGCTCCACAAATGTTTTTTGGGCGTATTGCCGCTTTAGTAATCTACTAGCGGATCCATGGATATTCTAATGCGGCAGCGCCTCGGATGATCTTTACACTGAAATCAGCTGAGATTGTCCGTATGGGCCCACGGGCAATGCATAGGCTAATTTCTAGGCGCTCAGGATGTCTCGACGTCACCCAAACGCACGATGATATAGAGCAATAGTTTGGCCTGCAGGCCCAGGCCTTCTTGATAGTTCACTTTATTTACTACATTTCAGAGGAATATTGAATAATTACTTCGAATTTTATTCATCTCACTCCATTGCAGCGCTATACTAAGCTGGAAATTCAACTACTAACTTGCCCCCAGATACAGTGCCTGCCCGTAGCTTGTTCAATCCATCCAAAATACCCTCAAACCCTTCCTTTTGCTTGGTAGTAGGAATTGGTTTTAGGATGTGTGTGATTGTTGGAAGGTTTTTGTAAAAACGAGCAAGAGCTTCTCGGTCGGCTGGTTTGGCCTCGAACTTTGGGCCAATTGGGGGTAACCACTGGAAAGGGCGACCAAACAGCGTATATGCCATCACCAGCTCGTACTCCACACCCGGTACGCTTGACTTGCCATTAGGCAATAGCATCATCACCGTGCCGCCAGTGTTTTTCAGTACTTCGGCACATACGGAAGTAGATTTCCCTTCGGAGAAACAATCGACGGCCTTCGAGATATTGGGATATGCCTTGACAATATCTGCTGCAACAGTTTCCGACCTGTAGTCAAACACTGCAGTGGCGCCGTACTCCTTGACAAGGTCGAATGAACGCGGCGAGGCAGTCGTAACAACTTTATACCCAGCTGCCTTTGCAATCTGGATGTGATACAGCCCAGCACTGGTCGCTCCAGCATAGATGAAGATCGCCTCATCTTTGGGGGATGCCTCGTCACCTTGGACGAAGGGGAGACCATGACGGACATTGAGGGTCAACATGGCAGTCACGGCCGAGACACCGTATGTGGTGGCGTCCGTGTCGCTTATTCCATCTGGAATCTTCCAAGCTAAATCCGAATCGACTTTCAAGTACTCGGCAAAAGAGCCCTTGTCTGGAAAAAGGCCGCCGTGCACAGCACCCGCCACGCGGTCGCCGGGTGTCCATCCCTTAACGGCGCTGCCGACCTGTTGGACCACGCCGGCATAGTCGCAGCCTATGATGGAGTGAGGGGGAGAAACGACGTCTAGGTGCTTGAAATCCGTCGGATTCAATGCGACAGCTTTGACTTTGACTAAAATCTCGTCGGGCGAGATTGTAGGAATTGGCACGTCCTTGACTTGTCCTCCTTGGCCACAGACTGATTTGCCAGTGGCGAGGTTGAAAAATCTGGTAGCAAGACTGCGGTTGGAAATCAGAGCCTTCATGATGGGCAACGAATAACCAAACGCAAAAGGGGTAGGCAGGTCCTGATATTTATTGTGGTCAACTATCAACGCCACATGCTGGCAAATAGTGGAGAAATATATATGTCGTCACTACTATATGATCTGCGGTGGGGATGGAGCAACTATTCTGCCGACTGGCACATTCCACGGGTTAGTTGAGAAAGCTTCCGAGGTCGTTGCGGAATGTTTATATAATCTGAATAATGGACCCGTGGACCTGTGGACCTCGGGATCCACTGAGGATGGACTTCTAATTGATTGAATATTTCATAGGCCTAGTTTATTTAGGCTCTTTTGCTTCAGCTCTTCTTCCAAGGTCAACTAGCCACATATCACTCAGTAGTGGCCAAGGCCGAGGATCGATTTATCGAGCATTCATGCCAAATACTAAGCATACATAGGACAACGGTATGATAAAGTAGGCTATCATGATAAGCCTAGGATATGTCAGTTCTCATTCCTCGAAGGTAGCTTCATATCATACCTCTTCATTGTTTCTGCCTTCTCGATGAACTTTCTGCTTTCTTTGATTTGCCGAGTTGTTAAAGCTTGTTGTATCTTGCTATTCTTTATATCGAGTAAATTCTGGGTTTCAGAGAGAAGATTGCTCATCTGCAATCGTATGAGAACATACTTTTCCATCATCTCATCCAGCACTTGCACAGAGCCGAAATCGTTTGTGGATGATCCTATTTTTGCCGTACGCGAATCAAGTTCCAACCGCTGGCATTCTCTCGTCTTCAGGTCGGTACCCTTGCACATACATCGTCCGTGGTACGTCAATAGAAAATGTGATAGGATGACCTTGACGATGGTGGATAGACCTAAGTATCGAGCCCCGAACCGTGAGGTCTTTTGCATGCTCCACATTGGCGATGGAAAGTCTCCCTAGGCGGCTTTTGACAATTTGTAGGTTTCTCTCATACTCGTATGTGCCGACAGATGAAGAGATCTGCTCGATCTTTGTATTGCAGAGCTTTTCAATACCTGTGCTCTTTTCGATATCTTTGAATGATGTCCCGATATGGTGACTGAAAACATTAGGGTCTAAAGCGAGCCCACTGCCTAATGCCTCCATGCTCACACAAGTGAGATGTTGTGCGGAGATAATGCGACAGCGTCGATGATTGTTCTGGCAATCAACGTTGGAAAGATGGGATTTTAGTGCTTTCATAGAGTCATGGTACGTCCCATCATAGTCGCGACGATCTATAACTCGATCGTTGTCGTCGATATCCATTACGAACACCGGAGAGGACAGAAGAGAAATCTCGGAATGATAAGACAGGCTATGAGGGGTATGTTCAGAAAAGCGCCAGATCCGGTCGTATCGTGAATAGGTCAACAAATGGTCATAATCAGGAGAGAGTGTTTGCAAATATTGATGGTAAAGCCCCTCGGGTGTATCAGGAAGCCATGCTAAAAGGACCTCTTCCAACCTTTGTGTGGTGGGATTTCCAGGCTTTGGCCCGTTGCAAAATTTAGAATTGGCCATGTGAACAATAGATTCAAATATCAATAGAGCGAACGTGCGGGTAGAGATTGTTAATGAACGAGGCTCTATTTGCAAACAACATTTGGGCCCAGTGCCTAATATATCACCATGGATAACACATCATGACATGGTGCAGCAAGAGTATATGCAGATGCTAAAAGACGGTGTGTTTCATCAAGAACTTCTATCCAATAGTCTGGAATCCTCGACAAGCTGAGGGGTCAATGCGGCGGCAATCGCGTTACTCAGTGCTTTTCGCCTGGTCTTGTCAATTTCTTTCTACTCATATTGAACCGATGACTTCGCTTTATTTGAGTACGTGGATTTATATTTAGCGAGCAGCATTGTATTATCCCGGCTTTTGGAACTTTTGAGGCGTGTACCACCCTAGGGATTATATATCGTTGTGTCTTGGAGGTATATTTGCAGATCTAGTCTTTCTTATAAGGAATTCAACATAAATTTCCAAGACACAGCTTCAAATGACTTCCCCTGCACGCCAGATAGATATCTTGATAATTATTCAGATTGTTCCAACTTAAGCATTGTTCGCACTTTCAGGGTTTATTGATAGCATCGATATTTGCACGGCCTCGATTTGTCTTCGCAGGTACACCAGACGGCGTTTGGCGAGTCGCGGCTTGTAGGTATCATATTGTCAAACCACTCATCTAGAAATTGTTAGAATGAACATCGTGAAACTAAGGAATGTGAACTACATACCCTAGTATTGCCATTCCCTGTCGTAAAAACTATGATATCCTTCCATTAGCACGGGGGCCAATCGATCGATCCATTCACTGAATGAAATTCCAGCTGTTTTAGCATTCAAACTCAGCCCTCTCGTTGGGTTTGGTTACGCCATCAAGTCCATGGATGAAATATTGCCTGGGGTCGGAAGAAAGCTTTGCCATGGAAAACCTCCATAGCGACAGCTCATCTCGGAATAAATTCCAAAGAAGCTCCCAGGGAAGAGATTGTCCAGATGTGTAATTGATATTATCATCCGTTGCCATATCCTGGTCATCCAATGAGACTGCAAAGAGCGTGAAGATTCTCAGAGTGGGCTTAGCAGTCGTAAGAAATGACTTTAAATTACCAGAAGTGAGATAGACCCAATGAAGATGGAGCTCTCTAAGCCGAGTAACTTCGACGAGGTCGGAAAGTCGTCCAAGTTGATGCTGCCTCGTAAGAGTAGATGTAGTGACCTTGTGAAAAGGCTAGTATGTTCAGACGGGGAGCGACCTTGATAATCAGATCAAACCAAGTCGTAACACCCGAAGTATCATCTGGCTCCAGCAGTTCTATGCATATACGTTTCGTAGGTTTCCAAGGCTTCCGGTGAAATAATATAGGGTCCTTGTAGTATATACATATGCGGAGGTCTTCTAGATCCTCCAGAATGGAAAGCAGAGAATCATATTGCGATTGTCGAAGGTTCAACTCAGCGACAATATCGCCATAGTTATCTGCACCACATGCATGTGATCTCTTCTAGGTCACGAAGGCCGCTGTGTGTGGCAAGAGAGCGAATGCTCTTGAAGTACCGATCTGAGAATGCGTCGAGCGAGACTTGGTATAAGTTGCGACATGTTAATCTGAGTGTTTGCAACTCTGATAGCTGCAGATAGCTGCAGACCTCACTGATCAGCTCAACTGGAAGGGATGTAATCGACATTTGGGGTTTGCGCTTGAAGCTTGAATTGACTGTAGCCATCTCGGTCGAAATAAGAAGCGTAGCCTGATGGGAATTACTGGGGATTGTACCCCGCATGATCCCAATTGCCAAAAGTTATTTACATTTTACATGTAAACGGTCTATGAATGGGGTCCTGGTATGGCCGTCCACCCATGGACAAAATAATTGATTATGTCAGCTCCGCCAAGACTTTGCGTTTCATCCGAGCCCTAAGTGGATCGGGGAAAACGCCCATCTACAAAATTAAAAGAGCAAAAAAAGAAATCTCAGGTTTGGTTTTTAGGAATAGCCGAACGCGGGGGTCGAACCCGCAGCCTTAAGATTAAGAGTCTTACGCTCTACCGATTGAGCTAGCCCGGCTGGGCTGTTGGAAGACGATAATTATAATGATACTTAATTAGGTTAGTCAAAAGAGAAAGGTGCTAGTTTGACACATATTGTAGTTACTAAACTTTGTTCTACCTCTTCAAATTGCAAATTATATCGCCCCTTTTCTATCAGGAGCACCTCTTCCATTTCAAACTTCTCAGTATAAGTAGTCGACGCTCCAAGCTATCTTCTATTTTCGTCAGCATTGTGCGCGTTGCTGTTATATATAACCTACCTATATGGTCCCGGAGCATACTGCCTACCCATCATTTACAATGTTATTTACACAATTGGGCGTCTCAGGCTTTGGCTCGACTGAAAGACCACAGACATGTAGCTAGACCTAATCTCCCTGCCAAGGGCTCGACAAGTGGCTGTGCGTCTAGATCAGCATCGTTAGTCGTCCTCGGTGGATATATATAGCCAAATTCATCATATTTGGCCGAAAGGACAATCTCGATGTTAGAGAGTTAAGAACTACACAATGGTCAATTGGATGAGGGAAAATTGGTTATATTAACTTTTGTACATTAATAATATCAAAGCGGGCGTGCCTCGTTATCAGGCCACATTAATTCCATCATCTCCTGCTCCTCCCCTTCTGTCCACCATGTTGATTGATGAGAAAAGCACAAAACACTAGCCTGTTGACATTTCTGCTCCAACCATTCATATCTCGCAGCATCCTCTGGCTTCTCGAGATTCCAATGTTGAAGGTGTATCGTTGCCAATTTAGGGAAGTTCTCTGATGCAGCCAATTCTGCTAACTGATCAATAGCGGCGTTAAAATTTCGGTCTCCGTCGAGAGAAACATATAATATCTTCAACGAGGGAGGAAGGACATCTCCAAGCTTTTGCACATGTAAACCGTGCTCGTCAAGTCCAACAAGATTGTCAAAGGGAACACGAAAAAGCCTCAAAGCGGTAAACTCAACAAAAGATCCCATCCATTCGTCATCGTAGTTCCCACAACCATCATCATTTTCAACCCAGACAGACTCCAGCGTCGACTTATGGAGCGAAAGCGATTCGTAAATCTTTCGCGGCTGAAAGTCATCAAAGGAGATATGTGCCCCACCATGAGCAATGCGGAATGATTTCAGTGCTTTGCAAGCCTGAACCCAGTCCCTCATCCCTTCCGCAGCGTTGCTTTCTTGGAGGTCGATGTCGGTTATATTCGAGCTTTGTGGCGGGAGCATTTCTCGGATCCGAACTTTGGAGTCACGCCATCCAGGCACATACTCATCGTCGACATCGTCATTCGCCGCCTCCGCCAACATGTAGCAGCCCACTTTGCGCATTGATGGAAATTTGAAGAATGGGTCCATGTAATGTGATGAGAATGCGTTCTCTGTATCACTCCAAGCTGCATACGCTTCCTCGAGATGAGGAAACATAGGTTCCGGCTTAGTAGCAGCTCTTTGCAGCATATTCAACACATAGTATACGCCATATGGCCAGGTGACATTGAGTTTCCGCAATTCCTTCAATTGCGGTATAAGCAAAGCCAACCAAGCATCTTCATTATCATGCTCAAGATCGTTTAACCATTTAGATCTCTCTTCGTCGGAGTATCCTGTTCGTTCATAGACTAGTCTGCGTACAAGGTTGTCGTCAAATTCAACTTTCTGCTCTTTGCTTTCGTTGGTGGCACTTATTACATCCCAGGACTCCACCTTCAGAGACCTAACATAGCTAGCGAGCCTCGGTGTTCGGGCCACAGCATATAGGAAGATGTTGAATGTTTGTTCACTACTCTCCGATTGGCAGAAAGTCACGTCGGTGTAAAGAATTCTTTGGAACACGGCGTACAGCCGACGTGATGAGCATACCAGGTGATATAGATCTTTACTACCGAGATCACGCGCAATTAGATGGAGTATTTCCACGGGCAGATCGCTTAACATGATTGCACGGCATAGATGATAATGTGACGACGACGCTGAATTTTTGTCAACATATGTCCCACTGGGTGGCTGTGCGTTGACGCCAAGGAACTAGCTATTTCCAGTTCGCCTTGCAATCCAATCATACCACGATCCTTGTCAACTGAGGGGATCACTTTAGAGGTTGATATTAAGTGTGAATTGGGAATATCTAAAGGAAGGCGACAAGGAACTCGACGGACAGAAAGAAGAAAAAGGCGCCGCAATTATTGCAGTAACATTGCTATGATCCCTGCTATTCGCCACGCTGTTTGCTGGCTCAGACTGTTCGCCAGTTTGTTTGTTAGTTTCTTGGATAGATACCCTATCTGTCCATAGATTTTACAATACAGTTCTACTCTCTCTTTCTCTGTCTCTATTCTCAAAAAATCATTTCCAGTAAAAGAAGCATCCAGTTTTCCAATAAATCGGATGATCCCTAGCTTGCATACCAATTTCACCTACATTCACTATAATCAGAATTACAAACGGATTTACCTAGGTATGAGGCAGGTAGTCCGTGAGCTATATATGGTCTTAACTTTTAGGCTGGGCACATCTTGTTGGTCTACTCGGATATTTTAAAGGTCGCTACTTGAATTCAACATTAACCAAAATCTTTGTATCATTGAGGGAGTTAGTCACTAGTCGAGTTCCTGAAGTTGACACCGTCGTGAACATGTCTCGGAGGGTCATACAATATGGAGATACTGATGCAATGACTGGGAAACCAGTGTAAGGTAATAAGGCTGCACGCTTTGTCCGTGTTGATCAAACCACCATCGCAGCTGTGGTCTCCCGTTTGAGCACAGCACTATGCGAGAAACTATCCCACTGCTCGTTTGCAACTTGAAGAACTCCTTTCTTCTGTGTTCACTTGACATTTATGTCAAATATATGCCATAACCTTAGGATTGGCCAAGGAATTATACATCTTCGCAGGTTCTAAATATATTGGAAGCCGGGGTATCCGGCAAGAACCGTCTCATTGTTTCGGACCTCCGTTCCGGTCACATTAAACAGCGACAGGCTCATGTAGGGCAGTGTTGGCGTGAAGGTGGATGTTCTTCGAAACTCCCTGCTCATAGTTAGATTGGTTTCAACTGTCCCTGTACCTTTGAGATCGGACCTCTGTTGGGGCGACTGTGAAACCGTTGGATTGAGCTACGGCAGTCTCCAAATGCCAGTGTGCCATAACATACCTTGCCTATAGTATAATTTTTAATATAATGGTTGAGGATAGCACAGAAGAGAGAGGGAGAAAGGTGAAGAATGGGGGAGTTCTTGAGTGTAAAATATATGAAAGAGCAGGGGATTTATACCTGGTAAATGAAGCAAACAATCAAGCACACGACCATACAAGGAGCAGGGATGAGATCATCCAACAATGGGCTATACATAAGCGAATAAGGTAATTCTAGTGTAAATAATGGCATGACAACCTTATAGTGTATCTTTGATTATAGAGGTCTTCAATCACCGTGGACCTCAACACAGCAGGACCAGTCAAACTATGTAGTGAATGAACTGTACATGGATATATTTACATACCCTACACAACTTCGCTAGTTTTTGTATTTTGAAATTGAAAAACTTCTTCCCGTGAACCATTATGCATACAATAATCTAAAAATGCCCAAGACATGCCTGCGCCTATCAAGGATTTTAAACCCTAATCCCGAGATATGTTTTCCCAGTCCGCCGTATGCAAGTTTCACAACCAAATCAAGTCATCGAGGTTGGCTTCTCAAGCTCAGTAGCATCTTCAGTTCTCCAAAGCGACGTGACAGTCTTCCACTGTGTATAGAATCGGATACCGTCCTTGCCGTAGAAGTTGAGCAGACCCGTTCCAGCCACACTTCGCTTGTTGCCAGTGAAGGAGAACATGGGAAGCGGGACGGGGATAGGGACGTTAATTCCAACTTGTCCAGACTCGACACGCTTCTGGAAGTGTGTTGCGCTAGATCCAGACTGGGTGAAGATGACGGCACCGTTGCCCCATTCGTTGCTGTTGATCAGGTCGATTGCGCTGTTGATTGTATCGGCTTCAATACAAAGCAATACAGGACCGAAGATCTCCTCTTTGTAGCATCTCATTTCGGGTTTCACTCCGGTGATAATAGTCGGACCGACCTATTAATGAACGTGTTAGCAGGATGGTTCGTAGGAGTTGAAGATAAGATAGACTTCCATACCCAGTTTCCATTGGGAAAGCCCTCAGGCTTCTGGTCCCGGCCATCCAAGGCGATGGTAGCACCCTCCTTCTCCGCACTTGAGATGAGGTCCACACAGCGATCCCGACTCTGGGGTGTGATCAATGGACCCAGATCAGAGCGAGCATTGAACCCACTTCCAGCCTGGTATCCCTTGGCGTTCTCAATTAATTCAGGGAGCCATTCGCGAGCCTTCCCAACTGTAATCAAGACGCTCAGCGCCATGCATCGCTGACCGGCTGCTCCGAACGCCGCACCAGCGATGGCGTTCAAAGCATGCTTTTTATTACTATCGGGCAACAGAGCTGCGTGATTCTTGGCTCCCAAATTCGCTTGCACACGCTTCCCGTTGGCTGTACCACGCTCGTAAATATATTCTCCAACCTTATTCGATCCAACGAAGGAGATAGCCTTAATCTCCGGTGCGTCCAAGATAAAGTCAACAGCTGGCTTAGAACCATGGATGACGTTCACAACACCCGGGGGAAAGCCGGCTTTCTTGCAGAGTTCAGCGATAATCATAGAGGCACCGGGTGCGCGCTCGGTCGGTTTTAGAATCAGGCAGTTACCGGTCACAATGGCAATCGGAAGACTCCAGAGAGGGATCATGGCGGGGAAGTTGAATGGGCAGATAGCGGCGACAACACCGAGGGGGAGACGGTAGGAACGGGTTTCCATATCCTTGGCTACCTCGAGGACCTCACCCGGAAGCTGGGTGGTAATTCCGCAGGCGGTTTCGCAGACCTGCAATCCGCGAAGGACATCGCCCTTTGCGTCGGCGAAGGTCTTGCCTTGTTCTGTGACGATGGAAATTGCTAGGGAATCCATATTCTCGCGGACAAGGTTGGTCAGCTTGAAGATCATTTCCTGACGCTTCATAATGCTAGTGTCTCGCCATGCGGGAAATGCATTTTGGGCTGAAATCACTGCGGCCTTGCACTCTTCGAGGGTTGTTTCTGGGACTCGAGAGACCACATTATTTGTTGCGGGGTCGTGAACCTCGATCCATTTGGTTGTCTTAGAGTCAACGAGTTCATTATCGATGAAGTTTTGAGTGTCATGGATGGTATCTGGCTTGTTGTGGTCGCCTTTATAGTTTAAGGTAAGGAGGTGAGTTTGGGCCATGATTGCGAGTACAGGAGAGTTAAAGAATTTCCTAAGGGAATTGGGGGCTATCTATTTAAACCAAAGTGCGGGGAAAAGCCCGCGATTGCAACCCCGCAGTTAATATGTTGATGGCAGTAAAATGTTCTCATTACTTCGTTATCTGTTTAGATAAATCCAAGGGTTATCTTAAGAAGCTCTTGGCATTCTCGTGTTATCTGTATTTCAAACATATCGGAGTTAGGCGTATTCCGTGAACGTATTAGTAGATCTATACTTATACCTAGTATATCCCTACTATGTATACTATTTCACCTCACCCCTTTCAACATTGAATATCCCCCAGGTCACATTGGAAACTTGGGGGTGGAGACCTCGGGACTATCAACCAATAGAATATCACGAGAATGACTGGGGTTGGTAGATCTCCCCGAACCTTAGAACCTCAATCAAAATATATTTGCAATTCAATGATAATCATGAAAGTATCTAGTTTGTACAAAGAGGTTATTGGGGGTATGCTACATGGTCGAATTAAGCTAAAAGACAAAAGGCAGCTAGACAGATGTGATATCTATGCTCTTATTGAAATGACAGACCACATCAGAACAGTCAAACACCAAGATCATGCATCACTTGCATGGATGATACACAACTCCTTGGCATGCCAAATGCGTCGCCGCCGTACCACGTCCGCACCAAATGTATCCATGATGCCATCATCGTTGTAGCGGGGAGTAGCCGAATCCTCGGTTGCACCATCATCATCGAAAGACGGACGCAGGAGTCGGGCTTCCTCGACACTAGCGCCGAACTCATATTCGCCACGACAGAGGACTGTGACGCCGATGGAGGCGGTGGTCGACTCGCCACTTGGCAGGATAGGGAGCGCCTGTTGCAACATCCCGGTCCACACAAGACGACGGGTTAGATCTAGGGCGATATTGTTTGGTTGGTGGCGGAGACTAGGTTGGAGCCGGAGGAGGGGGTGGATGGAGCGAGAGGAGCGATTGTGGACAGTGATATTTAAGGTGAGTAGGTCATCTGTCTTGATGCGGAAGCGTGAGCGGCCCGTTTGTTCCACTGCGTTAGATGTCTCGGGTGAAGACGATGATGAGGGTAAAGAGAATCGCATTTCGACGTCTTCCAGGCGCATGGCTTCAACCATACGATTGTTCAATCGGATGTTTCGGAGGTCAATAGATCCCTCACGGCCTGTGGAAAGTTCCTTCCAGCCTCCGAGAACTCTCTTGAGAAGCTCTTCCCGGAACCAGAAGGCTTCGCGCGAGGCCGCCTCGGCTTCGAAGGACAGCTTGTTGGCGCTGACGACGAATTGCCTCCGAGTACCGGTGTTGACGACAGGGATAGAGGCATGTGGGTTGTCCAAGTAGACGCGAGGCAAAACCAGAACAAAGCGAGAAACCTGGCCGGGCTGGAGCTCTCCATCGACAGAGTACTTGCCCTCGAGGTCATCCTTGGTCGTCGCATCCGGCGGGAGAGTTGCCATTGTTTGTTCGCTTACGCGCAACCACACCGAGAGAGGACTTGGCCAGGCGTTGCGCAGGTCAAGCAATACGACACAATGATCAGGTCCATAAGCCCCATTGCCGAGACGCCCAAGTATTTCCGAGAAAGGATCATTCTCAGTAGCGGAGAATACGCCATCTGGCTTTTGTATAGAGTCAACGGGTTCAATCTGGTTTTTCCAGGCAAAGTCACCAGTGAACGGAAGAATATCACAGCGCGCAACTTCCACGCTCGCGTTAACTGTGACTGTCAACGGTACGAACAGTTGTCGGGTATAGAATATATCAGGCAATTCGCCCGGGGCTGCCCCAACGCAGGAGTAGTCGATCTGGACTGTTGTGTCCTGCAAACCAGGCTTTCCGAGAACGTCAACGGTAAAGGTTGCCTTCTGGCCTGCTGCAATGGAACAATCGCTGGGGTCCTGGCCCTGCCGGCGCCATCGCAAAGCGGGCTTAGTTGCTAATTTGAGCTCCAGCTCGTAGATCTCGACTGGTAATAGATCTTTGTTACTCAGTGCAGACTGTAGCTGTTTGGTGGTTGAATCTTGGAAGGTGAATAGGACAAAGTCCACGGGGCACGAAGAGGAATTTTGAAGTGTAACGGTGAAAGTTTTGACTTCCCCTTCAAGGACCATCATCGCTGATTGTGAGAGAGACATAGATTCGATGACAAGTGACGGTTGTTTGGCAATGACCTTAACTTCACATGTTGACGTTTCAGGACCTTTCTTAACATCAACTTTGCCGTCCTTCGAGGTCGTTGAGGCCCAGGAAATTGGGCGCTCCGTAAGAGGCTTCTTTGCCCCCAGGCCAGTTCGCTTAATCTTGACCTCAGGCTCAGGTTTCCAGAATGTCTTAAAGATGGGGAACCTTCGCGTTCGACAGTGTCGTACTTTCACAATACATCCCGTGATCTGAAGGCTGCCTTCCCCATGGGCGACGCCGAGAACAGTGACGGCCTGCACAGACAGGGGAGGGATGGCAAAGTTCTCTGCCACTGCATCAAACGATACACCACTGCTCTCTAAGCGCAAATGTTCAATCTCAATCTCAAATTCGTATGGGTTTTGGAGAGTCACTTGGAACGATGCAGGTTCATCAGCCACAGTGAGCATTTCCAATGCCTTGCTAGTAGGTTTTGCGAAGGGGTTGTACAAGAACGGATCCTTCTTTACTTTGTCCGAACTTGTGGTAACCGCATCCAATTCCGTTTTAGACCGTCGAACGGGCCTTTTAGGATCTGGGAGTGACAATAACTGGACATCGCGTACTAGGAAATCATCCCAGTACTCCGCGACCATATCAGAAACACCTAGTCTAGTGCCTGCGCCCACGGTGCGCTTGATGTTATTCAGAAGACGGACTTGTTCATCTTGTGGTAAATACGGCGGGGACTTGTATCCTTCGCCCAGCATCATATCTCCCCGAATAGTCTGCAAAAGCTCAACTGTGAAACGGAGAACTCCATTAAAATCTGGGAGGGCTTCGCAGCAGTTGATGCATGCCTTCAAGACATCGATTTTCAAATTCAGATCACCGTAACGATCAAGAACTACATGTCGGAATGCTCGCTCGGCAATACTAGCGACCGAATCATACTCAGTACTCTCAGACTCGCTCACACCAGATTGTCTTTGTCTGTTCTCCCACTCCGAGAATGATGAAGGCTGAACTCCGTAGATTTCTCCAATAGTCGCAAGAAGGAGACGCACACTTGACTCCATATTGCCTGGGCCTGTGTCTAGAGCATTGACATCAAATGCGGTATCACTGAGAGACGCTAACCCGGCGGCGGGATGAATTCCCACCTCCGCGGCACCAATTTTGCGTGCTTGTACTAGGCTCGGCACCATCACTGAAAGAAGCTCACGAAGAATGAATGCTTTCTTCCTAGGGAGGTCAAGTATGTTAAGAACAGCAACAACGCCAACAATGATGGGAACAGCATCAGTCGCAGGTAGGCCCGCACCAGGGGCAAGCGGCAAAGCCCGGTATAAGAAGTTGGCAATTTCAGACTTTCGGAGTAAAACAGTTCCCCGGGGAAGCTCAAGTTGGAGCAATGGAACCAAGTGTTCATTCATCACGATATGCTTCAAAGCATTGTCATCCAAAGCTCCATCGCGAACACGAGCTGACACCATTAGACGTGCTAAACGAATCACCGTCTCCGAAAACACTAGCTGGGGGAGAGGTTCATCTGTGATGTTTGCGGCGCGGGTATAAAGATTTAAGATGTTGTTTGAGAGATCGGGTAGGAGATTTGCTAGGTTCTGTAGAGAGATAACCCTATTCCCAGCGCTACTAGGGGTCGTTGAGTCACGGGAAGGCTTGGAAGATTTGTCTGCAACGGGGTACAAGACTGATGGAATCTAATAAGCAAGTAAGCAACCTGGCACAAGTACCTCGGGGATTTGATGACGTTGTTAGCCATTCACATACCTGGAAATCCATGCCTGCCCATCCAAACATCAGCAGACAAAGAAGAATTGTTTCGAGCGCTTTAGCGTGCCAAATGTAGTCGCTGCTTGCTCGGGCATTATTGACCGCTTCGGTCAGTTCCTTGAGGGCATCTGGCCATCTTCCCGCCTGCAGGAAAAGAGTTCCAATAATCACCCCGGCACGACCCTTGATCCGGTTCTTAGTTCTGTCAGTAGCACTCATGCCGCTGACAGACATCCGGTCACGGCTATGTTCCTTCGGGGATGATATTGAAGGTGATCTGCCCGAGTTTGTACGACTGGATAGGTGGATCGCCCGAGTGATCTCATCAAACGTAGTGGGAGTCTCATGATCGCTAGGGGCTGGGGAGCTGGCGTTGGAGCTTAATGGAGTTCCATCCCGTGTTCCGTTCGGACTCGATGGTAGCTGTGCGGGTAGGGTCATACGGTTCAAGAGTCGGTCCACTGGCCGTGGCCGTAGTTCTGGGTTTCTGTGCGGGCCCCATGAGGAAGCCTTAGGCGACTCGATTGAGGGTATGCTTTGAATGGTCTTCGCGAACTCATCCATTTCGGAAAGTAAAACCGACGTAATATCGCAGAGAACTGTTTTCATTGTCGTGGCCTTGGAGACCTGGGGCGGAGGAACCCAAAGGACATTATCCGGTCCATTCGTGATCTTATCCAAGCCAGGATGATCAAAGACCAAGAGTTGGTTTACCAAAGCACGTGGATTCCTTTCCTTTACTCCGTCCAGTTCTTCCAATAATTGATCTAGTCCCTCTGGAGTGGGGTGATTCTGCTCGTCGCCACTGCTCTCAGGCAGTTCAGACCCATCTGCAATGGCAATGATCACTAATGGCTCTCTGTATAGCTCAAAAGGAAATAGTTCAAGATGTGAGGTCGGCGGGACCGAGAAGGAGAGGTCATAAAGGATCAATCCGGTGGGAAATGCCAGCGGCGAGAACATGTCTAAACAAGAGCAGGTTAGTATATATGGTAACAATATGCACAAGCTTGCGATCATGAATAGGGCATACTTCTATTTGGCCGCGCATCGGGACTAATATCTCCTAGTCGAACTACGTTTTCAGCTTGTAGTCGAGCAGCGAAGCTCAAAAAGCGCGAGCGCTTGATCTTGCCGATGGGAAGGAGGAGGGCCCTGAGGCGCACAGGCGCAATTGGGGACAGAGGGTCAACACCCATCCTGTCAGTTGAGAGCGATTGGTAATATTAAGCCCGCATCCACACAATTACCTAGACAGGCTCCCGGGAGTCATGCGATAGGGGAGATTGCGAGACACTGGACGAGAAGCGGGTCTGGGGTTCTCCTATGAATACATGTACACACGATGCTCGGGATGAAGGCGGAGACTAGTGGCAATTATGCGATAACCAAGATAAGCCCGTAAACTCCGCAGTATCCCCCGGGGCCAGCTACTCGCCCTCCTCTCACTGAATAATCTTCCTTTGTGTCATTTCTTTGTCTTTATCGCAATTTAGACTGCTCAGCGTTTTATCAAATTGTACTTTCTCGGCCTCGCTCTCGCCTTTGGCCTCCGTGGACAGTGCGCCCGACCACAATATCCGACGGCAGCCTAAACAACCCTGATCTTGTTTGTCAATGCTCATCTGCTTTTATATGGAGACATAGATGAATCTTCCTTCTTGATTAAGATAAACACCGCGGGAATAACCAGATAAAAGAATACATATACGGCAAGATGACCACGAAGGTTGACTTCAACGCGTTGAAGGCGCGGACCATGGGGTCTGGAGCCGACGAGGAGGCTGTGACAGTTGATACAAGAGGGTTGATCTCGAAAGTGCTTGCTCGATATTCAGGGAAATGGTAAGAGGTGAATGTCTTTCCATCTCGAGATCTACATATTAACCTATTCATTGTTAACAGGACTGTCCTCCGAGAAATGATTCAAAATGCCGCCGATGCCTCTGCTACGAAGGTAACGATCAAGTTTGAGACCCTTCCATCAACCACAATACCGTCACCTTCGTCAAATGATCCTACCGCGCATCTGAAACATACCATCAGCAACCACACTCTTCGACGTGTTCTAATCTCCAATAACGGTGCCCCGTTCAGTGAAAAGGATTGGGCAAGATTAAAGCGGATCGCAGACGGAAATCCGGATGAAACGAAGATCGGCGCATTTGGAGTGGGCTTTTATAGTGTTTTTGATGATTGCGAGGAGCCGTTTGTGTCTTCTGGTAGCCAGGCTATGGCCTTCTACTGGAAAGGGAATGCTTTATTTACCCGCCGGCTGGACCTCGGCGAAGCCACAAGTCAAGACACCACCTTTGTATTGGACTATCGCAATGACTCCTCCCCGGTCCCATCGTTGCTACAACTCTGTCAATTTTTGTCGAGCAGTTTGACGTTTGTCTCATTGCAAGAGATTGAACTTTGGTTAGATGATTGGAACCTTCTGCAGCTGTCAAAAAAGACGGCCCCTAGTGTGGATGTCCCGATTCCGAGAGATATTGATACTAAAACTGCAGAAGGTTTGATGAAAATTGTCAACGTCACTCGAGAAATTGCGCAGGTCGACGCTTCATGGATGCGGATTGTGGAATGGAATCCCAATGCAAGCTTGTTCCGTCTTGATAATATTCGAGATACAACCAGCTCACTCAGGAGTTTCTTCTCTAAGTTCACGCAGGCTGTACCCGATAAGCATTCCAATGGCCAGATATCGGAATCTGAGCGCCAAGAAGACTCAGGCAGCATGAATACGATGCTCTCGGCATCGGTCTTTTTGCATATCAACACAGCATCGCTCATACCGTCTATCAGTAGAGATCTGAGCAAAGAATTGGAACGGGCTACACGGAAACCCCCACCTAAGAAAGCAACCCTCGCAATTCTGACTCCTTCCTACGATGTGAACATGGCGACTGGAGGGACCTCATCGCAGTCAGAGGTTCTTTCATCAATCTTACCATCGAAAGGCGGAAGAGTCTTTATTGGTTTCCCAACACAGCAGACGACAGGCTTGAATGCTCATGTCTCTGCTCCATCTGTCATTCCTACTGTGGAGCGAGAGAGCATAGATCTAAATACTCGTTACATCAGCAAATGGAATCTCGAGATGTTGCGGGCAGTTGGTATTGTTTGTCGAATTGCTTGGTCCGCAGAGATGGCTACGATAAAATCAAAACTCGCATCCAGAGTTGGATCACGCTCATCTAAGATTCGGAAAGAAGACATTGTGGATGTACTGCCAGAGGCTATTCACACCGCAAACCAATTTGTATTCCGTGAATCGACCCCGTCTTCTGTATTGGGGCAGACAATTGAAGATGCATTTTGGATGTGCAACAAGAATGCCTCTATCGAGGTCCTCTCTACCTGCGGTGTCATCCCCAGCCATCAGACACGCATCGCACCCAAAGACCTCAGTTTCATGGACTCTATTCCTGCTTTGCCTGAAGAGTTTGTCCAAGACTCTAAAGACTTTGTCAAAAGGCTCACAGATTTCGGGTTAGTTACGGAAATCACGGTATCAGACATCAAGCGCGAGTTAGAGTCTAATACTTTGCGATCCAACCAAGTCCTTGAATTCATTTCATGGCTTGGCCGTAAAACAGTTGCTGGTCAGCTTGATAGATCTTCGGTCCAGAGTCTACTACGCGTTGCAGTGGCTAATGACGAGGACAAAGAAGGGGTTCCCACTCGTTTAATTATCTTTGCGGAGATCACCACTTTTTTGAACCCTCAGCGCATTCCGGCGGAATTGCCCGTACCACCCAGCGTGATACCTTTCAAGTTCACTAAGTCTTTAGGCAAGCATGAAATGGAGGCGCTTGGCTGGGTCGAGCTACAAATCGTTCCTTGGCTTAGATGGATCGTCAGCAATTGCGGGAACCGAAATATTTTTTCGATAGATCAAGACATTACGCAGTCGGCAACCTTTTCGGGCCAGGTATTGCCTGTTTTGTCCAAGCAGTGGGAAATTCTGAGCCAACCTTCAAAGCAAAGTGTTATCGCAATACTTCAGTCCCAGACCGTGATCCCCACAAAATTCGGAATGAAGCAGCCTGCGCAGACATATTTTGCCTCCGTGCGCCTCTTCGACGATCTGCCGGTGGTTCATGGCTTAAATGGTGTCAAGGAGAAAATCTTGGTTCAACTTGGGGTTCGCAAAACCGTAGAGCTTGGTGTGATCTTTGATCGTCTGATCAATACCCCATCCTCTAGCGATGTGAAAGGCTCTGCGTCCAGGAAATGGAATCATGTTGACCTTATCCGATACCTCGCCTCTGTACAAGAGGACATCCCCGCCAACGATATACAGAGACTGAAGGGGACAAGCATTTGTACTGCCGAAAGTGGGAGCGGCACCGAAGGCACACGTTACAAAATTTCCGAGCTCTATGAGCCGAAGGACGCACTCCGAGCTCTCGGGTTACCCATTATCGAGTGGCCTGGCATTTATACCAGTAGCAGCAAGGAGGGTAAATTCCTTACCATGATGGGGCTTCAGAGTTACCCATCAGCTGTTGAACTCGTAATGCTCATGTCAGCCGGGAGCAAAGAGAAAGATAGTCGATCAAGCAAGGCTCTGTCATATTTCCTCGGCGAATATTACACGAATGGGTATGTTTCGTTCGATATAAGTGCAGTGACAGTGCCATTCCTTCCCATCGAAGGATCTGATAGCTTAAGTGCCCCGAAAAAGTGCTTTACCGATGAAGGTGCTGCCTTGTTCGGTTTCAAGCTTCTCAAAAAGAATCTCCACCCTCATGCCTCCAGACTGGGAGTCAAGCCTCATCCTCCCATGACGGACTGTCTTCAAGTTCTCGAGAAGCAGCCTCCGACTACCCAGCGGGATGCGCGGATTGTGTTTAAATACCTGGCAGGCAGAGTATCTGATCTGAGACAGCAAGATATAAACCGTATTAGCCAAGCTCCTATAATCCCAATCCCCATTCGCGACCATTCAGAAAAGGGAGTCAATCACCGGCTTGTGGCCCCTAGGTTCTGCTATCTTGGAGACGGGGAGGACTACAAGGACATTTTTGACTTTGTCAATTTCGGACAGGAGGCGAACCTCTTCCTTATGGCCATCGGCTCGAAGCGAGAACCAACTAAGATTGAGATTGCACGCATGCTGGTCAAAGAGCCCGCTCGTATATCTGCTGCATTCCAAAGTTCGGAGAAATACCTCATGCTTCTTAGGACCCTTGCCGAGCAATTCCCAGCGCTGAAGAAGGACAAAGATCTTTTTGTTGAGATGCGGAGAGCGAAATTCCTCCTTGCCAGTCGAGACATCCCCCCAACTGTGTCAGACCACGGCGGCAAAGAAAAGCCGTATGTGAAGGAATTACATGATGAGGAGGATACTATGGACATCAAAGAATGGAGTCTCGCCTCCGCCAAGGACATTGTCGTAGTAGATGATTTCCAAAGTTTCAACCTCTTCAAAGAGCACATCTTCGCAGCCCCGCAAGAAGAGGCATTGGAGGACTTTTACGCTGCTCTTGGGGCCATGCCCTTGAGTGGTCTTGTTGAACAACAAACACGGTTTGGCAGCCTCGCCTCTGATCAGACGCCTGCATACAAGCTACAGAAGTTGATCCTAGAACGTGCGCGACTTTTCCTTCATGATCAACCTGCAGACTCTGTTCTACATGGAGCCCGATGGTTGGAGAATTCCTTCAAAGTCCAGGTTGTGACATCGATCAGTCTTACAAGATCGCTGAAGGGACGTAGGGTGTCGCACACGCAGAAGCGAAACGCCATTGTCGCACAGCAGACGGCAGGCTTAGTCTTGTGTATCTGCCCTGACCGATACGACCTGTATGAGATCAGCCAGTCCTTGGCGCATTTGATTTTGAAGCGACCGAAGCTGCACTCGATTCTGACGTTGGAAATGTTGTTAAAGACCGAGCTCCTAGAACTCCGGGCTCGAGGTTACAACGTGGAACGTATTCTAAGGCAGAAAGCCCAAGAAGCTCGAATCGCAGAAGATAAGCGCCAAAAACAAGTGGAAGAGGAGAGGCGTTTGTTACAGGAGAGGGAAGCTGCCTGGGCAGCCGGTCAAGCCCAGCGGGACTCTCAGCGGGCGGAGGAAGAGAGGGCCGAAGCACAGGCGCAGAATGCGATGCCTGGCGTTTTCCCAGAGTCACCGAAGAACAACAAGAGCTTGCCAGAACAAGCACATGTCGTTCCCCCAGAGCCAATG